AAATGGGCTAACGCCCTGGTGCCGCCGACCCCCTTTCAGGGGTGGAGGAAGGAAAGCACATGACCTTGACGGGAGTTCTAACCATCAATGGGAGTTGATGGCATTGGGTTGACCACATTGTAGCAATCCCCCAAGAGATATAATAGCGACATCTTAAAATATTGATTGGATTATGATTATGATACATTGTCAGACATTCTCCGTTGTTTGCAGGCTATAATGTTTTGCGACGTAAAAAAATACTTTACTTCGTGTGATCCCCACCATGACTTATAGATTTTCTTACTGGCAAATATTCTGGCATTCTATCTGATATATCTTCTGGCATTCTATCTGGCATTCTATCTGGCATATCTTCTGGCATATCTTCTGGCATTCTATCTGGCAAATCTTCTGGCATTCTATCTGGCATACCTTCTGGCATTCTATCTGGCATTCTATCTGGCATATATTCTGACATATCTTCTGGCATTCTATCTGGCATTCTATCTGACATATCTTCTGGCATATGTTCTGACATATCTTCTGGCATTCTATCTGGCATTCTATCTGGCATATCTTCCGTCATTCTATTTGGCCGTTGAGGTCCAGCGGTGCACACTGAGCTGGGCAGGTCCCAGGTTGAGGTCCAGCGGTGCACACTGAGCTGGGAAGGTCCCAGGTTGAGGTCCAGCGGTGCACACCGGGCTGGGCAGGTCCCAGGTTGAGGTCCAGCGGTGCACACTGAGCTGGGACGGTCCCAGGTTGAGGTTCAGCGGTGCACACTGAGCTGGAGAGTTGGCAAAGAGCTTGGCGAAGAGACTTGGCCAAGAGCTTGGCGAAGAGTTGGAAAGGCGGAAGTGCAGGTGGAAGTTGATGCAGACATGGTCGAGGAGAAACTGGAGGAGGAGGAGGAGGCGAGGAGGAGGACGAGGAGGAAGAGGACAGCTAGTCGAGGAGGAGGAGGATGAGGCGGAGGAAGAGCGCTCTGATAAAATCTAACAACCGTCACCTGGCAGGTGGGCAAAAATATATAGTGGAATTAAATGTGATGTTTCCATCACAACTGTTCCTCGATCTGCGAGGTGGTCCGAGCCCGCCATGTGAATAGCAACACAACTGGAACCGTAAAGTCCATTTCATTTGGGGGGTAGACTAGACAAAAAACAATATATATATATATATCAAAATATAGATGCTCAGGATTCAAAGATTGATTGCCAGTTCTTTTGCCGGTTGCTTCTGACCCCAGAAGCATGGAGCATAGATTCAAAGAAAAGATACAACCTTGCCTTCTTGCGACTGGACTCCTTGTAGGACAAACAAATATACACGTGCCATGTAGCAGTTTCGAAGCCCAATAGAAACAGTTTGAAGGGCTTATGGGGAGGTACGATGGCAAAGCAAGCGGAGGGTTGTGCGGTGCTGAGGCTTTCGAAAGCTGCTGCGGGACTTTTGAAGGTTTTAAGGCCTGGCCAAAACGTGCCATGTAGCAGTTTCGAAGCCCAATAGAAACAGTTTGTAGGGCCTATGGGGAGGTACGATGGCAAAGCAAGCGGAGGGTTGTGCGGTGCTGAGGCTGCCCAAAAGAAGGCCTGGCCAAAACGTGCCATGTAGCAGTTTCGAAGCCCAATAGAAACAGTTTGAAGGGCCTATGGGGAGGTACGATGGCAAAGCAAGCGGAGGGTTGTGCGGTGCTGAGGCTTTCGAAAGCTGCTGCGGGACTTTTGAAGGTTTTAAGGCCTGGCAAAAACGTGCCATGTAGCAGTTTCGAAGCCCAATAGAAACAGTTTGTAGGGCCTATGGGGAGGTACGATGGCAAAGCAAGCGGAGGGTTGTGCGGTGCTGAGGCTTTCGAAAGCTGCTGCGGGACTTTTGAAGGTTTTAAGGCCTGGCCAAGACGTGCCATGTAGCAGTTTCGAAGCCCAATAGAAACAGTTTGTAGGGCCTATGGGGAGGTACGATGGCAAAGCAAGCGGAGGGTTGTGCGGTGCTGAGGCTTTCGAAAGCTGCTGCGGGACTTTTGAAGGTTTTAAGGCCTGGCCCAAACGTGCCATGTAGCAGTTTCGAAGCCCAATAGAAACAGTTTGTAGGGCCTATGGGGAGGTACGATGGCAAAGCAAGCGGAGGGTTGTGCGGTGCTGAGGCTTTCGAAAGCTGCTGCGGGACTTTTGAGGGTTTTAAGGCCTGGCCAAAGCGTGCCATGTAGCAGTTTCGAAGCCCAATAGAAACAGTTTGAAGGGCTTATGGGGAGGTACGATGGCAAAGCAAGCGGAGGGTTGTGCGGTGCTGAGGCTTTCGAAAGCTGCTGCGGGACTTTTGAAGGTTTTAAGGCCTGGCCAAAACGTGCCATGTAGCAGTTTCGAAGCCCAATAGAAACAGTTTGAAGGGCCTATGGGGAGGTACGATGGCAAAGCAGAGGGTTGTGCGGTGCTGAGGCTTTCGAAAGCTGCTGCGGGACTTTTGAAGGTTTTAAGGCCTGGCCAAAACGTGCCATGTAGTAGTTTCGAAGCCCAATAGAAACAGTTTGTAGGGCCTATGGGGAGGACGATGGCAAAGCAAGCGGAGGGTTGTGCGGTGCTGAGGCTTCCCAAAAGAAGGCTTGGCCAAAACGTGCCATGTAGCAGTTTCGAAGCCCAATAGAAACAGTTTGTAGGCCTATGGGGAGGTACGATGGCAAAGCAAGCGGAGGGTTGTGCGGTGCTGAGGCTTTCGAAAGCTGCTGCGGGACTTTTCAAGGTTTTAAGGCCTGGCCAAAACGTGCCATGTAGCAGTTTCGAAGCCCAATAGAAACAGTTTGTAGGGCCTATGGGGAGGTACGATGGCAAAGCAAGCGGAGGGTTGTGCGGTGCTAAGGCTTTCGAAAGCTGCTGCAGGGCTTGTGAAGGTTTTAAGGCCTGCCCAAAACGTGCCATGTAGCAGTTTCGAAGCCCAATAGAAACAGTTTGTAGGGCCTATGGGGAGGTACGATGGCAAAGCAAGCGGAGAGCTGCTGCGGGGCTGAGGCTTCGAAAGCGCTGCGGGGACTTTTGAAGTTTCGTTTTTTTTTAAGGCCTGGCCAAACGTGCCATGTAGCAGTTTCGAAGCCCAATAGAAAACAGTTGTAGGCCTATGGGGAGGACGATGCCAAAAGCAGCGGATGTCGGAAAGCTGCTGCCGGGACTTTGGAGGTTTAAGGCCTGGCCAAAACGTGCCATGTAGCAGTTTCGAAGCCCAATAGAAACAGTTTGTAGGGCCTACGATGGCAAAGAGCGGAGTGCTGAGGCTTTCGAAAGGGCCTTTTGAAGGTTTTAGGCCTGGGTGCGGCAGTTTACAGTTTGTAGGCCTTGGGGAGGTACAAAGCAAGCGGAGGGTTGTGCGGTGCTGAGGCTTTCGAAAGCTGCTGCGGGACTTTTGAAGGTTTTAAGGCCTGGCCAAAACGTGCCATGTAGCAGTTCGCCAATAGAAACAGTTTGTAGGGCCTATGTGGGAGGTCGATAGGGTTGTGCGGTGCTGAGGTTTCGAAAAGAAGGAAATGGCCAAAAAAGTTGTTTCGAGCCCAATAGAAACAGGGGCCTATGGGGAGGTACGATGGCAAAGCAAGCGGAGGGTTGTGCGGTGCTGAGGCTTTCGAAAGCTGCTGCGGGACTTTTGAAGGTTTTAAGGCCTGGCCAAAACGTGCCATGTAGCAGTTTCGAAGCCCAATAGAAACAGTTTGAAGGGCCTATGGGGAGGTACGATGGCAAAGCAAGCGGAGGGTTGTGCGGTGCTGAGGCTTTCGAAAGCTGCTGCGGGACTTTTGAAGGTTTTAAGGCCTGGCCAAAACGTGCCATGTAGCAGTTTCGAAGCCCAATAGAAACAGTTTGTAGGGCCTATGGGGAGGTACGATGGCAAAGCAAGCGGAGGGTTGTGCGGTGCTGAGGCTTTCGAAAGCTGCTGCGGGACTTTTGAAGGTTTTAAGGCCTGGCCAAAACGTGCCATGTAGCAGTTTCGAAGCCCAATAGAAACAGTTTGTAGGGCCTATGGGGAGGTACGATGGCAAAGCAAGCGGAGGGTTGTGCGGTGCTGAGGCTTTCGAAAGCTGCTGCGGGCGGGACTTTTGAAGGTTTTAAGGCCTGGCCAAAACGTGCCATGTAGCAGTTTCGAAGCCCAATAGAAACAGTTTGTAGGGCCTATGGGGAGGTACGATGGCAAAGCAAGCGGAGGGTTGTGCGGTGCTGAGGCTTTCGAAAGCTGCTGCGGGACTTTTGAAGGTTTTAAGGCCTGGCCAAAACGTGCCATGTAGCAGTTTCGAAGCCCAATAGAAACAGTTTGTAGGGCCTATGGGGAGGTACGATGGCAAAGCAAGCGGAGGGTTGTGCGGTGCTGAGGCTTTCGAAAGCTGCTGCGGGACTTTTGAAGGTTTTAAGGCCTGGCCAAAACGTGCCATGTAGCAGTTTCGAAGCCCAATAGAAACAGTTTGTAGGGCCTATGGGGAGGTACGATGGCAAAGCAAGCGGAGGTTTGCCATGGCAATGGTAAAGCCGGCACGAGCCATGCTGCACACCTACGGTGATCCCGGGCGCCGCCCCGCCTAGGCCAAGGCTAGGCAGGGGTCGGTGGATATATATATATAAATTATATATATATATATATATTCACATGCATACTCTAATACTATATACATATAGAATACGCACTGTACATACATTTATGCACACACACACAATTTATATTGATGTTCATAGTGGCTTCTGATGGATTCCATTCAATCAACTTCTCATAAGGGCTGCCCAGAAGTGCAGGCCTCTGAGTGCTGCTTGTTCAGTGATGGCGCCGCTCAGACCGACCCAGTCGCTGAGGCCCAACCACGTTTGTTTCAACAATAAAAGGAATGCCGAAGGTTGAGCCATCGTTTTCAATTTTCCTAATCGTCTTCATAAACTGCTATGTTCATCTATTTTCCTAATCTTTTCCCAATATAGAGTCATTGAAGGTAATGATGAGATTGTGATGCATTGTGTAAAATCACAACTACAAGGTGAACATGTTGCCGGCTCACCAACGACTTGCTGCGGTTCAATGACTGGTTGTGTGGTGTCGCTGCTTTCAATGAGGCTCAACTGCTTCCGGAGCTCGAGGAGAGCCGGAGTTCTAGTTTTGCCATTGGTGTGGTGTCAGGGTGATGGGATGCTCGGGTGAGGGAGTTGTTGCATGTTGCCACAGCATGTTGATGGAGTGTGTGATGTGCCTGAGGTGGAATGAAGTTGAGGTGCATGACACGAGAGAAATGAATAGACAACCTGTGGAAACTGCTTGAATTGTGCCAGGCACAAGCAGCTTTCCGTAGCCTTGTGTGTGTCAGGAGAAACAAGAGTTGCCGTGCCAAGAAGCTGCAGTACAGGTTCGAGATCGGTAGGGAAGATGTGAGTGACGGGAAGTGACGGCCTGTGAAGTGAAGAGTAGCATTGGGGCATACCCTGGTTTGTCGGAAACACCGGCATTAGGTGGTAAAACGAGGCAGGAACACCCTGGAATTGCATTGTAGGATGAATGAACATCATCCTGAGAACTTGAGATTGCACAGGCAGCTCCAAAATTTCGGTTCGGGACTTTCTTGTCTGTGCCCAGTTCAACCTTCCAGGTAACACCTAGTTGCCTCGATTGTGGCGTCCAGAGCGAGGCGGACGAATGGGTAAGGGCCAGCGTCCGGTGCATGTTGCAGTTCTCAAAAAATCAGACCGTACAATGCAGGTGAGCCTGGAGCACTGTGCTTCTCAGACAGAGGCCCATGATGTTGTTTTGTATGTTTTTGTGTGCCAACGAGGATGCCATTCTGAATGGATCTGTGCTCCGGCCAAGTGTCGATTCCAACAGGTTGCTGTGGAAGATGTTGCTGCGCAGACGGAGGTCACGGGTTCAGTGCGACTTTCACGAAGACTCACCTCCTGGGTGTATACCGATATGGAGGTTTCCTGAAATGGGGGTACCCCCGAATCATCCATTTTCATGGTATTTTCCATTATAAACCATCCATTTGGGGGTACCCCCATTTATGGAAACCACCATATGTTTCTTTTGTATTCTTTTGTTTGTTTTATTCGACGTACTTGTATGTTGCATTATTTTTTTTTGTCAAAACAGTTTTTCCCGTTTCAGACAAACACAGTGTGAAGCCAAATGTTCTCCACCCAAAGACAAGCAAAGTGTGGCTGCGAATTTCGTAGACATTGGCGGTGAGGTGATGGCACAGCATAGCGCCACGCAAACAGAGGCTAGCCGATCTGATGGTTGCCGGAACTCTTTGGAGGACATCATTGGTGTTCCATTTTGTTCAAACCTGTTCAATCAATGCTCAGCATCCTGTCTTTCAGATGACACCATGAAGTGCAACAGCTTGTTCTGCAAATGACAGGTACCTGGTCTGAGACATTTTGAAGTTCAGACAGAGGTGCTTGCAGATGCGGAGACGCTTCCAGAGGTGTGGGCATTTAGCTTCGTGGGCTTGAGGCACAGACTAATTTTAAAATTGAATCTTGAGATCTGAGAACACCATGAGAAGGATGTGGAAGGGAAAACATGGGAAAACAAGAGACATCAAGAGACAATTTTGTGGCGAGTTTTCTCTGGTCAAACACGAAGCTGGAGCGAATTTCCGTGAACTTCGCGGCGTGCAGGTCGCGGTCACGATGGTTTCCACCGAGATGCAGACCGTGGCCTTGGAGGCACGTAACGAAGGATTTTTCTTCTGAGTAAAACAGAAGTGAACCTCAAGAGATTTTGCCAAGAAGTCGCGTTACACTCTGGAGGTCAAAATAATGACCTCCACTGAGATGCAGACGTCTTGCACCTCTTTCGTGGAGTTGGGGAGCTTGGGGCCGGCTTTACAGCTTAGGATGCTTGGGGTTGATTTGGGCCGGGCATGTTTGGCATGTTTTTTAGTGAGGTCTCAATGAACCATAAGCCGACCACTTGTCTTTTGAATCCACACATCAAGCAGATTCCAGTCGCCCCAAGGCGCTTTGTACAGGCGACTGTCGAAAGCGTTTGCAACTCTGTATCTTGCTTGCAGTATGGCCAGTATGGGTATCATGGTGAGGATTCACAGTCTCGTGAGCGCCACAAATGATTGAAGTCTGCACTGCTGCCGGGGATGATGGAAGAGCATTTCTTCTTCGCCAAGGCACAGGTAAGCTGCGCAAAGACTTCCGCAGCTACTCAGGTGATGCAAACTGCGATAGCTTTTCAACCAGAGACAGGGAAACCAGATAGATCATGATTCACAAGACCAAAAATTGCAACACTGACAACACCACCGGCTACTGTCATGTTCAAAGTGGCTCCTGCAACAGGTGGAGAAGCGCAAAATGAACCATCAAGCCACTCAAGCAGAGGACGGGACTCTGTGCTGAGTTTCATACAGGAATATTCACAAAGTCTGCACACCGCAATCAACAGATACCAGCGTTGCAGTGAATCTTATGGGTACGGGTGCCAGGTAGATCTTGAGGATGTTTTCCCAAATCAGACAATTTTTAGATATTTTTAGCATTGAAAGCCATGATTTTGGGGATCCCCCATTTTTATGAATCCCGATATCTTTAGATATCGGACTGGCGAAAAACTCAGCTGTCCTTTGGCGCAATAGCTTGGTGAGGACTCTTCAGCTGTTGAGGTTGCTCAGCGGCTCAAAGATCTGGAGGCCCCACATCGCCCGCTAGAGGGGTATTGACATCATCGGTTTGTCACTTAAAGATACATGAGATACCAATGACATTGGATGACCATAATTTTTATAATTCATGATTTAGAAAGGAGTTTATCATCCCAATGACCAGTCATTTTATTGCGGCAGGAAATATGGGCCATATGAATCCCCATTTCATGATGGTTGAACCATGTTAAAGCAGCCTTTTTGCTGGGGAACCTCTCCACTCATCATTGACCAGGACTCTGTGGCGGCTGGCGCCATGGCCAAGGCCAAAGAGCTCGAGGCCATGGAGCAGTATGGGATGTCCAGGGATGTGAAGGGATGTCGAGTAGGGTTAACTATGGCAGTAACTATGGCAGTAATTATGGTTAACTGATGTTGACTGGGTGGTTTTATTCACAATGATTCACAGGTGGGGGTACCAAATTCTAGACCTGGCAGGGCCCTCGTGCCAGGCATGGCAGCAGATGGCGACTTCGAAAGCCATGAGCCGTTTGAACGCACCATGCTTAGGCTTCGCTGTGTGTTGACACGTTTTGACCAGAATTTGTTTTATGCTATACTTAGAATACTGTCTATCCTTATGCTATCCCACATGGTCACGCACAGATGGAAGTGGCCAATTGAGCCAAGGTCACCATCCTGTGCCCTCGAGCTGAGTGTACAGTGAATGGTTCGAAGGCGCTACTGTATCATCACATCGCTTCATGAAGTTACGGAAAGGTAGATAGAGTCAAATTTTTGAAGAGGGATTGCCAGACTGGTTCGACCTGAGTCATTCCCGTAAAGGTGGTGATTTTGGAGGCCTTCAACTAGAACAAAACACTGAAACACAACTGTGGGGCCTGTGGGGTGTGTCACTCCTGTTGAACCGGTACCTTCGATGTGTTGCAGGTGGAGATGGATAGCTGGAACTCCGCTCGTCTGCGCGAAGACTTCGAGGAGCAGGCAGGGCTGAACTCTGTGTGAAAGAGAAAGTGTGTTGTGGCTAGTTGCGGCTAGTTTCGCTGGTTGAGAGTCACCACTTTCCTCAGTAATGGTTGAGAAAGTGAGTCGTAAGTTGTCTGCAAAGGTTTTACCCCGCTTCATAAAGATCATCATGGCAGAGGGTGAAACGACGTCGGGGAGCCTGGGAGGCTGAAAGTAAGAGCTGGGTACAGAAGCGGGCCTTCCGATCACGAAAGTATCAGGGTATGGTTCCGTGTTTGAACATGTGTCTACTGTGCGAAGCAAATTGATACGACTTGATCATCTGGAACAGGACTGGCCTTCGAGGCATTATGGACCAAGATGGAGAGAGAGCTTCTTGCCGCATGATGGCAATAGAAACCAAACCTACATCCAAGAGGTTCAAAAACATCAAAAAACAAACTTTCTCTTCTGAGGTGCCTATTATTCAGAAAAGACGGTATGGTTCATCTTGTGCAGGTACTCAGGTTACAATTCATATCAATCATTTTCAACAAGTCTTGCTATTCAAAACATTCAAGTTTCATAAATTTTCTCTCCCATACCTTTTTTCCGACGCGGTTTCCTGCCATGGCACTACCTGGCATGCTGCCGGACCCCCGCGCGATTGCGGAATGGCCTGGGGCTGCTCCTTGGCTTCGGTCTGCGCACTTGCACCGATGCTGAGATGTCCTGAGACCTAAAAGCGAAACCATGCGAAACCTAAAAGCTGCTAAGTCAGCTGCTAAGTCAGGGAGACCAGGGAGACCATGTTCACTCTTGGCGTTCCAGGAAGTCCAGGACGGATTTTTCATGATCTTTCAAGCCTTTCCGCTTCCACCATCTTCCCACTTCTTACCAAGATATAACGATATAACTAAGATATCTATAGGTGTCTAAGATAATTAAGTTACTTCTCATATCTTCTTATTAAGTTACTGTACTACTTGGTGTAGGGGATTCCAAGATTCCCAAGGTCAGCAGCAAATTCCGGGACAAGTTCACCGGACAACTGCTGGGCCGCAAGAAGGTGGAATGCGACGCTGCTGAAGGGGATGGCACCAGCTTGGCACGGTACCTTGGAGAAATCCAAGCGGTGCAACCCCAGATTTTTCCGGTCACTGGAGAAACTGTTGGGGTTTTTCCCGGTATAGCTCCCCATTTCTGGGGAAAGCCATCACTATTATTTAACTGTTGATAGGGGAGGGGTTGAGGATTTGATGTTTCCTTCTTTCAATGATGGATTCTGGTGATATGCACATATAAATTATATAATTGGAGATCTGCTTGTAGATAGAGTTCAAACATGTTCAAACATGTTTAAACATGTTCAAAGCAGTTTGCCAATTTGCCCGGTTTCATGTGGTCTTAACTTTTGTTGGTGACGATGGTGACGTGCACAAGATTTTGTTGGAATTTCTGGCTGGAGCTTTGGGATGCGGCAGGAATGGCTTTGGCAAGTACTTCAACGACACAGAAGGTCTTGGAATTTGCCAAGGCATTGCGGCATGGTTGAATATGGCTGAATATGGCAAGGAATCACAAAAGCAACGCTCTCATTTGGTCTAGTCACTTCTAGTCGTGGCAGTTTTATTACTCGCGTTAAAACCAGTGGGCAGTTCGGTAAAGGTTTCAGGACGCCTGATCCAGCTCCAGTCCCGTATTTTCAGACAATTTAGAGACTCCCCGAGCGTTCTGCAGGCCGGCGCTTCATCCCGGATGGTTACGGGGAGACTTATCAGTGGAGACCTTGCAAGAGACAGTTGTCTGAGCCCGGGATGTTGCACATAGAATCTTGGATCAGCATGGATCAGCCATGATCAGCCATTGACCGACAGTCGGGTGCCTTAAAGCGCTTAAAGTCTTGTGCAGTCGCAGCCCAGCTGAGGAGAAGAACGAGGGCAAAGGCACGGTAGAGACTCCAGCCCTGCGGGTGTTCAGTATCCCTGAAGCTCAGCTGCAGCTCGCAAGCCTCTTGACAGGACATATGGGTATGGATCAATACCTATTAATACCATTTTTAATGGGATGAACATCCATTTACCAGCTATTTTGATGTTCACCAGGGGTACAAGGTCTTGACACACTGCCATATGGAGAATTTGTTGCAAAGGTCTTTAGCATTCTTTACATTCCCTCGCTCTCTCTTGACTTACAAATAGTGTGGCAGATTCTCATTTGTTTCACTTCTTGCCGATTTGGAAGTGGGAAGATTGATCCCACTATGTTCATCTGTGCTCCAGCTCAGGAGCGACGCCACGTGCGCCAAGTAGAATGCAAAAAGGACCTGCAATCAGAGATGCGACCAATCAGATATCATCCCTTTGGTTTTCCCTATTGGTTAATTGGATAATATTAACCTTATTAATAATTAACGTTATTGACTTATATCAACGTATCTTAACAGATATATACAGAATTATACAGATATATTAAGCACAAACCAACGGGATATTCATGGATATATTCACCAAATTATTGAAGCCTGGGACCGTTAAACCAGCTTTCAACCTGAAGGAATACGGTGACCTTCCAGTAGCGAAAGGCACCGTGATGCGCGAGAATGGCCTCCGAGCCGCAGACCAACCAGCGAGGGAGGTGGACGTCACAGTGGAGATGCAGCGGAAGGTGGATGGATATGGGTGGATGGGATGTTTCCGAGAAAAATATGACTTGACGGATTGGCACCCGGCAAAACAGGTAAAACATGGTAAAACATGGGAAGTGGATGGACTTTGCATTGGCTACAGCCCAAAGCAGTACGAGACAGAAGCACTTACCAGCCTTCTAAATGCGCCTTCATGATGTAGGATGGACTCATCCAAATGCTCCAATACATGGACGTTCTGAAACTGGTGGATGCCTGTTTGCAGGCACGGAACCACGAGCTGGATGCTAAGCGGAACAACATAGGTGGGAAAGATGATCCACTTGATGTGTTTCTATGTGTTTCTAGGTTAGGTTGTGGCACTATGACTATACTCAGTTGTTGAAACATGTTGAAACCATGGAGATTGAGATCCATGGAGCCTTTTCCACTACTCATGGCAGAAACAATCAGAGGCCGTTACCATATTCATGCAGAGTCGATGGCAGGTTGCAGGTCCTTGGGAGACAAGAACTACCGACACCCCGAGTACATGTCGCGTTTCTTCCACTCAGGGGAACTGATTGTCCCTTGTATCAGATTGATGTTCATGTGTCTAGATGCTATTTCTGCAGAGCGTCTTCATACACGAAGCACTTCAGCTGCTTATACTTCGGCTGTGGTGAACAGTATGCAGATTAAGGCTATAATGTGTCACGTGTCAATGACAGTATGATGTCTGTCTAGTTTGGGCAAGGCCGCTCATTACAAAAGCTAGCACCATGACTGCCCCTGGCCACCAAAAGTCATGAGGTCGGCAGTGGCTTTCACCGCGGAATGCATCCGAAGACTGAGCCGCGGAACAGCAATGTGGTGCACCTTGAATTGGATCACAGGACCTAATTCAGAATGCCCGCATTCTGAAAGGGTTTGGACATGTTTGGGCTTATTCACTTTAAATGGATTGCATTGCAATCAACCTCGTAGAGAACAAGTTTCTTCTAGACTTTCGCTGCTTATCAACATCTTTCAACCACTTTTCGAGAATAATTTTATAACATATTTGATTCTGGGCGCCATTCTTCCTGTTTTTTGGGACAGGCCTCCCGCGAAGACCTACATGGAGAAGCAGCGAGAGAGGGCCATGCAGGTCCCGAGTTGTGCAAAGGGGTTCTTCCCATGAGCACTTTGATGAACACTTTGCGAAACTGTTGATGGACACTTTTATACACCTTTGTCGCACTTTGAGTACTGTACACGGCCAGAGTCCGAGAGCAAAGTAAATCACCCCTGAGCTGTAGTTAAACATTGACCTACCTACTTGCAGCCTGGAGGATGACTTCCGTATTGATTTTAATAGCACTCTTACTGTTACTTGAGCTGGATGGGCGTGGTTAGGGGATTGCAGGAAGCAGAAGCGGAAGTGGAAAATCTCACCTTACGATGGGAAGCGGACACTCTCAAGGACTTTATTTGCAGGGGCAAGTACCCTCAACCTGAAGTTTTGATTGCCATTTCAATCATGCATCGATTCCCCGACAAACAGACTGCAGGAGTGCGATCAAGGCTACGTCGAGCCAATCGATTCAGATGAAGAACCCGAAGCTGCAGCATCTTGATCACGCGGACCCTTGGTTGACATCTGAGATAAGCTGACCGGCATTGATCGGATTCCTTCAAGAAACCACAGTTGTCATGGAATCTGCTGAATTGAAGCATGTTTAGGATGTTTAGGGAGAGACACATTGTTTCGTATTTGAATACGTGTGATTTCCCAAATACGTTGCGTGCAAACTCGGTGGTCCATTCAGCTTTGTCAACTTTGCCGCTGATCTACCTGCTTTAGTGTCACTGAGGCCGTTTGTCGCTGAACATCTTTAAGTTGCAGGCGATCAACCACCATGGGCGCCTTTTTGGAATCGCCCTCCTGAAATATAGTTTCCATCAACATATACTCTCAAGCAATACACTTTCTCCATCTTTCTCCCGTTTCTGGGTTTGGAGATAAGATGTTAAGAGATGTTAAGAGTGAATAAGTTAAGACAGTTAAGAGCTCTTTGTCAAGCCCAAGTGGTTGCAGTTACAAATCCATGCAAAGGCTTGTGTGGATCTGAAAAGCAGGACCCATCAAGGACCTTGAGTATGGAATGTATGGAGCGTTTCACCAGAATAGCAGAAGGCCTCGCATGTAGTGGTTCAAGGAAGTGACCAAGTGAGCCTAGGCGGAATAGACTTTGCTGTCATTCGACATCATTGTTGGACCACGATGTTGGTTACATTAGCGCCATTTTGCTTTTCTGACGTAGTATCGTGGGGTGTCAGTGAAGCTGACCACGTGGTAGGTTCTGAATTTACAGGATGTTTTTTTGATTGGCTCTGAACGCCTGCAGGCTGTTGAAGAAAAATGTGCCAGGGTCAGATTCAAAAGTCTTTTGAGGTCAAAGGCTGTTGCACGATGTCAAATGAACAGGTTGAGGCCAAAGTGATTTGTCTCCAGAAGATTTCCTACTTCAGCATGCAATCCACCTGGGTAGTCAAGATGGCAGCCAAGAAGTCCAGTCTACATTGGCTGCCCTTGGAGATGCTAAGGTCTCAGACAGAGATTGTGCAGAACATGATGGAGGCAAGCGGCATGACTCAGCGAATCAAACATCTTGAAACGTGCCGTGGCAGTTTTTGCCAATCCACAAACTGCATCAAACTGGTGTGCTCATGTGCAATACAGGTGCAAAACCGTGTCCCAACTTCGGCATTTTCGAGCGGCTACGTTGTTTGTGCGGCAAGGAACTGGGAAGCATTTTCCGGGAACGCTTAGCAGTGGCTTGGCTGCATACAAGATTGCAAGGTGCTGAGTTAAAGAAACGAGTACAGACCATACAAGCTACTTGCAACATTGTGACATGCACGAATAACGAACCATTTTGATCCATTTGGTATCACTAAAGCAGTAAGGCACTTTCTGATTTTGAAAATTATTGCAGCCGTCATTTATATAAGCGCTGGAGCAAAGCATTTTGATTTGGCCAGTCGGCCAGGCCATTCTATCTGCACCAAATGCTACTGCTGCAATGGCCGCCGCCAAAGGTCGGGCGGAAAAGCCGCCGCACGCGGACGCCACAGAAAAGAGTTTGGTCGGCTGATGTGGCATAGTATATTGAAATAATTTGAAATATTAATTGAACACGAATGTGATTACTTGAAATTACTTGACATTACTTGTTGGAGTCTTGAAACGCAGTATTTTTCACAGTTCCGCAAACAAGTCTTTCGAGATGGAAACGACAAGAGCGACGCAGAGCCAGAACATCACAAGTATTTGTCTCGTCCTGTTTTCCATCATGGCCAAGTTATGAATTCAGAGTTCGTGTGAGCAAGAGTCCAGAAGAATACTTCAATGACATTTGGCACTTGCAACATGCCATGTAAACATTGTCATTGCCATCATGTATATATATATACACGTATAATATATGTAATATAAAATGATATATATATATAATATCTTATATAATATATATAGAAATATAGACAATATATAATAAATTATAATAATATAGAAGAAAGAAGTAAGAGAGAAGAGAAGAGAGAAGAAGGAGAGAAAGAGGAATAGAGAAGAAGAGAGAAGAGAAGAAGAGAAGAAGAGAGAAAGAGAGATAGAGAGAAAGAGAGAAAGAGAGAAGAGAGAAGAGAGAAGAGAGAAGAGAGAAAAGAAGAGAAAAGAGAAGAGATAGAAGAAGAGAGAAGAAGAGAGAAGAAAGAGAAGAAGAAGAGGAAGAAGATGAGAAGAAGCGAGAAGAAGGGAGATTTAGAAGGTAGAAATAGATTAATAAGAGAGAAGAAGAGATAAGAAGAGAAGAGAAGAAGAGAAGAAGAGATAGAAGAAAGGAGAATAATAAGAAGTATTATAATAATAGTAATAAGAATAAGGCGAGAAGAATCGATAAATGAAGATAGAAGAAGAAGGAATAAGAGAGAAGAAGAGAGAAGCAGAGAGAAGAAGAGAGAAGAATATAGAAGATGAGAGTATAGAGGATAGAAATATAAGATACAAGAGACAAGAGAGAAGAGAGACTCGATAAGAGAGAGGATAGAAGATATAATATATAATATATAATATATAATATATAATATATAATATATAATATATAATATATAATATATAATATATAATATATAATATATAATATATAATATATATAATATACAATATACAATATATAATATATAATATACAATATACGATATACAATATATAATATATAATATTTAATATATAATATATAATAGAGTTTTTTTTGAGAGTTCATTCGGACAGTTGCCACTCTCCTCCAGTCCTTTTCATTTTCTCTCCGGTTTACGGAGCGACTTGCCTGTTGCAGTCCTGAAATGCTGGTGCGGAGAAAAGGAGCGGCTGGTTTTTGCACTGGAGCCTGTCAGGGTTGTCCAGTGGTTGCTCAGAGAATGGCATGGTCCGGCATGGTATTTGTGGAGTTTGCGCTTTGCCGAACAAACACACCACCAACAGTTTTCTTCGCTGTTCCTAAGTTGGGTGCTGGTGTGTGCATCGATCTGACCGTTGCGTTATGTTGCATTGTTTCAATCACGAAAGAGCTGGACGATTTGGAATGTGATTCCAACGCACGTGTAACTCTGTAAGCAGCGTTCTATGCCACTGTAGAGGTCCCGTAGGAGCTGGATGGTGCTCACAAGCAAAACTCAGGAACAATTTATTCAAATCCAGTGGACAACACAGAAAACCCGTTCAAGACTTTCAAGATCTTTCAAGAGTTTCAAGACTGTAAGAATCCACAAAGTGCTTCCGTGGCCCTATGCCCCATGCCTCGTGAGAGGTGGTGAAACCTCCGCAACACCTCACAAGATCAAACACACGGATAGATGCGCTGAACTTCGCCTGTGAACAGTCCCCATGCCACTATGACTTTGGAGAAGCCGCGCGTGGTGTGAGGTGCCAATCCACAAGTGAACAATTTGAGGGAAACTAGGAAGCCATCCAGAAAAGGCCATGGATAAACAAATTTGTTCGAACGAATTCAACTAATAAAGGATACGGCCAAGTGGAGAACCTGCGTCGCACTGGAAGTGGAGAACCTGCATCGTTATGGAGGCGATCGCAGATCGTTACTGTATAGTCTAGTGTAACTTCTGGAGCGTTGGAACGCGGAAAGGGAACCACAGTTTTCGATCAAAGTGGTATCAAAGGATCAATCGTGCAGGAGAAAAGACTTCAAAGGGAAGGGTGCTCAGTCGTCAAACACACGTTCATGAGCTTAACAGCTAACACCGGCGCCAAACCTAGCCCCAACCTATGTCTGACCCAATCCGATATGACCCAACCCGGCCCATCCCAAATCCAACAAAACTGTTCAATATGTACCTGCCCTGCGACGGAGTTCTTACCCCATTCAAACAGATTGTGACCTGACGCATAATTGCCTATTTGAATGCACTCCATAGCAAACGCTGCAAACATCTGTGAAACATTCAGAAGGATTGGAGGAAAACGAGTGTGCGCTTGACATGCTTGCAGAAATGGTGAACCCTGCCAAAGGACTCTGCGGGGTGACAATTTCACGTGGAGGGGCGGCAGAGGATATTTCATCCAACATCATCATCATCATCATCATCCAACATTCAGGCGTTCAGTGGCGTTCAGGATAAATTGTGCGGGGGAGTGTGGGGCTGAAACATACGTGATTGACCCAACGCACCAAGGCGTGGTGAGGCCGAATCCCAAGCAACAGTGAGATCCACAGGCTCCCCCCAAAAAAATCGTAGATTTCGCACACCAATTGCATTTTGTGTGTCCTGTTTCTGCGACGCTTATGCCTTGCGCCTCAAATTGCGCGGTCCTTCCCTGCAGTGGAACCCCATTGCGGCTGAACAGGGGTTCGTAGTCGCAAAGGATTCAAAGGTGGAGCAGTGCGAATCGCGAATCACGAAGCACGAGGTCATGAGGTCATTGCAACAGCTTCTTGCGTTGTAGCAGGTCAGGAGCTTGGACAGGATGACGATAGTTTTGTATAGTTTTGTGCGCAAACCACAAACGTCTTACGCGAAACACATACTTGACCTACTCGAGTCAGATCACGAGTCATTATGACGAACGAGAGAGTATAAATATAAAAACAAATATTAAAAACAGTTCATGGCATCAACATTGTAGATTTTTCCCGCATGTGGCTACGACGAAAACTTCAACTATTAGGTGGCAGAGCCGATCCACAAGATCCAATGAGACAAGTTGTTTTCCAACCAAATTCTCTCATTCCAGGAACGGAACATACTAGACTAGACGTGTTGGAAGAACAAGGGCGCACTGATGCGTTTAGAGAACTTGGAAATCCAGAACAGTTTGACATACAAAACGCTCAACATCGAAATTTGGTTAACAACTCAGCTCAACAAAGAGCTGGCATCTTTTCAAAACATTGCACCGTCACCGACTTCGTCATCGCAAGCATCGTCACCGAAAGATTTTTCGGGCATCTTCCTGGCCCAGCCCAGACTCAGCTATTTCACCCTTGTACCCTCAAACAAATCACCTGTTCACCTAGGTACTGTAAGATGTTTGTTTTGATTTACATTTTTTCCCCTACACTTTTTCTACGCAAATGCGTGCTGCAAGGCAAAGCGACTTTTTTCCATGATCGCTGCAAAACAGTTGCTGTGGATTCTGCGCTCGGCTCCGGCCTATGCGTTGCAACAAACACTTTGAGTCAATCTGCCACGTGTTAGCCAATGAGGTTGCCCATGTAGGTGCCGTGTACACTTAGACTCATCCTGTACCATGTTTTGCCTCTCGTAAGAAATATCCGGGAGTGGTGGAGTATACCACCACGTTGAAACCTTATGAAAGGGGCCCAGACCATACCGTACCAACCCTGCACAGCACAAAAAAAACACTAATTCCAGACGGCCGCTGACTACTTTTCTGCTATTGGTCAAGAAGCAAATACGTTGGACAATCCAACAGCTTTGGGTCACTTTGCATGAAAGGTTTTAGGGTTAGCCGGAAACTGTGCAAACGCGATGAGCAGAATGGGTTTTATGGTATTTACGCGCGATGCTCGCTCAAACCACTTCAAAAAGAAATCAAAGTGCCGGTGCAAATTTGGTCATGGTTGACGACATCACATAGGCCAATAACAGGGACACAAACTGTTCCAGAAATCAACAACCCAAGATTGGCAAAACAGTTGACAATGGGACCTAAGAACAGGCATTTATGTGTGAACTGGACCTACTTGTACTGTTCAAATTGAAGTTTTCATCGGGAAAAAAATATGAACCGGTGGATGTAGGCTATTTTCGGACAAATGCGTTTTCCTAACTCTAGCACATGTTTTCCTGTCCTGTTCTTTCATTTTCCTGCCCATTTCTTTTTGTGTTCGTTTGATTCCATCCGACACAAATACATTCAGTAATTATTTTTTTTTTTAAACCTTTCATTTCGTTTTGCAGTTCTTCGTTCCCCGTTCTGTCATGTTACATGTTCTGGTTGTTCTTTTCATGTGTTTTCGTGTCTTGTTCTTGTTCCCCACCTGCCGGGCGAGGGTCTTTAGATTTTATCAGAGTTGTATCCGTCCTCCGCCTCCTCCTTCTCCTTCTCCTCGTCCTCCAGCTCCCCAACCGTGAGTTGCAGGCATAATAGGCACTGCCAGACTTCAACCGCAAGCGCCAAATTTCAGTAGGCATTGTCGGACCTCAACCGTGAGCACCAGATCTCAGAAGCACTGCCGGACCCCAACCGCGAACTCCAAAGCTCAGTGGGCACTGCCGGACCCCAACTGCGAGCTCCAGATTTCAATGGGCACTGCCAGACCAAACGCGACGTGTCAGTGGGCACTGTCGGACCTCAACGGGGAGCGCCAGATGTCAGATACAAAACCAAATAGAATGCCAGGTAGAACATGAGAATATACTCCAGATGGAATGCCAGACACAATGTGAGAACCCCTGCAAAATCACGAGTTGCAATCATCTCTCGAGCCAGCGCGGGGTCAGCAGTTCAAACCCCAACTTTGCCTACAAAAATAGGATTGCGAGTCGTAAAAGGAATTCAGAAAAATGCGCAACCCCAGTTTGCTAGGAAATTATTTTGTACAGAACATTTTTTGCATGTTTGCGTCAGGTTTTGACGAAATGCATTGGGTGGATTTCTATTTTGTAGAGGTGGTTTTGGATGTTAATGAATGATTTGGATGTTGCTCTGCCGACATGATTTGTTCAGGATTGATACAGCAAACGTCAAAGATGATTCAAAGATGGGTTTAAAACGAAAACTACAAAAAAAAGGCGAAAAATCAAAACCAAAATGCATTAAATTATATATAATTATATATATATATATATTATATTTTTTAAAGGTGTATTTAAACAATAACAATTCGGTTCGTTTCTGGTTATTGTACCAATAGTTCGACTTTGTCACGGCTCAGTACACCATAACACCTTTGTAGGGATAGCTCACGTAAGTCACGCAAGTCACATTTTTGCACCGGCTCAGTGAACACTAAATTCGGATAGGTTTATATCAATTAATACTGTTTATTCATCTAATGGAAAATGGATATGGTATCAATATTTATCAATGTTACAAGGTCAGGGTGGTAACTTGTGCTGCGGTTGCCTTCTTGTGCCGCAAATGGTGTGCCGTTGGGAAGTCTATGATATACATATCATTCTTACCGGATGAATCAATTGTTTGTGGCATTGATTTTCTAGCACTTTGCAAGGGCACAAATGCTTTTGAGACATATTTTGTTTTAAAATAGAAACTCATGTGGATGGGTTCCCAATAGTTTGGCTCACACAGACGAGAGAACAGTAGAAGAGAAAAGTAGAGTAGAAAAAAATGCATACGAAAAAGTAGAGAAAAACTTGAATTGAAAAGCAGAACTGACTAGAGAGTCATAGAGCAGAGAAGGGAAAAATAGAAAAGATCCCTGCTGCCTTGCCCTGCTGCCTTGCCTTGCCAAATCCTGATCTCGTACAGATTTCGTAAGGATTTCGTAAAAATATCATAAAAATCACGTTGCCAAGCGGCACCTTGGATATCTAAGCGCCATTGTGCTGTGTTTGTTGTTCAGTGCTGGAATGTTCCGGGTGTGCCACTGGGAAAAGCGTTTTGTGAGTATATTTGACCCAGGGTAGGAGTGAGAGTCCGCCAATGAGAATGACATGTAGGACTCCTGGCCTTCTAGATTTTAGAGGGCGCGTTGATGTTGCGCCATACGGTTTACAACGCTTTGTGTCAGGTTTAAGACGGATAAAAACCGGCACAAAGCGTTGCAGTCCGCATAGGAATTTTATGAAAACAATGTGCACATATATGGATAGGTGTCGGTGTGCCGTGGTGATTTCGCTATGGCACAAGTCCTTTAGATTGTGGGGCAAGCTGTGTGCCATGCGGTGGGGTAAGATGATAGGTTGTGGCGTAAGTTACCACCGATGCTCGCACCACATTCGATCATTTTTGGGTCTTTAATTCATTTCGTTTTTGTTGGCAAATTTATTCAAAAACAATGTGCCTTCTCAAATGGCAAATGCCCAATATTTATATTTTTTTTTTTGGGTAGGACCTTTTGATGTTTTTTTTTCGAACATGTTTAAAATATTTGTAAGAATTTGATAGCATGATTCACATTTAGCACATTTTGCACAAGGACCAGCGGCAAGATAGCACGTTAAAACTGAAGTGTTTTCATGCTGGTGCCAAGACGTGGAAGATATGCCACAAGAAAAAAATCAGGGGAAAAAACATGGAGTATGTAGACCGCAGCAAACTCAATAAAATACGGCTTGAACATGTCCGACAAAACCTGTTCGGGACACTTACGACACCTGGAAGGGGCAATTATTTTTGATTTTATTTTGTGGAGGACATTTATTTAATAGTTTTTATATATATTTTTGGTAGTTGGCAGCAATTTTGGGTTGGTTTCAAAGGCTTGCATCTTGTAGTGCATTTGGGGGCAGTTCTCTGGATGAACTTATACTATGTAGGTTCTTTTTCTCTACAAAATCGTGTGCTAGCACCATCACCTTCAGTGAACAGTTGGATAGAATAAATATCGGATATAACCCCTTGCTTTCCAGATAGAATGCCACGCTGCAAATTCGCAACGCACACCCAAAATATGAGAGAAATAGTCACAGATCGAACCAACTTTGATGGAAATCCGTGCCGTCAAAGGTAATGTTCAGAACGCCAAAAATTGAAAAACCAAGGCCTGGAAAAGGCAAAGGGTACCAACAGCAGTGGAATCAACCGTGGCAAAAACAGACAAACCAAAGATGGGAACAAAGGTCAGGCAACACCAAGGGAGACAAAGGCAATCAAAAAGGCAAAACTCGCGAAAATGTAACAAACGTGACAGAGGCAAGGCAAAAAAAACAACCCAAATGCAGGCAAACAATGTCACACTTGCAAGAAGTGGGGGCACATAGCTGACAATTGCCAATGGAAAACGTCAGGTGCGAGGGACGAAATGGAACCCAACCCAAAGAGTGAAACAGCCACGAGATGAACCAGGCCCCAATATGATCATGACAGCGCGCGACACCATAGCAGCAATCAAACCGTGCGATGATGTGGATTTTGTTTTGTTCATGGTTGATTCGGGTGCTTTTGTAGCATGTGCTACAAAATGGACCCAGCGAAGTGACCGTCCATAATTTGGTGGGTGGGTGATTTTGACCCATACGCCCATTTCATGTAGACGGGGTTCTCACGCACTATTCTCGAAAACTTTGAGCCACCAAAATATTTCAGGGTAAACTTGGAGATGTTTGATGGTTAGGCTTAGGCAGTGTAGCCGTACTTGCTCAGAAGGTGGTGTCGATTGGGACGGGCCTGATGTGTAAATTCATAGGCGCCCACAGCTGGAGGTGTACGCATCTATGCCCTAGAATTTAATAATTATAGCGCCAACGCGCCACGCATGAAGGGCTGATCATCTTGATTCGGTACGGCTGGTGTAGAGGCAGTGCCGGAAAAATATCAGTTATCAAATTATGTTTGCGCAGTAACGACTGAGTAGCTCACCAGAGCTTTCAATGGTTAATGACATTTAAGTGTGCAGCAGTCGGGGAAAGGGTCTGTAGTGGGCGGCTGCTTCCGGCGAAGCTGCCAGAACGAACCAAAAATTTGGATCCAAATAGACGTTCGCTATTGAGTGGGCGCCGGCGCTGTACTGAGAGTGTTATTGTCAAAGTTTTTTGGTAATAACGTTTAGGCATTGCGTATCACCGCCGCGTTTCCGCAACCGCCTGGCACACAAGCTGCCCTTCATTGCCGGCTGCAGCCACTTTACCGTCACCATTCGCACCACAGAATGGACATCCTCAAGCTGATTTGGGCACCTGTCATGGGGCCTTCTTGTTCCACAAGCCCTTGGTAGAGGCCATGGGGGTGATGATGTGCTACGATCTCATCGTCGTCGACGAGGCCCCCCAGCTGTTCGAGGAGCACTTCAGCCGCTTGCACGAGATGTGGCGGGCAGCCGGCAAAGTACCGTGTTTGGTTTTCGCCGGGGACGAGTGGCAGCTCCCACCGGCGGACCACACCAAGCGAAAACTTGGTGAATCACCCCGGGTGGCGTCTCGTGCACAAGATCGAGCTGCACAAAGTCTGGCGCCAAGCAGACGGAGACCCACTGTTTCTGGGTATCTGAGAAAGAACCGGCCAATGGGCTCAGAAGGCGACGCCTTCGTGCGCGACCTGTGTCGGCAACACTAGGCCTGGTCGGGGCACCATGAGCCAGCCAACCTGGACATCGAAGATTTCTTCCAGAAGACGGACGGCAAAACCATGGTCGTCACATGCACCCGCCGCGGTGCAGCCTCGGTGAACGCCTTGATTGGCTGTGGAAGTCCTCGTCGAACTGCCCGGAAAGCAGAAGGTAGGCAGCATCTCCGCGGCTTACGACAACAATCCGGACAACTACGACATCCAAAGCAAGCTCCGCGCAGATCGTAGTCCTGAACCACTAGCGCTGGACCTCTACGTGGGGCTGACGCGCAATTTGGCAAAGCACTTGGGTTATGCCAACGGCATTACAGTGGTGGTGGAGTCCTTGGACAAGCGCACCAGTGCAGTTGTGGTGCGCACAGAGATGCAACAAGTGCTGATGTGCCCCAGGGCCGCGTGACCTATCCACTATGTCCAGGGTACGCAGATACGGTCCACAAGTAAGGTCTGGGGGGCAGAACTGGCACACGTGACATTTTCGCCAGACAGAGCAGGCTGTGCAGCTGCTGCATACGTGGCATTGTCAGGAGTCCGGAAAGACAGTGATTATCTCTGACGAAGATGTATTAAAATTGAGCACTTTGTGCCCGCCAAGTAGCCAAGCACAGCGCCTGGGGCATTGACGGCCCGTGCGTCAAGCCCGGTGTATAGATGACGTTTGTACAGAAACATCCAGCATGAAAAGAATTATCCATCTGTATACACTGCCATGCTGGGTTGCACTTGCTTCCGACACCCTAGAACACCGCAAAATGATGCTGCATGTTGCAGCGCTGCCGTGTGTCGCAAGGCGTCGCAATAATATGGAGAGCGGAATAGCCCGCAGAAGATGGGAAATATGACCGATTCAAACATTAGAGATCTAGCAACGGATAAAAATCTTAGCCCTGTTAAAGGTTCCGGCAGGTGGCTGAAGAGCAAAAACAGCACACGCGATATCATATCAGAGCTGCAGCACGTCACAGCTCTTAGTGCGTCCCCCGCGTCATAAAGTTCAAAAGAAAACGAAGTCCGCAAGCCACGTCATAGCTGCCATGTGGGTCACCGTGCCATCCGACAGCTTGCGCGCGTTGCCCGCGGCATGATCACCGGGGGCCGCCCTGCAGCGCATGCAACTGCGCGCGCGCATGGGTTTGTTCCACTGCCGGTGCCAGAGTTTAGCCCCTTGCGGCTCATCGGGCATTACGTCCACCTACGGATTCGCGCGGCCTGGCCGCTGCTCGCGTACGACAACAGCACGCGGCAGCCGGCCGGAGAGCCCCGCCGCCGCGTGCGAATCCAGCACTTTAGGCCTCTCCGCGCGTGGCCAAGAACTCAGGCGACGTTTCCAATCCCGCGTGGGGGCTTCCGATTTGCCATAAGTTTCTTTGCGGACCCTTTCTTGGAAGCGGGCAGTGAAATTCTGGACGCGCAACAAGCTTGGCAAGTTGTGTTTCGCGAAAGGTTTCACGCTGACCAAGTCATGGAATTGCGGACCACAGCAGTCCAATTACAAGGGGACAGGCTTCCAGATCGAGTTGTTTGAAGAGGCAGTCGCGGTTTGGGATGCGACCTTAGAAGATGAGCCGTGGCTTGGCTGCAAAAGAGTGGGCACGGGGGGAGGATCGCGAGCGGAGTAAACAGACATAATGTAGGCTGCCGAATAGCAAATCCCACCCCCTAAATAAAATAGTTATTTTAAAAAATGTAGGGGGGTCAGCATTCCAATAGTAAATTTTTGGAACCTTATAGCTGGGATCATGGAAGTGGGGGCAGAGGTGGTGGAGGCGAAGGAGGAGGACGAGGACGAGGAGGAGAAGAAGGAGAAGAAGAAGAAGGAGAAGGAGAAGGAGAAGGAGAAGGAGACGCAGACGCAGACGCAGACGGAGACGGAGACGGAGACGGAGAAGGAGACGGAGAAGGAGAAGGAGAAGGAGAAACAAATTCCACTATTGCCATGCCTGGTGCAGATTTGTTACGGTGAACAGAACCAAGTACAGGAAATGCAAAGACTGCATGCCAGGGTAGATCTCACAGGCCGCAGCATGTGGGCAGTACAGAAGCAGAACGTGACCGGAGTGAAAACAACAATTCCGATGTCAACCCCACACATGGCCTCACGTGCGAACCTGATACATGACCGCTCCCGCAGGGACCCTTTGAGCCGTAGTGAAAGTTGATGGTTTTGTTTGGTGATTTTAAGCAGACTAAGGATCCCACGGAATCCTTTTCAAACTGTTACCCACTACTTTCTAGGTAATAACCCAAACAGTTTCAAACCGTTTCCTGCCACTTGCTACTTCGCCCTGGCAAAAATCGCACATAGTTTCACAAAGTTTCAAGCAGTTTTTCAATATTGGTAATGAGCAAGTAGTCCGACACCGTTTGCAGCCGTTTCATACCACTTACTAGGCAGTAGTCCGAAACCAATCCAAACCGTTGCAAACCAACCCCTAAACACCTGCAAGGTGAGGGTTTCTAGATTCTATCAGAGTTACTTGCTTCCTTCCTTCCTTCCTTCCTGCCTTCCTGCCTTCCTGCCTTCCTGCCTTCCTGCCTTCCTGCCTTCCTGCCTTCCTGCCTTCCTGCCTTCCTGCCTTCCTTCCTTCCTTCCTTCCTTCCTTCCTTCCTTCCTTCCTTCCTTCCTTCTCCTCCTGTTCCTCCCAACTGCGAAACCCCTTATCTCAGTGTGCACTGCCGGACCCCAACCGCGAGCTCCAGCTCACAGTGGGCACTGCCGGACCTCAACTGGCGAGCTTCAGATCACAATGGGCACCGCCGGACCTCAACCGCGAACTCCGGATCGCAATGGGCACTGCCGCCCAACCATGAACGCCAGATCACAGCGGGCACTGCCGGACCTCAACTGCGAGCCCTAGATCGCAGCCGACACTGCCAGACCCCACCTGCGAGCTCTCATACGACCAGATGCTCCGCACCCGCCGCTTTAGCGAGCCTACTTGTCGACCCTCTGGAGAAAACACTGGAAAAAAACATTGTAATGCGCGACTTTTCTACTTTTCGCGCACCTGCATCTTCTTTCTTCTGACTTTCTCGTCTCTGATCTTGTTTCTCCTTCCTTTCTCTTTGCTGACCCTTCCCACTTTTCCATCTGTCCATATTGTCGGAAGTTTGACTTCTAAACTTCCTTCGCCCAACATTAAGTAACACTATTATTCCCCACCTGCCAGGTGAGGGTTGCTAGATTTTAACAGAGCTCTTCTCCTCCTGCGTCTCGTCCGCCTCCTCACCCGCCGCCTCCTCCTGGCAGTCCAGATCCCAGTGGGCACAGCCGGACCTCCACTGCGAGCTCCAGATCGCAGTGGGCACTGCCGGACCTCAACCGCGAGTTGCAGATCGAACTAGCCACTACCGAACCTCAACCGCGACTTCCAGGTCGCAGTGGGCACTGCCTGACGTCAACCGCGAGCTCCAGATCCCAGTGGGCACTGCCGAACCTCAACCGCGAGCTCCAGATCCCAGTGTGCACTGCCGGACCTCAACCGCGACTTCCAGATCGCAGTGGGCACTGCCGGACCTCAACCGTGACTTCCAGATCGCAGTGGGCACTGCCGGACCTCAACGGGAACAATGCCAGAAGATATGCCAGATAAAATATCAGAAGATATGCCAGATAGAATGCCAGAAAGAATTTCAGAAAGAATGTCAGAAGATATGCCAGAGAGAATGTCAGAAGATATGCCAGAAAGAATGTCAGAAGATATTTCAGATAGAATGTCAGAAGATATGCCAGATAGAATGCCAGAAAAAATGTCAGAACATATGCCAGATAGAATGTCAGATAGAATGCCAGAAGATATGCCAAATAGAATGCGAGATAGAATTCCAAAAGATATGCCAGATAGAATGCCAGAAGATATGCCAGATAGAATGCCAGATCGAATGCCAGAAGATATTTCAGATAGAATGCCAGAAGTTTTGCCAGTAACAAAATGTATAAATGTCATGGTAGGGATCACACGAAGAAAAGTAATTTAATATTATTTACATATTTGTAGTGTGTAGATTGGGAAAAAACAAAAATTGGAAAACTACATTGCGATGGTGAGGAAGGCAAATGCAACATAGAGCAGCCTTAAGACAAACATGCAAGGGCAAAATGCTCATTTATGCCGGCCCATCGCTGCATCCTGAAGGGCCAGCGTCACTTGTGCAATGTTTGATCGTTTGTTTCGGAAAATTTGTTCTTCATATTTTATTGTGTTTTTCTTCCGTTTGATCCCACCCCACCCCACAAAAACATTTTTGACTTACAAGACGTTGCAAAGGAGGCCTATGCTCACAAACGCGACGACATATCTGAGCATCAGAAAATTCATCCGCCCACCGCCGACCGCTGTTGCGCCGGAACATGAAACCCCAAAGCAGCGCAGTTCCCGCATCAATGATCAGGTTTCTTATTTTTCCCATGAATTGCCAATCCAAACGCCGTTCATTGTTCCGTGGAATGCTGTTATGCAGCAACCCCTTAAGACGCATTTCCTTTATTGTTTTTTTTGCATGCGCAACGGTGGCATGACATATTGCATGAACAGGTGGTTCACTGTCGAATTTGGCTTTAACATACTTTAGCAATGGGGTCCCACGCGCCGTGACCAAATGTTTCTTTATTAGGATTTGATTCTATTTGCATAGAATGTGGTCAAAAACATCATGATCACATGTCATCTTCAGAATGGGAAACCAATCCAAATGTAAAAGGACCAATGTTCAAAACAACGGCCTGCGACGCAGAAATGCACTTATTTGTGCTGTTCTCCTGCAGTACCGTGCCAAATTTTGAATCCATGATCGCCAAGCAGGTGCCGACTGGATCGATTGGTGGGTGAAAGACTGGATTCCCATTGGTTCCCTTGTCATCCTTTCGTCCTTGCCAGGAGCCATCGAGGGTTGCAGGTAGACACCTCAGATAGCACATTTTAAGATTGCCAGTTGCCCAACAGGTACATATAGGAAATGGATGGAAATCGAACAGCGATATCAGCGATGAGATGCGGTACGTGGTTTCAGACCTTGATTCCTTGGCGATGAAAGCGATGAGTAGGGACCAAAAAAAATAAAATAGCACTAAGGCCGTCTATTGCTCAAAGAAGCAATTGAACTTATCCCATCTGGACGTTGGGACGTCCAATTCTTGGCTAACTGCAAGGATCGAAACATATCCGTTGCACAAGTCTTGAACACTTTCAAGATTGTATGTCATTTTTTCGTTTTTTTTTGAAAGTCGTGTCCACGGTCTCCGAGGAATTGACAAATTTGCTGCAAAGTGCAGTACTTACAGACGTTGATCGCCATTTGGGTTGGGTGATTTCCAAAAAAGAGGTGTCCGGATCGTGATGAGGTATAAGTTACGGTATAAGTAGGTATACATTGATAGACGTGGTAGTCACAGGATGTCACAGGTACTCAAACCCAAAGTGTAGACCTATTGCGAGAGTCCCTACTTGATGGCTGTGGCATTTCTTGTAAACCTTCAAGCGTGCCGGGTCGAACGTGCAATTCGTGCAGGATGTCAGACCGGTCACATCGGTCGTGATAGTTTGGTCACGCTGAAGCATCCCTACAGGTAACGCCTCGCACCTGCAAGCCGCCAGGCTGAGATTGGAACAGCAGGTGCAGGGATTGGAATGCCCAGAATGACAGTGGAAGACATTGCAAAGAATCATCATGAATATCATGAACCCGAATCCAGCAACTAATCGAACCAAAAAAATCTTCTTGACCATGCCAGGTGTTGGAGTCGCACTCCACTCGCGCTGCTAAGCTGCATTTTTTTCGACGTGGCTCCTTTTCAACTGGGAAGAGAGATGAAGAGTCCTCGAATTTGGTGTGTCATCGCTTTCCCCCTCACCTGATCCATCTCCACTTCGAGACTTCCAAGGCCCGGTCTCAGAATGACAAGGCCCTTCGGCGGCTTTCATATGCCAGTAGAAGTCTGGTGCAGCCGTGCAGCGTGTTTGTTTTTTTTAGTTTGGTAGGATGTTGCCCCCTTGCAGCAAATTGGCACCCCTGTCGTGTAGATCTGAGACGGCCAGCGGCGAGGGTTGTGGAAGTCTGCATCGCATGATCGCTTGATCCAAAGTCTTCCATGTTTGTTGTCCTTGCCAAACGGTGCCAGGTTCCACCCAATTTCATCTACTTTTCATTGAAATGGTTCAAGGTTCGAGTAGTGGCAGCTGCAGCAGCCTGGGCAGATAGGCTCAGCAACGGGACCGTGTTGGTTCCATCATGTGATAGTCCTGTCCCTTTCGTAATGTGGTGACATGATGTGACATGGGCCAAACATATGCAAATGTGTTTGCAGGCTCGGGAGGCAGATTCTCGGATCAGCAAATGACCGCAGCTGTGAGTAGACTCAAAGGTCTTGCCCCCGAAGCTCGAGGTGAACGATCCCTTCGGAGACCCTGCTATGGCAGTAGAGTTGAGGCTGACTACCTCGAAGCCTGCTTCTTTCTATCTGCGCGCGGCGAGGTGCGATTTCCAGAACTTTGTTCGCCGATCCTCTTTGAATTCAGTACTCGTAGGTACGATTCGCCTGGAACATGTTGGAGCTATAGCTATCTATAGCTATATAACATGCTATAACGGAGTATCAATGAGTACAGTATCAGCATTTTGTGTTGATATTCTATGGACCGACTCGCAAAAATGCTTGTGCGGACGCCTGCTTAGTTTGTTCATGTTTTCCACGTTGCTCGCAGGTCATTCTTGGAAGGCGTTCCCGCCAAGGATGACAAAGCAGCTAAGCCGCCGGTGGATACCGTGACGCTGACGGCGCTTGGAAATGCCATCAGCGTAGCATGCTTCATCGGAGGCACCTTGGAAAAGGAGGGACTTGCGACCATCGCATCTGCCCTGGCCTCAAAGAAACACACCCTGGACCCTGGGTGGACGACTGACAGGATCACAGGTGGAAGGCTCAACGTTGCAAAGCTGAGTCACCATAATGGGAACTATGGGAACTGGCATCCATTGGCTCTGTGAGATCCTTGCAGGATTCTGCTAATTTGATTTAATCTGGTTACATTTGAGTGCAAGCGGGCGACTCTCGTGAGGTCCGTACCAAGTGGACTTCCGTGGCTGGGCCCATGAAGCACACGCCGAACATTACCGTGGTGCTCAAAAGGACTGCATGGGATATATAATGGTATATAATGATATTTACACACACACATATACATATATATATATATATTATATATATTATATTATATTATACATAGTACTACATTATAATACATTTACGTATGGGTGTTTCCTAGAATTGGACACCCTGAAGCCATTAGTTCCCCCATAGAAATGATAAAATTTGAGTGATTTTGGAGAACAGATTCCATGCAGCTCTATGCACTTCCGCCAGGAAAGCGGCGGAGAAAGCCTTGTCCGGTTCCCTGGCAGTCACCAACGAGAGCACCTCGCCCATCGAAGGGCAGAAGCCAGGCACTTCCGGCCTCAGAAAAAAAACTAAGGCAGGGCATGAAAGGGGCACCCGGGGGCACTTGAATGATCTGAATGGAAGATTGTGGTAACTGTGTGAGCTTAGATGAGTGCTTTGTAAGGCAAAACCCGCTTTCCGGAAATTGGATGGGTAATGATGGGTATATGTCGTAATTTGCTGCTGCGAGGGCTCAGGGCTATGCCATTTTGATGCATTTTGCAGGTCTTCATGGGCAAGAACTACCTGGAGAACTTCGTTCAATCCACTTTTGATGCCTTGAAGGCAACCGGTGTGCCTGTGGAGGGTGGCACCATTGTCATCGGAGGAGATGGCCGCTATTTCAACAAGGATTGCTGCCAGCAGTTGCAACACCTCAGATTTTCATGGAGATGATCTCTCGTAGTTCAAGAGGGTTTGATGGTAGTACAATCCCTTGCGGAGTTGTTGTCCCTATAGTAACTGGGTAGCTCAAAGCCTACAGTTTACACATGCTCATTATCACATAATTTCATCTCTATCTCTCTCTATAATGTACGGTATATCGTGGTTGATCCAAAGGAACTTGTCAGGAGTTATGATTGTGATACGATTATAATGTTTCGATCCCTCGCGAATTGCTCGAGTTCCCGAAAGCAGAATTTTATTTCGTGAAAGTGTCACGAAAGTTATCATTTATCATGAATCAGTATGCAGGGATATTTTAGCGAAAGTTCTGCAAAGTTACGCGAAGGAGCGGGCGAAAGTGAAAGTGCATTTGGAACAGGTTGGCCCAATAAGCCTTGCACATATGCACCCAATAAGCAACAATCTGTCTTGAGGCACGAGGAATTCTGTGATGCTAGCTGATTGTTTACAAGGCTATCACGAAGAAATATATTGACAATAATGCAGGTAGTGACTGAGTCTTCATAAGATACTGTAAGAGGTATTGCCGCTCCACACGGGTCCTGCGAAAGATTTGGAGTTTGCGAAGGTTTGGCTAAAAAAAAACAAACATTTGATTTTGCAAAGAATTTCCGTTTCCGAATGCAACAATATATATATATAAACAAATGTGTATTTGCGTGTATATAAACGTATATTACATGGTCCATCATGGTCCTAGTTTGTGTTAGTATATCTGTGTGTAGCATATGTGGATGTCAGCTGGTGGTGTGGGTGTGCAGCTCTCCCCTGTGATGTGTCCGATGTTTTGCAGGATGCCACTCAGCTCATCGCCAAGATGTCGGTTGCCAATGGAGTGAAGACAATTTGGATGGGAAACGACGCTTGGGTTTCAGCAAATGCCCGAACTTAAATGGAGGTTTATCATGGTTCATCATAGCTAGAACATCATTTCCGTGGCCGTGTTGGAAGTAAAATATGTCTACTTTTTTGATTTGTTCATTGATCGATCTATGACTTATTCATTCATTCGTTCTTTCGTTTGTTTGTTTGGTTGTTTGTGTACTCATTGGTATTAGCTGCATTATACAATTATACATCGTTTTTTGAGCGTTTTGGATGGGCAAACCTTCACGAGGAATTCTTCTTGCACTCGCAGCCTTGGGGGTAGCATCTTGATCTCACATCCCCATTCCTGGGTCCATTGGTTCACCTGCAGTCAATTGCAGTGATGCTAGTGCCACGGTGGTGAATGATGGTGAATGGAGTCAATATGAAGCACCAAATGGAAGTACAGTCACTATTCGATCGCTATTTGATAACTTTAAATGTTCACCATTTCATGTCATTTCGTATCCTTTCCCATTTTTCCCTGCTCGAAGGGATGTGTTGCAAGTTTTTTGGTGGTAAAAAGTGTGGCCTCAGGACGCTTTGCTGAGCACTCCAGCGGCAAGCGCCGTGATTCGCACCCGTGAGGGTGGCTTTGTGCCTTTCGGAGCCTTCATCCTGTCGGCCTCTCACAATCCAGGTGCCGTTGGGGTTATTGCATTTCATACATGTTCTATCATGTTCTGATGTTCTAAGCCGTTGTCGTTTGTTTTTGACGACTTTCGTCACTGCTTGGCAACTCTTGTTGGTTGCCTTGTGGCCATGGCCCAGTGTGGCTGCGTAGGTGGCTTGGACGAAGACTTTGGCATCAAGTTCAACTGCGAAAACGGCGGACCAGCACCAGAGAAGGTCACTGAGAAGATCTTTGAGAACACCACGAAGATCTCTGAGTACAAGATTTGCAAAGGTTTCCCAACAATTGATCTCACCACCAAGGGAACCTATGTGGTGGAAGGCAAGATCCGTGTCGATGTCTTCGACTGCGCTGAAGATCATGTCGGGCTGCTGATGAAGGTTTTTGATTTTGAAGCCATCAAGAAGCTCATTGCAAGGAAGGATTTCAGCCCTGTCCTTATTGGAGCTGTCTGGCAGTTTGGACTAAGTGGCTAAACAATTGCAAAAACTAAGTGTGAGCCTGATAGAGAACCCCAGCGAGGAACCAATCTTTTTGATATCAATTGTGCCATTTGATGAGTGCCCGAGGCATGGTCTACGACTCCATGAACGGAGTGCAGGGTCCCTACGCTCGGCGTGTATTTATTGATGAGCTTGGTGCACCGGAGTTCTCTGGCAGCAAGTGCTCGCAGCATTGTCAGGAAGGCATGAGCCAGAATTGAAGTGAACAGGTGCACATAGAAAGGCAAACACGAGCACTGGCAGGTGTTTTCCATTACTTCATTTCCAATGTCTTTCATGATTTTTCATGAGAATCTAAGCATGAGAATCTAAGGCTCGCATTTTTCCATTGCATTTTTGGCCAAGGTCAGTGCTGATGAACGCAGTTCCCAAGGAGGACTTCGGTGGCAAGGATACGCCCTCCCATGGCCATGCAGATCCCAACCTCACCTATGCAGTGGAGTTGGTGCAGAAGATGGGAACCAACAAGACAGGTCCGGCAGAGGGTGGCCCAGTTTAGTGAGGACAGCAATAGGAAAGCAAGATCTAGAAAACGTGTGGCATAGCTTTAACACCACTTGAACATTATTTGAACCACAAGTTGACAGTGTTAGGGACATTCTTGCAGTGCTTCTTTTGGAGATTGGGGGTGATTTCGGAGACTTTCTTCCCGCTGCAGGTGAGAAAGTGGGCAGTGGTGATGGCGTGCCGGAGTTTGGCGCGGCTGCTGATGGAGACGCAGACAGGAACATGATTCTGGGCAAACAGTGGTTCGTGAGCCCCTCTGACAGTCTCGCCATCATTGCGGCCAATGCCGGCTGCATCCCTTACTTCAAGGAGGGCCTCAAGGGATGTGCGCGCTCCATGCCAACATCCGGTGCCTTGGACTTGGTGGCCAAGAAGAAGAAGATCCCCTGCTTCGTGGTACCCACCGGCTGGAAGTTCTTTGGCAACTTGATGGACTCGGGTGATGAGAAGCTTGAAAGATTTGAAAGGTATGGCAGTCCTTTTTTTCCCTTATGACATCTTATGACACTTTCATAATGTTTAAATGATTTGATCATGATAGATGCAGCTGTAAAGACAATGTCATGGGTTTTCAGGTGCACGACCTCAAAAGATAATACCCCCACATAGCAAACTATGCAGTGTATATTTTATGCGTATATGTCAAAGATAGTGCACAGTACACACACACAAAAATACAATAGATATAACATAGGTAAGTAAATAAATAAATAAATGAGTAAATATTAATTAGATAGATAGATAGATAGATCGATAGATCGATAGATCGATAGATCGATAGATCGATAGATAGATAGATAGATAGATCGATCGATCGATAGATAGATAGATAGAACGATAGAAGGATAGATAGGATAGATAGGATAGATAGGATAGATATGGATAGATCGGATAGATGGGATAGATAGGATAGATAGGATAGATATGGATAGATCGGATAGATGGGATAGATAGGATAGGATAGGATAGGTAGGATAGATAGGAAGATAGATAGCTAGATAGATAGACAGACAGACAGATAGATAGATAGGTAGATAGATAAGTAAATCAATACATGATTATATAAAAATCATGAATACATGTATCTAAAAACACCCACACACAGACACACACACATATATATAAAATAAGTAATTAGTTTATGAAGTATATACATATGTGAAAGCTTATAATATATATATATGCATGTGCGTCGTGTGCGTGTCAACATGTATATGCACATGCAACTGTACACACTCGAATCTACACATGCACTAAAACACGCAAGTAGACTTGTGTGCTCAGATGGAATTTGTTGACTGGGCCCCAACAAACCTGGCTTTCTCAGGAGGTACTTCCCTGACTCTGACATCTACACTCCTTTCTTGTGCGGAGAGGAAAGTTTCGGCACTGGTAGCAGCCACGTTCGGGAGAAGGATGGTATGTGGGCGGTGTTGGCATGGTTGCAAATCCTTGCCAGCAAGAACCAAGACGAGTCCAAACCATTAGTTTCAGTCGAGCAGATCACCAAGGAGCGGTAAAGGGCAAATCATTCAGCGCTTACGCCTTCACTTCAAAGGGTCTCACGCGCCTTTGTACCTGCTGGCAACAGTCCAAAGTACTGTAGCATACTGTACCGTAACAGAATAAAAACATAAAGTACCAATTTTAGTGCACTCAGACTTAACGCATTGAGGTAGTGAGCCCGTTCTGACTCAGTGGTGAGTTCCTTTGCAGGGCCGTTCCCGCAAGCTGCCGAGCTAGATTGAAAAATTCTTAAAGATAATCAGGGGCTACTGCAAGGTGAGAGAAGAGATTGGTGTTTCTGTACTCTCTGAATTATTTCTATATCGTCAGGACCATTGGAAGGTCTACGGGCGCAACTACTACTGCCGCTACGACTATGAAGGGGTGTCGTCAGAGTCAGCGAGCACGATGATGAAGAATTTGATCGAAAAACTTCCGACGCTGAAGGGAACAGAGATGAAGGGCATGAAATTTGAGTCTGCGGAAAACTTCGAGTACAACGATCCAGTGGACAAGTCCGTCTCCTCCAATCAGGGCGTTCAGAATCTGGCTTGCACTAAGTGACAAGTGCAGGAATGCTTGAAGGGCAATTGCATCCCCCTACGAATTTAAGGCACAAAGATCACAAAGTTTGTGGCCTTGTGCCTCTTACAGAGGCTTCCATTTTAGTCAGGCTAACCGTGACATGAAATCCACGTCCAAGATTTTGTAGCTTAAACTTGTGAATCTCATTTTACAAAGGAATCATTTTAATCATGTTAGCCCATCATAAAAATCGCAGTGGCATTTTGTAAGAAAACATGATGAGCTTCATGACGTAGGGACAGAATATGACAGTATTCAAGCTCGTTTGTTTTTCAAGGTTGGCATTTTGTAGCTAAGGCCATTTTGGGAAAAAATGGAGCTCAGCAACCTCATTCTATAGCCCCAAGCTTGTGAATAAGAATAATTTTTGTAACCTACAGAGTTGGGTCACAACGTCTCACTTGAAATTCGATGGGGGATGCAATTGCTTTAAAGGGCATTGCTTGCAATTTCGCTTGACAGGTTTGAGCACTGTCTATGCGGTCCAATGTTTATTCCAAGATATTCCGAGTGTATTCACCCTGGGTAATCCTAACATATCTGGACATATCCAATGCCTGGCTGGTAGCGGCCGCTGTCGTGAGGATTTGTTTCACTGACGGCTCTCGCATCATCTTCCGCCTGAGCGGTACTGGCTCCGCCGGAGCAACCATTCGCCTCTACCTGGAGAAATACGAAAAGCCCAGTGGAAATCTGGACTTGTCACAGTTCGAGGCTTGCCATGGCTGGCCAGCTTGCCCTGCTTGCCCTGCTTGCCCCAGATTCTGGAATCCCTGAATCATGCAGTACAGTAATTATGCAGCACACATCAGGTCAGTTGACTTGTTGATGACCAGTTTGGCCGAGACATAGCATCACAATGCATCAAATATTAATTATGAACAGGCGCGCATGCACGCCCACGCAGATCGACATTGAGACGCACACGCACACAGAGTTGAGACTCGCACCCAGATGCGTAAAGATAAACATATGCATACGTATAAGTAGTCAAATGACTCATGTTACCCACCATCATGTCGCATTGATCATTTACCATCAACTCAGGGGAGTTTGAGTCATTCCGTGGGATACACACAGACGCAGTCATACAGTAGGCTCGCTTTGTTTTGATAATTGGATCCCGTCTGAATTCACCAGATTTCCAATTTCACCTCTCCATGAAGGTTTTTTGGAGACGTTTCTCGTGGGTGTTTGCAGGTTGTAAAGCCTTTGGCCGAGTTGGCGCTTGAGCTGTCGGATCTCTCAAACCTGACTGGCCGCAATGAGCCCACGGTCATCACCTAAAAGCCATGTGGCTGACCGGATCAGGGCATAGCAGGGTGTCATTTTGAGGAACCGAAGGTCGCTCGCAAGTTGACGCACTCTGTGTCGGATTTGCTGAAGAAATTCTGAGTGTATTGTTTCATCAGAACAGTTGGTTTTGCAGGAGTGCATCAGACCTTCGCTGCCTATATAGTTTCAGTTTTTCAGCCTTGGCCAGCACAGCTTGCCCGGAACATCCCGGAACCACAGGGTCGTCCAAAGTGAACCAACTTACATTGAGGCCGACTTGGAAGGTAGTAGGGCTGGAACCAGGCAAGAGTGCTGGCTGAGCAAGTATTGATTTCATTGATTTGATTGTATCCTCAGGGTTCAAATCTGAAACTGGCTAAGTTTGAACGACATTTGGCCCTCAAACCTAGTAGGCCGTGCACTTGTTTAGTCGTATTATCCGGTTGTTGCGGTGGTTTGCCACATGCTGCAATTTGTGCATTCGACACCGCAGAATTGTGTTGTGGATTTGGGCCCTCACACAGACAGATCCACCGGATGTGGTTCGGTTCTTCATAGTTTTCAGAGCTTCCCTATCAGTCAGTGCGCTGCTATATACGCGCTCGTATGTTTAACTGCTGCTGCCGTGAGATTGGGGTGCACAACCGAAAATCGAGCTGCAAGAAAGTGGAAGCATGGTGCGCTCAGCCCCAGGGAGCATGAACTCATATGTTGCAACATAACTGGGCAGGAAGGTGGCACAGCATTGTCTATAAATGTCATTGTCACTAGGACAGGGCCACCCCAACTTGCTGCATCGTGCTGCTCAACACCGCTGCTTTCCGCTGCTTTTGCTGTGCGGCTCTTAGCTGACAATCCCATTCAATCCTTTGGCCATGTCCTTGCAGGTCCCGTGTAGGGGGCAAGATGCTTGTGCCACGCTGCGCTGTAAATCCTTGTGATAGATTGGGTGACACATGGACGAATACTGGAAGACTTGCCCTTACAGCGAGTCTCAACGCATTTGCTTCGACAAGGTGAATCCCAAGAGGATAGGGAAGGCGGCGTGGTACAGATATGATAGATACAAGAGTGCACAGACCATTGGAGAATACTTTGAGATCTGCAAAGGCGCAAATGAAGACAGGAAGGTTGTAAGAGTGGACCTTCAGTACGATATCAGCAAGAATATTTGTCGACTTCTGTCAGATAAGCCAGTTGCACCACCAGCAGACGCTTCCCAGTCCACTGGATTGAAAGGATCGAGCCAATCAAGTGCTCCAATCCCTTCAGCCTCAAGTGATGGACGCAAAGCTGGGACACATGGAACAGGAAAGGCTGGAGCCAAAGATCCAACACTGGAAGCTCCAGAAGTGGTCCCCCCAGCTTCGGTGCCTGTGCCGGTGGTAGATGCTGAAGGAAGGAAGGAGACAGCAACAGCCATGCCACCCAGTCAACAGTCAGTGAATGGGTCAAACCCCAAATCAGGAGAGGAGACTGTTGCGACTGGGGGTGCAGGCCTTCAACCAAAGGAGCAAGAGCCAAAATCTGGCGGAGATAAGGCGCCTCCTGAATCCAAGAACAAAACTCCCGAGGTTCCTGAAACGACCCGGCTTGAGGATCAAAGTCTCTTCTCCCTTCTGGGGTCGGACCAGCCAAAGAAGTTGGAACCCAAAAAGGCAGCTCGGAAGGACCTCAAGGATCGGAAGGAACCAAAGGAAGCGAAGGAAACCAAGGAACCCAAGGAGCCCAAAGACGAAAAAGAAAAGAAGGAAAAGAAGGACAAGTCTGCGAGAAAGCCTTCCAATACTCTGAAGCATTTGCAGCCAAAGCGGGAACGACAGGAACGACACAACCGACAAACAGAAAATCCCAAGGCTGGGAAAGTTCTGCATGTTCGTGAGTTCGTTCGTGATTTGGTGGTGGACTACATAGAGGGGCAACCCGATCCACCGGAAAAGTCCGCGTCAACAGATGGGAAGCAGGTGGTTCGATTGAGAGATAAAGACTCCAAGGAACCAATGGCACCGCCCAACAGAAATGGCTTTATTTGGGTGGCTGATGCAGGAAATTCTGGATACACCCACGATGCCAAGTTTGCGCAGCCTCTTCCATCAGCTGTCAAAGGTGCTCGATGCGATGTTTGTGGAAAATCCTGCGTTTCGGAGCGTTTGTATCGAGTGCGATGCTACTCCCGCAGACTGCTTGGGGCAGTTTCCGAGTTGAAAGATCCGCGGGTCATGAGACGAGAAACCTATCTTGCAGGAGCGCTGCAGCCAATCGCCACTCCTGAGTTGTATAAAGGGCTGAAGATGCTTAAGCAAGATTTCCATTGTTTTTAACTGGGCTGAGATTCAAGAGGTAGGGGGCTTAACCTGCTTTAAGCTGCTCTGGTAATATATTCAGGAAAGTGAGCTCAGTTGTATTTTTGTGCTGCTAGGATCCAAGTGCTTGGAGGCTTTGTTGGGACAGCCGTTCGTGCAACCCCGCTTCGTCAGACAGTTTCGGGAACGGCTTCTCATTGCTTTGGAGGCACGGGGGTGTGTTGATCTGGGAAAAACCATACAAAGGCTGCAATCTGGATTAGAGTAGAGAGTCTGTTGAGCCGCACCCTCATAATTCTTTTGGACTCATGTTGGCTCATTATTTTTCATTGTTTTCTGCTATCTAGCTGGCATCACAACTGAAAGCAGAGTCACTTCATAGACAGTGGCACGTCTTTCGCATGCAGCAACAGCCTAGAGGCACTTGCACACACACATTGCCGGCGATATTGACGATGGTCACAGGACATGACAAGTGTAAATGCCATGGGAACTGGTCCAAACAGATCCCACAGCTGATCTTCCCACTCTGTGAGACTAACTGTTAGTTGTAGTAGACGTATTCAAAATCATCCTTCTGTCATTGGTCAATGGCTTTTCTATGCTTTTCTGTTTGTAGCCATTGCAAGACTTCAAGAACTACAGCAGCACCGAGCCATACCGCGCCAACATGTTCCCCCATTTGGCCCAGTGCTGGTCTTGATTTACTCGAGTCTGCTGGATAGGGATGATGAAATATGAGCCCTGTCGGATGCCTCCCCTTGTTATTGAGATGCTTTTGGTGCAGGCTCAAGGCTTTGATGATCACCAATGGGTGGAGCCACTTTGGCGTCTCAACGATGCACATGGCAGCCTGGCTGTTTTCAGATTCATTTGGCTTTAGCTCATTCAGTTCAGCAAGCTAATTCTTGAGACGCACAGGATGCGCCTTGCTTGCAAGGGAGCACCCCATGACCTTTCCATATTTTTTTATCCACATGCTGTGCTAGCTGCTTGGTTCAAGCTTAATTACAAATAGCCCTTTCGTTTGCATGAGTAGCCTGAATGTATGTCGGATGGCAGAATCCCACGGAGAGGGAGCAAATGATGGTGCTCCAGGGCTACCATCAGCATCAGCTCCATGGGTTTTCACAAGCCAATCAGCCACAGATGTCCCCGATCCCCTGGCCGCAAACATCGCCAAATCCACAGCAACACCAGACGTTGAAGCTCCAAGAGTTGCTTCAGTTCGAAGCTCAGAGAACACAGGAGAATCGACAGTTTGGTGAAGTCAGGTATGGCCAGGAGAATGATGACCTCGTGCCTGGTGATTTGGGTACAGATCCTTGGCCTGAATTCGACAACATCGAGGACCTTCTTAGCTTGGCCATGACCAAGCCGCCGTCCCAAGCATCGCAACTGGTTTCATGTATCCACTCTGCGGCCAAGCTTTGTGACAGTGAAGCCGGACCAGGCGATGTGTCAGGGGACCCAAGGATCAAAGCTGTCCTTGGGTCTTTGAGGGCCAAATCGAAGGAGTTGACTGCGCCACGCAGCATGATGAAAGTTGTTTGGGCCCTGGGCAAACTGGGCCTCCACGGCGGAGAGGTCGAGGGCATCGTGGCAGACTTCGCAGCTGCTGCACCGCCGCGCTTGTCACAGTTCTCCCCACAGGAATTGTCCAACATGCTGTGGGGACTGGCAAGGATCACAGACAGTGCCAAGAGGCAGGTGACAGATGCAGCGGTGCTGGCACATGCCGTGATGAGAGAAGGCACGGCGCGCCTGGTCAGTTTCAGCACACAATGCCTGACCAACAGTCTGTGGGCAGTTGCCAAGCTTGGGTTGCGTGGTCATGAGGTTGCAGTATTCACACGGGAGTGTGTTCTGCAGATTCACTCAGTGATTTTCAAGGAGATGTCACCACAAGGTCTTGCAAATAGCCTCTGGGCCTGTGCCAAAATCCAATGTGAGGGCCGAGAAGGACCAATCCTGGAGAGTGATGTCGTCACACACTTCTGCATGGATGCTGCTCGTCGAGCAACAGCTTCAGAAAATTTGCTGCAACTCTTCTTTCCCCAGGAGCTCTCCATGGCCTTATGGGGAATCGCGAAATTGATGGGCCGCAGGACCCGCTCTGGCAAATGTGAGTTTGATGATATCGAAAAGTTCTCTATGGCAGTTGCCCGAGAAGGCTCTGCCCGAATCCAAGACTTCAGTGCCCAGGGTGTTTCCATCGTTGCATGGGCTTTAGCTACCTTGAACTTGGTTGAAGCACCTGATGCAGTCCACTTTTTTGAAGTGGCGGCAGAAGTGGCCGCCACGCACATTCAGCACTATCCGCCCCAGGCTATTGCCAACCTTTGTTGGGCTCTAAATCGAGTCCCTGGCAAATCCGCTGTCTTGGCGAGTTTTGGTAGGGCAGCCGCCCTAGAGGCGCAGAATCGAATGAATGAGTTCTCATGGCAGGATTCATCTGGCATTGTGAGTGCTTTGATGAACCTCGGGCCTGGGAGTGCAGAGGTGCGAGATCTGACCATTTTGCTTGTTCAAACTGCAAGTTACCAATGCCACAAGATTGGAACCCAAGCCCTGCTGAACATTGCCCTGTCGGCGGTGCGTTTGAAGCTGGATCCCTCTGTGGTGATGCCCTTGGCTGAGGGCATCGCTGAGGTCTTTGTGAAACGCCAGGGGCTCAACGACATTGACAACCGGCAGTGGCAAGAGGTTCAACGTTACTGTGGTTTCAGCACTGGTCATACTGGTCTATTGGGCAATCATGGCCATGGCTATCGAAAGGGCAGGAAAACGAAGAAGAAATGACCGCGGAGAAGACATTGTATAGCCGCATAGCCGTATAGCACTGTAGGGCCTATAATAGCATGTATCGCCGCTGCCACTGGCAGTCTCAGACGGCGATGGAGAGATATCAGATAATAGCATCTATCAGCACAGAATTTGCATGTGGTTCTTTATGTCACCATCTATCCTTGCGTCGGTTTGCGGGCCAGTGCCACACGCGCCAGCCCTGTCTCGCGGACCTTTTGCTACTGTGATGGAGAAAAAACGGACGTTGACGCACTTGAAGTATAGAATTGAACTTGGCCAAGGTATGCACAGGTTGTTTGAAGCAAATGAGTGTGCAAGTCCATTGCTTGCCCAGGTAAGACCTTCACGGACTTTTTGTCAGCTGAACTGGCAAGGGTAATCCGTGCCCGTGGGGCGGATGAAGAGACAGAGAAGGCGAGCATGTTGTTGATCAACGTCGGTGAACCGGAGTAATATCAAACGACATCAAATCATTGCATGTTGTGATGCAGGGAAATGTGTTTCAATCATGCCACTGTGCATCCGGAGAGCTCAAGAGAGAAAGAGATGGGAAAAACATGGAAAGAACATGAGAGAGAGAGAGAGAGAGATAGAGAGGGAGGCTGAGTGTGAAGCAGGGTAGCACCCAAACTACGACATTATATTGACATATATTGACATTGACCCTATATCTTGAACATATAACTGAACATAGTAGGGCATTTATCCTTTCATATTTGCAAAAGAGTTCATGAGCCCAAAAAAGAGCATACAATTGTTAAGAACCCACATTCCTCCAGAGATCAGACCTCAGGAGCACAACCAGAAGAAGCTACATGAGATTGACAGCTTCGAGGACCGTGAGCATTACCGCCAGCTGCGCTTGAACCGGGAAGTGGTCACCCGATGTAAGCAGCTGCGGCAGAGGCGCCGTCCGTCCAGGGGGATCTCAAGTGAAGATAGGAAGGTGCTTCGGAAGGCTTTGAGCACCGGCTCCAACTCAGAAAAACTATGAAAAACTGGTCTGCCGGTCTCTCATATGCTATATGAATCGTATCGGCCACATTCACCTACTCTTTCAGGCTCTCGCTGTCTCTGATGGTGAACAGCCAGAGCGCCAAGGAGGAGTACAAAAAGGCATCAGGAAATGCGGCCGTGCCTGACGTGCTGGAGGATTTACTTCGTTTCGTGGTGTGATTAGTTTGGGGCACTCTGTTTTGGTACAGCGCACTGCAGTAGCCAACAAAGTGTCCCTAGATTTTCCTGTGGTGGATGCGTCAGCTTGTGTCATTTTGATGGCACGCAGATGCAAACCGTGCGTTTGTCCACTTGCTGGGTGTAACGACCATTGCAAATTTCATGCCAAATATCTTGCGTTTCTGCTGGACAGAACTGCATAGGCTATAGAATTCTGTAGCATCGTACTATTTAAGTGCAGTATACATATATTGACGTGTCAAACTTCTTGAACTTTCTCGTGACATGATGGCCACATGTTCAGGCTGATTCCCAAACAGTTCTGGATTTATTGTGACCTCCATATCCTCCATGGACTTCTCCATGGTGATACCCTCCGACAGGATTTCAAATATTTCACTTATATTACTATCATCAAACCATGGTTGCGATTCCTAGATGATTGTCCAGACAGTGGTCCTACTTCCAACTGCACCCAGCCCAGTCATTGCGACCGAAAGTGCAGTGACCTTGTCCAGCTTGGGATTGCGCCCCACTGCGCCGGGGCCAAAGACCACGGACTTTGGGGCAGTTCCTTGGATCAGCTCAGATCGAGCACCCATTTTTGTCAGTGCTGCTAGTGATGGTGATGATGCCAAGAAGCCGCTGCAACATTTTGGCCCCTTTGCGGTGGTTTTGGGAAAACACCTTCACCTCGTTTTATGTTAGGGTCGATGTTATTTACAGTATACAAATACATACACAATGCACAAATTTCGCTGTCATTTTTTGGCCATGGCCCCTTCAGAACACATACAGCTGATGCATGTGATGACATGCTTCTATGATCTTGTACACAATGGATTTCCAAGCTTTGGTTTTAGGTTCTGCTGCACCTCTTGGAGTTTCATGCGATTTCCAGCTCTAAGGCATCGCCTGTGGAAGGCCCACCTGCCAAGAAGGCAAAGACCCAGGAAGCCATCGACCTGCCGTCAGAATCTGTCCAAAGCTGGAGCACGACAACCATGACGCCCGCATTCCCACTCTCCCAACCACTCTCTCAACCGCTCTCCCAACCGCTGTCCAGCGCACAAAGTGCCACAGCACATGCCACAAAACCACAAGGACTGGAACATTTTGGAACTTGGGTGCTTCTCCTGCCACAGGTGTCTAAATATGGTCTGTATTGACGTGCATTGACATGGCGTTGACAGCGGCACTTCAAGCTGTCCTGGGTTTGGCCCCAGGACAGAAGAATATCTGATATATAGCCATTTATATATATATATATTTACATTTATATGCACACACACACATATATATATACATATATATATATGCACATACATGCATAATATATAGTCCGTTTGGGGTCAGCAAAGGCGAGCTTTGGCCTGGATCCAGGACAGCAGCAGCTTTGGGATGGCATGGATCACTTTCAGACCACCTCCTACGACTTTTTCGGCTTTCGACGTCGCCTTTTGAACTGCACCTACTTTTCTGATCAGGCAGTTCATGTTTACATATTTTGCCATGGCCGGGTGTGTCTGACAAAAGGCATTTAGATGAATTTTGAATGACGGTCCACGCTTTTTGTGAAGTGAACTGCTTTTTGAGCAAAGAGTGATGCTCTTTGGGCGTGGTGGCTTTTTAGAGGAATCTCATGCAGAAAGATGATAAACACATGGCTCCACACCCTGAGTCAACATTTTGAAAAGCAGTCTGGATCTCAATCAAGACTGGTGCTTTGCATCGGGGAGGAACCCTGGGTTGGTGCCAGGCTACATGTATCAACGGCAGGCGAAGCTTCTGGGATGAACCTGGCCCACATCCCATCAACACTTTTGATTTTTGATATCTTTTGGTTGCAATGGATGGGTGAGGAAAGTCAGAGGATGTCAGGGGTCCCTCAATTGGACCATAAGTTCAGTCTGTTCAGTCTCAATTTCCTCTCTATGAAGTGTGGTATTCATAGGTCATGACAGGTCAAGTTACACATGTCTCATCTTAAACTGAAGCTGGCAGAGCTATGCCAGAGCTATGCTAGAGCCTCGCCCAGGAATCCAACTCGGTTTTCATGTACTGGCAGAGCAGCTCTGGACGCTGGGCTATTTGTCAGCGCTGGCAACATGGCCAGGACTTGCTGAAGGAGGTGGGATGTGAATGGGATGGGACGGCATGAGATGAGGTCGGAACGGAACGGAAATCAACCATTCAAACTTCACAGCGAAGAAGAATGAATAAGATATACCAAGGATGTATGGTGGTGTCGCCTTTTTGGTTATATAACCTTCAGCATGATGTTTGATCTCCGAAAAGTGCCTAGTCCAATTCAGACACAAGGTCAGTTGCATCGTGTTGCATTCCCTCAGCCTTCAGGTGCAAACGGGTCGAGATCTTGGCTGGGCTTATTTCCGAAGTCCTGGCTTGTGGTCAGAGTATTCGGAAGGTGCTTGGCACAAGATCCCTGCGGCTTGGATGATTTTCATTGAGACAGAATTTCAGTTTTTTGCGACCTATCTGGGCTTGAAATTCGCCACATCCAATGCTAGATGATTGGTGACAGATAGATAAAAATGATAAACACGTACTACCAGTTACTACCAGATTGACGTTTCATGATGTTTCCCAATTTTACGGAAAATTGTGAGCCTTGATGGTCTTGATATACCTCAATGGGGTATCAATGGGTATCGTATGAATCGTCACTCAGCAATTGAGGTCAGCACCATCATTAGTCAGGCTGACCGGCCATCGTTGATGGACCAGCTGGCTACGGGCCCTGCGGGCCCTGCGGGCCCTGCGGGCCCAGAACTCTCGCAGGCACGAGAAATCACCACGTTGCGTTTGTCTTTGCCGGATCCTTTGTACAAAAATGCGTCTTGGATGCAACAGAGCTATACAAAGCTAAGGTCACCGGGAAGTATCAGATAGATGGATGGATGGATGGATGGATGGATGGATGGATGGATGGATAGATAGATAGATAGATAGATCTCCGCGCGCGCGCGCGTGTGTGTATTCCATCCTGGCAATACCTGCAGGCTTTCCGTGGCTACGGGGCCAACCACGACGAGATTGAGACGATTGGCGTGGACACGCCACCGCTGATCATGGCTATGCCGGTGGAGCCCTGCTGCTTGACTTGGAGGATTTTGGTTGGTATTGCATTGGCTCATGATCTACAAGGGGCAAGTGTGTATGTACTGTCAGCAGGCCAAGGAGCACACTGTGGAAAAAAAAATTAGGCTTGCCTTGTTAGTTATTACAAAATGTTGGCATTGCCAGACCACATGCAATGAGAGCATGGGCTTGGACTGATCTGATCTGATTTGTACGTATGCATACGTATGCTATTCGTATGTGTTTTTTTGGTATAGCTCTTCTCTTCGGCCCTTGCCTCTCAGGGTGGATGTTGAGATTGGAATTTGAGGTGCTGACAATGAATTCTTGGACATTTGCACGCCTACACCTTGAGGCGGCGACTCATGCATTTTCGATAAATTTGTCACATTTGGTCTTGAGTAATTCAGTTTCACGGTCCCAAGGTGAGTGGACCCACAAAAACGCGACAAGTGCTGGCTGACCTCAAGCAGTCTTTTAAAGCAAATACTTAACAGCTGGCCATCGTGGAATTTTCTCGTCCTGGGGAAACCTGGCGGAGGGCCGCCACATTTGGCTTCGCATGTGCGAAAACAGCGGCTGCTGCGTTTGAGACAAGTGCATGTGTCTCATTTGTTGCCTCTGGTTTGCAGAAGGCACAGTTTGTGGACTGAGAGTTTTTGGGTTAGCTCTACACGACAATCTTGCAAGACAATGCGAACAACAACATCAAAATACTGTAGATCAAAACATGGATCACTATCATTTCAGCTTCAATGTTCGATGTTCATTCTGCACTTTGATCAACGTTTAGTGATGAGTCTTATCGTTCATAAATTGTTGGTCAGACATGTCTGTTGCATCGATTCTAGGGCCGACCGTGCCAGCAGTGGCCAACAATGCAGGTTTCCATGGCTTGCTCTGGCGGCCAATAGCCCGGAATAGCCCGGAATAGCCCGGATCAATTTGAGTCATTTGCGGTTTGTGAATGTTTGTGAAACCTTTCAGGTTCCCCAATCCAGGAGGATCGTGAAAGTCGGATCAGAGATGATCAGAGCTCTCCTTTGAGGTTATCCAAGTCTTTATTGTGGCTGCTTATGCCCAAGGCTTCTTGTCATGGCCTCATTTCTGACTTGACTTCCTCTTGTAGTCACAAGGCTGTGTGGATTCGTGTGGGGCAGTTGATGATGCTCAATTAATGTAGTGTACATTATTGTTTATTCTCCTTCAATGTCAAGGTCCCAGCAGTACTTGAGGGTTCTTTGCACACACTTCCTCCTGCACACCTAGCTGACCATGCTGATCAGCAAACAAGGTATCATGGTTTCTTCATGGACGACACCGTTGGCGTATCCAAGAATCCCAATGCTTGGCGCATAGTGTTCCAGAGTCTAGCCAAACGGAGTTCCAACGAAAAAAGAGCAGTCTCAAATGCCTAAGTATCCTGCTGTTTGATTCCAATTCTGATTTACCAAGATTCATCAAGACCTCTGGATGGTTCAAAATGAACAAAGAACAACAAAGATCAATCAAGACACTTGGCATTATCATGGCATCAGATGGATGCAGGTGATTGGAGACAGCCTGTCTTTCGCCGAGCTGATGCGAAGAGACTTTTGGGGTCTTCCGATGCATGGGTTTGGCACTGATTCTTCCCAGATTTGTGGAGCTTTAGAAAGGGCATCCTGGCGGGACGCACGAACATTTCACATGAAAATTGAGACGTCTAATTTGTTGACTCATGTTGATTCAAACTGAGGTCTGGCTGGACAAACAAGTCTTTCCGGCCGCTGACCACGCTGACCTTCCGTCAACTGGACTGAACATGAGAATTTGTTGCGGGTTAGAAGGATGGACAAGAGCAAATTGTTTCCTGAATGCAGATGCTGAGACGATCTCAGTTTCATGTCCTGAAACTACTCCTCTGGCGGGAACCTTGGATGTGGGTTTTAATGCCACGGATTCCCAGGTTGGAACTATTTGCTGCATGGCTTGAACTCCTGTGGCTTTCATGCGAGGAGCTCAACTTTCGTTATGACCTTAGCTCCAGCAGTGCGTCTCAGCCCAGGCTACCAACATCCTGATGCACTGCCTGACTTCCTTGGTGGTAGGAGCTCTCCACAAAGCGGGCGGCGTGGTGAGATATGGGAAGGTATAGGAAGGTATGAGAAGGTGGGGATTGTGAATCATTGTTGTGAGTCATTGAGGTTGTCTAAGCAGAGCACATTACTCGCTTATAGCGAACTCACCCCGCCCGATCCAAAATCTTGCGTTTAGTTGGGGGGACTTCCCGGGAAAGTCGCCCCAACATGCGTTTAGTTGCTGTGGAACAGTTGCGTACGATAGAAAACGATGCTCTAGAAGTAAAAAAATCTTCGTTTAGCTTGTGTTTACGCTGGTGAACTTGTTTTTTGTCATGCCTGGCTCATTTAAATGTGACCTTCGAGCAAATCCAGTCACATGTGTTTACATGTCGCCCTGCCGGGGGGTGCCTTTCTAGAGTAGTTGCATCGATTCATCTAATTACAGTAACAGTAGATGCTGGCCTGCAGCTAGGCGTTGCCGGGCTGATGCTGGGCTGCTGCTAAATGGCTGCGGGATATCACCACGGGCAGCGTGCAAACTGCTGCTGGGCTGCTGCCAGACTTCTTCTAGACTCCTGCTAGAGACTTGCTGCCGGGCTGGTGGTAAACTGCTGCTAAAGCTGAGGGGTTTCCAAAGCTATTTTCTGGCCTCGTTCGGGCCTCGTTTTGGCATCGTTTTTGGCCTGGTTTGGAACCGAGATATTTTACTCAAACATACATGAATCATAGTTTACATGGTGTTTTGATATTGAAACATATCATTTTGTTAAGAATTTCCACAGTTTGAAGCCATTGGGGCGACTTGCGTTCTCATGGTGTTTTGCACATTTGGGAGGATAGTTTTTTTGCGTTTTTTCATTTTCGTGCTGCGTGTACAATGTGCGAAAAAGTTGGGGTGACTTTTCCTTGCAGTTGGGGGCGTGGTTCCATGCGGGAATGACAGTTGACTGCAACGTTGGGGGGCCTTCGCCGGCATTGAGTAGCGCCCGAAAGCCCGTTGCAGGACGAACGGTCGGACCCTGAGAATTTTCAGATATCACTGATATCACATATTGCCATATTCTCACATATTTCTGTTTCAGTACCCTCCCCACTTCTCACCCACTGCAGTGCCAGCTTCGTCCTTGTGGCACGGGTTCAGGTTTAGAAGGGGTAGGCACAGACTGAGGCCACTGTCGCGCTGGGTATGTCAGGTTCGTGGGCGGTCCTGGCCTTTGCTGCGCTAACCAGTCCAACTCCTCACATGTCACCAGATTGCCCGTCTTGAGGCTTTTTGAATTCATTTGAGGCTTTGGCATCGGCTTTTTTCGGAGTTCATCCGGTCCACACAGAGAACGCAGGGCGGCCGAGCATGAGACAAGACGAAGCATGGAACACCACGAAACATTTTTGCATATTTTTTGCATTCTGCTTGAGGAGACAGAATGAAACAGATAGATGCATGTAGAAGCATGTAGAAGCAATAGCATCATTAATTTCCACAATTTACTATACTGGGAGCTTCCTTGTTGGAAAGCTGCTGTTGCAGCTGGGCCTAGAGGGAGAGAGAGAGAGAGAGAGACGAGAGACGACAATCAAGGAGGCGATCAAAGCAAATGACAAGAAGGAAACGGAGAGAGTCTCAAGAAGGGAGAAACAATGAGCGGAAGAAACACCAACAAAACAGCAAAACATCAAATGAAAAGAACGCGCATAGAATATCATGGAAATATAGAACACAGACTAAATCAAATGAAAGAATTTCCAACATACCCTTACCTTGCCTTATATAAATATGCGTTGTTTATTTTTTTCCGCAGCGATATGCAGTTCATGTCGAACTACACGTCAGCAGCAGCTTTCCGTCAGCCGAATGGAGAAACAATAAGAAGTTAAAGGGCCGGATAACCCCACATGTCATCTTCTTCCAATATATATATATATATAATGAGCAACAAATGTTGTGGCGGGACGGGGAAGGAAGGAAAGACAAAGGAGGTGGTGGAGGATCAAGAAGTAAAACAAATTGTATGTGAAGAGCTGTGTGTGACAAAGTTGTATGTGAAAGATGGTGTGTCACAGGCGTGGTGTGAAACATGGTGTGTCAAAGATGGTGTGTCAAAGATGGTGTGTGAAAGATGGTGTGTGACAAAGTGGTGTGTCAAAGATGGTGGGTGACAAAGCGGTGTGTGAAAGATGGTGTGTCAAAGATGGTGTGTGGCAAAGTTGTGTGTGAAAGATGGTGTGTGAAAGATGGTGTCCGACAAAGTGGTGTGTGAAAGATGGTGTGTGAAAGATGGTGTGTGACAAAGTGATGTGGAAGATGGTGTGTCAAAGATGGTGGGTGACAAAGTGGTGTGTGAGAGAGATGGTGTGTAAAAGATGGTGTGTCAAAGAGGGTGTGTGTGTGTGACAAAGTGGTGTGAAAGATGGTGTGTGACAAAGTGGTGTGTCAAATATGGTGTGTGACAAAGTTGTGTGAAAGTTGTTGTGTGTGAAAGAGAGCGTGTGACAAAGTTGTGTGTGAAAGATGGTGTGTGACAAATTGGTGTGTGAAAGATGGTGTGGCAAAACATGCTGTGTGACAAAGTTGTGTGTGACAAGTGCCACACCTGCCATGCAAAACGAAGCTAGATGTCACATGATGTCACAAAGTGCCACGCCTGCCACACAAAGTGAAGGTCGATGTCACCACGTACCACGCCTGCCACGTGAAACGAAGCTGGATGTCTCCAAGTGCCACGCCTGCCACGCCAACAGCCGCGGCGGCCACCCCGGCCACCGGAGCCAGCCCAATGCCATACGTGCCATGCCTGCCACACAAAGTGAAGGTCGATGTCACCAAGTACCACGCCTGCCACGTGAAACGAAGGTGGATGTCTCCAAGTGCCACGCCTGCCACGCCAACAGCCGCGGCGACCACCCCGGCCACTCCGGCCCACGCGTGCCACCGGAGCCAGCCCAATGCCATACGTGCCAGGCCTGCCACACAAAGTGAAGGTCGATGTCACCAAGTACCACGCCTGCCACGTGAAACGAAGGTGGATGTCTCCAAGTGCCACGCCTGCCACGCCAACATTCGTGGCGGCCACCCCGGCCACTCCGGCCCACGCGCGCCACCGGAGCCAGCCCAATGCCATACGTGCCACGCCTGCCACACAAAGTGAAGGTCGATGTCACCACGTACCACGCCTGGGATGTCTCCAAGTGCCACGCCTGCCACGCCAACAGCCGCGGCGGCCACCCCGGCCACTCCGGCCCAAGCGCGCCACCGGAGCCAGCCCAATGCCATACGTGCCACGCCTGCCACACAAAGTGAAGGTCGATGTCACCACGTACCACGCCTGCCACATGAAACGAAGGTGGATGTCTCCAAGTGCCACGCCTGCCACGCCAACAGCCGCGGCGGCCACCCCGGCCACTCCGGCCCAAGCGCGCCACCGGAGCCAGTCCAGTGCCATACGTGCCACGCCTGCCACGCAAAGTGGAAGTCGATGTCACCAAGTACCACGCCTGCCACGTGAAACGAAGGTAGCCAGTCCTGTGTGTGAGCAAGTTGTGTGATGACAAGTTGTGTGATGACAAGTTGTGTGAACAAGTAGCAGTGGGAGTAGAGTTGTGTGAGTAGAGTTGTGTGTGAGTTGAATTGTGTGTGAGCAAGTTGTGTGATGACAAGTTGACGACAAGATGTGTGAGTAGAGTCGTGTGTGAGCAAGTTGTCGCAAAGTAGAGTTGTGTGTGAGCAAGTTGTATGATGAGGAGGAGGGCGGCGGGAGGAGGAGGAGGGCAGGAGGAGAAGGCGGGAGTGCAGAACCAAAAACAAGAACCCCACACAAAGATGTGGGGAAAAAGAGGAAAAGAGAAAAGGAGAAAAGAACAGGAGAATCTGTGGCTGCAGGATAAGCAACTAACCGGCATCTATAACACGGGACCCGATGGTTTTGTGTAGGTGGACCCCAAAACCAACGAAACGACGGAGAAACAATAATCACAAAGGAGAAATATGTTTAAGGAGATCGGTCCCGTGACGCACAGCAGGGTTCGTGACCACTTGTCTCTCGCTTTGGAGAGTAGAACTGGAAAGGGAGAAAGTAACAACGATGGAGTGGCCGTGGTCTCCCGGCACGCCTCTGGCGGCCCCTGCGAGCTTTAGCTGCAAGGTAATTAATGGAGTTGATGTGGCTAGAAGGAACATGTTTGTCTTGGCTCGTTTCGGTTTCATTATTCTCCTGCTAGAGATGGTTGAATTGGTACTGGTTCCAGCAAACTCGGAGAATGAGATGTAGAAGAGACTGTGCAAGGCTTCCCCCCACAGCCTTGAGGAAGGAGCTGAATGCGACAAATCCAGAAAAATGGCCCCTACCTTGGGTAATTATTCCAGGGGGGCATGTCACATCAGGAATAATTGATTTGGAATAAGTTTTAGGGCCTATTTTTAATTATTCTGCTAAGGGGGTCTATTCTATGTCAGATCTTGTATGGAATAATTTGTGTCAACATACCTCAGAATAATTAGCTATTGATGGGCATATAAACTCAGATGATAAGTTATGATAGATTTTGAACCATCACTTGAAAAATAGATGACAATATATGACAATAGATGAACGGTGATGACATGTGCATACATGTGCTGTTATGATCTGTTATGTGCTGTTTCATCGCCCGTGATAGAGTGCCAGAAAGAATGTCAGAAGATATCAGAAGATATGCCAGATAGAATGTCAGAAGATATGCCAGATAGAATGTCAGAAGATATGCCAGATAGAATGTCAGAAGATATGCCAGATAGAGTGCCAGAAAGAATGTCAGAAGATATCAGAAGATATGCCAGATAGAATGTCAGAAGATATGCCAGATAGAATGTCAGAAGATATGCCAGATAGAGTGCCAGAAAGAATGTCAGAAGATATCAGAAGATATGCCAGATAGAATGTCAGAAGATATGCCAGATAGAATGTCAGAAGATATGCCAGATAGAGTGCCAGAAAGAATGTCAGAAGATATCAGAAGATATGCCAGATAGAATGTCAGAAGATATGCCAGATAGAATGTCAGAAGATATGCCAGATAGAGTGCCAGAAAGAATGTCAGAAGATATCAGAAGATATGCCAGATAGAATGTCAGAGATATGCCAGATAGAATGTCAGAAGATGTCAGAAGATATGCCAGATAGAAAAGCACAGGGGTCCCAAGGAAATTATTTATCTTGACTCATGTGTCATATTTATTCCACAGGTCACCCACAAATGTCAAAACACCCAGGAATAATTGGGCATCACCAGGAAACACCCAGGGATTCTTCAAACCATGCATTGGGTCACCAATGTTCACTCAGGGGCCCATTGGTCTTTGGCTAAGTTACCATAAGTTACCCATATGTCTTCCACAGGTCACCCACATATGTCAAACCACCCAGGGAAAATTGGGCATCACCAGGAAACACCTAGGAATTCTTCAAACCATGCATTGGGTCACCAATGTTCATTCAGTGGGCCCATTGGTCTTTGGCTAAAGTACCCATATTTTAACCACAGGTCACCCACATATGTCGGAATAATTAGGCATCACCAGGAAAATCCAGAAAAAACCCAGGGATTCTTCAAACCATTCATTGGGTCACCAATGTTCACTCAGTGGGTCCATTGGTCTTTGGCTAAGTTACCATAAGTTACCCATATGTCTTCCACAGGGCACCCACATATGTCAAACCACCCAAGGGAAATTGGGCATCACCAGGAAACACCTAGGAATTCTTCAAACCATGCATTGGGTCACCAATGTTCATTCAGTGGGCCCATTGGTCTTTGGCTAAAGTACCCATATTTTAACCACAGGTCACCCACATATGTCAGAACACCCAGGAATAATTAGGCATCACCAGGAAAATCCAGAAAAAACCCAGGGATTCTTCAAACCATTCATTGGGTCACCAATGTTCACTCAGTGGGTCCATTGGTCTTTGGCTAAGTTACCATAAGTTACCCGTATGTCTTCCGCTAAAGCAAGGGAAGAAGAAGCGAGGAACATTCTGGCCCGTGCCAACAAAAATCAAGCCGACGACGGTCCAAGCACGAGAAAAGCCGCCATACGGGCTTATAGATACAGTACCTGCACATCATGGCGACACAGCATGGAGCGCTGATTCAACAAGCCTACGTAGCAGCCAAAACTCATGCGGCACGTAGTAAGGGACCCATTGATCCCAAGGACACTGCAGGATACTATCCTCTCCCAGATGAGCTTCCGACAGTACCCCCAGAGCTCACCTCTGGACTGTTACACTGTCTCTCCACTCTAAACCACCCAGGGGAAATTGGGCATCACCAGGAAACAACTAGGAATTCTTCACAGGTTGAGATAGGTTGAGCATTGCCGGAGCACATCTTTGAAACCAGGAACGAGCAAAACTTTCAGGATCCCAATAAACTTTTGAGCTTAATTTGAAAAGGTTTTCTGACACTAGGTTTCTAGTGGTTTGTGGCAATACAACCTCAATCAACACATGCCAATATACCAAATTTGATTACAACTTGTATTTTTATATGAATGGAGAGGGGGGGGTTGCCCTAAATTTACGCTAATTATTCCCGATGTCGTGTGACATACTGGAATGTTTTCCCAGAACATGTGCAATGGGGCTGGAATAATATCCAATCATTCCAAGGTATGCTGGCATGGGGGGGGGGCTATGGCAGGGATCATCCAGAAAATAGTGATTGGAGAAAATGCCGATGTAGAAAAATGTAGCCAGAACAACAAGCAGGAGCTGGCATATAGTGCAGAAGCGGTCGCCAAAAGGTTGTCCAAGTAGAAGATGCATGCTGCTTGTATTGAACGCGAGGCTGACATGGCAGAGAGAGAATCCTGATTGGATATTCCTGAGAATACAGGGGCTTGCAAACGGAGGCTAGCTAAAGTTTGTGCCCCTGCCTGCGTTGTACATATATAATTATATATATATACAGATGACAAAATTCAATAGTAAAATTCGCACACACATAACATATGATATAATATAATATAATACAGTATAATAAAATAATAAATTATAATATAGTATAATATAACATAACATAATACGGGATACCACATTCTTACAGCAAATTGTCAATCACCAAAAAATCAAAGCACACTTTGACCACTCTGGATAACACTACCCCTGATCGATCATGGGTACTTCGTGGCAAATCATACTAGTACAATTGTAATAAAATAGTGATCAAGTCAGTATTAGCTAGATTAAAACTTAGTTGGTGAAAAAAAACATGGAAACTCCATGGCTGATCACTGTTGAATTCGCGGCTTATCAGTTGATAATAGCAATGACCTACAATAACCACAATAACCAGCCACAATGGTTGATAGGCGATTATGGAAGCAGCTGCTGACCAAGAAATCTGTTGGAGCTGCCCACTGTCAGCGCACCATGTTTGATTTCTGTGAGTTCATCACAATGCTCGAACCAAAGGTTAAAAAAAGAGGTACTGAGAAAGCTAAGTTTTTGCCTAGGCGTTTTTTGGTAGTTGCAGGCGATGGCTTTCAATGGAAGAAGGTTTAAAAAAGGGAAACTGAGAAAGTTAAGTCTTTGCCTAGGCGTTGAGTTGCGGGCGATGGCTTTCAATGGAAGACTCAGAAAGTTAAGTTCTTGCCCAGGCGTTTTTTGGTAGTTGCGAGCAATGGCTTTCAATGGAAGAAGATTAAAAAAAGAAGTACTGAGATAGTTAAGTTTTTGCCTAAGAATTTTTTGGTAGTCAACACGCAGAGCGGCAGAGCTTGTGTGCGAACATTGCAGCGGCAATCGAATGTTTGGGATTGAAATGAGTCAGCAGTTTTTTTTGTCAAATGATGGTGGTTTCTACAGGTTTCCAAAACCGATTAAAAACTACAATACCCATTTTAAAGCAAGTTAAACCTACTAAAAACTACAGTACCCGTTTTAAAGCAAGTGCTGCCTGGTGAAGTGATGCCTGGCATCTGTTCCAAAAGTCATTCTAAACCCAGGAAGGGGTGCAAGTCGGAAAGAGATTTTGTGCTATGAAAGGGTCATTTTAAAGTAAACGAATTCCATTCTAAAGCGGCTGTGCTTGTGAACCAGAAATAGTTGCTACAAAATAAATGCACCACTTCACGCCCAAAATTCAAACATGGATATACATACAGCATGACTTAAATGTAGCAAGCATGACTTAAATTCAAGCCGAACATAGTCGCTCGAAGTCTGGAAGTTCGAATCTCCGATTCGGGCCCCGGATTCGGAGCCTAATCTCCTTAAAATACACTTGGCGGGTATATGATATGCCTAAGAGACATGATTTAAACTTAAGTTGAGTGTAGTCGCTCCAAGTTCGAACCTCTGATTCGGGCCCCGGATTCGGGCCCCGGATTCAGGGCCCGGATTCGGGGCCCGGATTCGGGGCCCGGATGGGGAGCCCAATCTCCATGAAATGGGTATATGGTAAGTGCAGCCTTGCAAACTATGCCTTAGAAATGTAGCAAGCATGGGTTAAATTCAAGTTGAGTGTAGTCGCCTGATGTTCGAAGATTCGGGCCCCGGATTCGGGGCCCGGATGGGGAGCCCAATCTCCATGAAATGGGTATATGGTAAGTGCAGCCTTGCAAACTATGCCTTAGAGATGTAACAAGCATGGTTCAAATTCAAGTTGAGTGTAGTCGCCTGATGTTCGAAGATTCGGGCCCCGGATTCGGGGCCCGGATGGGGAGCCCAATCTCCATGAAATGGGTATATGGTAAGTGCAGCCTTGCAAACTATGCCTTAGAGATGTAACAAGCATGGTTCAAATTCAAGTTGAGCGTAGTCGCCTGATGTTCGAAGATGCCCGGATGGGGAGCCCAATCTCCATGAAATGGGTATATTGTACGTGCAGCCTTGCAAACTATGCCTCAGAGATGTAACAAGCATGGTTCAAATTCAAGTTGAGTGTAGTCGCCTGATGTTCGAAGATTCGGGCCCCGGATTCGGGGCCCGGATTCGGGGCCTGGATGGGGAGCCCAATCTCCATGACATGGGTAACCTTGCAAAGTATGCCTTGGAAATGTAACAAACATGGTTTAAATTCAAGTTGAGTGTAGTCGCCCGATTTGTTCGAAGCTTTGGTTCGGGGCCCGGATTCGGGGCCCGATTCGGAGCCCAAGCTCCACGAAACAAATGCAGGTATATACTGCTAAGATCAATTGGTATGCACAGCGTTGAACAATGCCTGTCAGGGATGTAGCAAGCAAGACATGCAAGCTCTGCGCATTTACTCGAAGTTCTAGCCTCCAATTCGGGCCCCTGTCTTGTCATTTTTCTTGGGTTCTCGACATTCTGCAGGCTAGAGATAGCAGGATCGCGTGCTTCTCGACAGAGCTCGGTTGCCTAGAATTTCCAGAAGCGTCATGTTGCGTCATCAGTCATGCGTGGTCACCGACTCTTCTGATTATCTGACCTTGGAACATGTGGGAATGCCTCCGCCGCATCCTTTGCCACTTTTCCATTTCAAACAAGGATTTTGCGCAGTCAGCTAAGATGAACACGGACCAGTAGAACCTCCATCCCTCCCCCCTTTGCTAATGTACGGTAGGGGGGGGCCTAGCTAATGTACGATACTTTTCCGTACATTTCTCAAAGGCTTACCATATGATTCCGTACATTTTTTTTGGGGGGGCGCAAACTCACCAGAACCAATTTCTATACATCCAGTGTTTATTCCTGTTCCAATTTCCACTTGATAAGGCCAACATGCGTAAACAATCACTATCTTTATATCGTTGGTGTGCCAGCATTGTTGGCTACCAATTGTTGGACTATAGCAAAAAATCAATATTTTGATACGTTCAGCTTTACCTTGTGGAGTGATTGCATAGAACCGCAGCAGCGTTTGGCTGCCAATTTTTTTGGGGTGGCAAAATGCCATGGGTGGCACCTTAGCTAACTAATACAGATACCCCCGTCAGTTCCAGGATTAATTTCATTGGATTAATTTAGTTGGATGAATTTTTGGTGACCGGTTCAGAAATCTAACTCAAGGGATATTTGGATTAATTTGCAGCGCCTCCGTTAGAGCAATGGCTCTGGAGAAACCACGGCAGCAACCAGCGCATTGCTTGTTCCCAACATGCAGCTGGGCACTGGAAAGACATGGAAAGAATTATATCTGAATTGCCACTCACCCTTTTCATTCTTTTGTTGGAGGATTTTGACGCCTTACACCTGCAGATTTGACATGATGCGGGATGATGCGGAAAGATGTTGTTTGTTGAGCATGCTGATTCTTAGTGCTAGTTTGTTGGTGTTTCTGCTTTGTGTTAGAGGTTGCCAGGTGCATGGGGCTCCTCAAGCGGACCCAGTTGAGTGTTTTTATTTTTGTGGCCGAGGTATCGGCAAAATGCGGCCCGCGGTCTGGAACGAGAAATACTCTATCTATGTGTGCCACTGCGAATCTTGGCATACGTGTTGGGCACACTACCACTGGAGCGCGGGTTGAGCAGGTGAAAGGTTTTCTGCGCAAAGACCTAGAGACTTGGGATATCTTGGGATGATTTGGCCCTTCTGGGATGACTCAGGGAGGCTTGGTGTCTGCCGTGTTTTTCAAATCAGTTGGCTGGCAACGACTCTGCAGGACAGTTCTTCGGTGACTTTTTGCAGGGGCATCGGCGTCCATCCGCTCATTGCGCTGTGTGGCACAGATGACAATGGATCAAGTCCCATACTCTGTCGAGAACTATGAAGGACCTACAGTCAGAATCTAGTTCAAAGTGATCACATTTATGCAGGGCATTTATTTTTTAAGCTGGCAGTCTTTAAGGACTCAGAGGCTTAGACTTCTCGGAAACTTTCCCCACTGATACAGACAGTGAATATTTTAATTTGGTGTTCAGGAGAACTGAAAGACTACCAGATTATTTTCCATTGGCAACGGTGAGCTGAGGAACGGCCATCTGAGCAAACAGGTGTGCAAACTTCTGCGCTCGCTGAACCTGCCACGGGGACTACAGATCACAAACATGAGGCCTTGACTTCCAATGGAACTTTTCCTTTTATTGCTGGGAGTGAGCTGAAACAAATAGGCTATCAACTGTGGTGTTTTATTTACAGTCTTATCATGAGAGGCTACAACCTCCAGGAATCAGAACTGATCCATTCCTCATGATGCAACTTTCACCTTTCAATTGGCTACTGCTTGGTTAACCACCACAGGATGCTATGAATTCTTGACCCAATTTTTTGGACAAGCTCCCAGCGCCCGGGTTTCTGTATGGTTTCTGTATGGTCTTTGTGTGTGTAGGACCTATAATCCTCTACCAAGATGTTGGTATTTCAACCCGGTGGTGCATCTTCGCGGATCCCATGACGAAATCTTTGCCAAGTGGCTGGATATAGCTGGATGCCCTCCCCAAGGCTAACTCCTTCAGGTGATATCAGTGATGTCCTGATGTTTGCTAGATATTGCTAGATTGTTGTTCCTTTTTGGGGGCAATGGTTACTCCGCGTCTTCCTCGAGTTCTGTTTTGGTCACTATGTCATATTCCTGGTTCTTGGCCTCAATTTGGAAATCAACGAGTTCATCAGTTCATCATACTCTAATGTAAAAGTAGATGGCTCAGAATCTTGAGTTGCGCCATCTATGTCAAAAAAAAAAGGGGGATAGATGGCTCAACTCCCTTTAAAACAGGGCAGTTGAGCCATCTATGTCCCTAAAAATGACATATTTTTTGCAATCTTCTGCGCTGGTTTCTCCCCATTTTTTTTTCTCAACATCAAGCTGCTTTTTTGGGACATAGATGGCGCAACTCCCGGGGTTGCGCCATCTATGTGGGCATTCCCAGCCTGATTTTGGCGAAATGACGGAAGTTATTTTGAGCCAGCAAAGGCCGAGATGCTTTAAAACCCAACTTTAACAAGTGACCTGAGGAACCGTTTTTGCCGTCAAGAAACGGTTCCTCAGGTCACCTGTTAAAATTTGGTTTTAAAGCGTCTCGACCTTTGCTGGCAAAATGACGGAAGTTGCGCCATCTATGTCCCAAAAAGGGACAACTCTGATGTCTTTCCTGGTGGTTTTGCCTCCTGGTGATTTTTTCGAAGATTTGAATGCAATTTAAGGGATATAGATGGCGCAACTCATTTTTGAACCCATCGAAAAAGAAATTTCGGGTGTTTGAATGGGGTTTAAGGGACATAGATGGTGCAACTCAGTTTCAAGGTATTGCAATGCAATTGGAAAAGTCTTTTTCAATATATTTTTGTCAAAATATGTTGAAAGATGAGATTTCTATCATTTCTATCCATAAAATTCTGTCCACAATGAGTTTTCAAACATTCAGTGGTTCATTTACAAGGTATTGCAATGAATTTGTTTGAAGATTTGACTGCGATTTAAGGAACATAGATGGCGCAACTCATTTTTGAACCCATCGAAAAAGAATTTTCGGGTGTTTGAATGGGGTTTAAGGGACATAGATGGCGCAACTCATTTTCAAGGTATTGCCATGCAATTGTAAAATTTGTTTTCAATATATTTTTGTCAAAATATGTTGAAAAATGAGATTTCTATCATTTCTATCCATACAATTCTGTCTACAATCAGTTTTAAAACATTCAGTGGTTCATTTACAAGGTATTGCAATGAATTTGTTCGAAGATTTGACTGCGATTTAAGGGACATAGATGGCGCAACTCATTTTTGAACCCATCGAAAAATAATTTTCTGGCGTTTGAATGGGATTTAAGGGACATGGATGGCGCAACTCATCTTCAAGGTGTGGCAATGAATTTTTAAAAGTGTTTTTCCAATATATGTTTGTCAAAATATGTTGAACAATGAAATTTACATCCATCAATTCTGTCCACAATCAGTTTTAAAACCTTCAGTGGTTCATTTTTAAGGCGTGGCACTGAAATTTTGAAAGATTTGTATACGATTTAAGGGACGTAGATGGCGCAATTCATTTTTGAATTCACCGAAAAAATGATTCTGGCGTTTGAATGGGATTTAAGGGACATAGATGGCGCAACTCATTTTATACAATACAAATTCGTGCAATTTCACCGTATTTACAAACAAAAATGATAGGAAATGTAGCAAATTTAGTTAACAATACCCTTATATCCATCTACTGGAGTGGCAGTTGCGCCATCTACCTTTTCATTTTAAAGTAGGGCGATTTTTTCTTCAATTGGCGGACCTCGTTTTATGTTCCAGCTAAAATAGCGCCGTTTTCTTTCTCAGCGCGCGGTGCCATCTTATGGGTATTTTGGTTTTTGAGTTGAGCCATCTACTTTTACTTTAGTGTAGTTCATTTCATCGAAGCCTCAACTGACCCCCAATAAAAAGCCTGGGTAGCCTGGTTTCATCTTTTTGGAGCAATGTGAGATCAATAACCCATCCCCACAGATGATTATGATCTATTATGATCTATTGTTGCATCTCATCCTTTGGGGATGATAAAAAAACACCCCTCCATGAAGTATAAAAAGATCACGAATGTTTTATAGTTGGGTCCCCTCATTTTTCAAACAAAGCTTGACAAGGAATTGAATGAATTTTGAATCGCAGCAAATTTACTTATTATATGAAGGTTCTGAACTTTTATTAGGGGTAAGCTTCAGAATCAATTTTGGGCAATGTTTTGAACATATTTTGAAAATGATTAGGATTGGAACTGATTTTGAATCGAGGGCTTTTTGATATTAAAGTTTTGAACTTTTTAATAGGGGCAAGCTTCAAAATCAATTTCTAATCATTTTTGAAAAAATAATTACAAAGGATTTAAATTAATTTTGAATCGAAGCAAATTTTTTGGTCCTGGTGAGGTCACGGTGAATGGGGTCCGGTGTGGGGTCCTTGGGTCCGGTTCCGCCCAGCGGGCAGAACCAGACCCGAATATGCAAGCATTTTCAGGGCGGAATGTGAGAAATGTGGGGTCTGGTTCTGTCCGCTGGGCGGAACCGGACCCAAGGACCCCACACCGGACCCCGATTCACCGGGTCTGACATCGAAGCATAGGGTCTGGTTCTGCCCGCTGGGCGGAACCGGATCCTCACCAGGCCTCACCAGGACCAAGCTTTTGCAAGACACAATAAAACAATACCCCGCCCTTTGCGCATCATTTTTCTTAAACACTATCCCATATTATCCCAGCAAGCTATCCCAACCACTCCTGAGGAAAACACTTATTGAAGAAGATTCTGCATCTCGTTATATATATATATATACATACTCTCGTAACTTAAGGTCAAGGTGACAATGCAAACTTTCAACCTGCAATAGGAAAACATGGGATGATGCAGCAATTCGTCATCGCGTGCACTGGTACACAGCAAGCTTCCTAAGCGCCGCTCAAGTTTTTTTTGCTAATTTGCTACTGATGTCACAACATCTTTGGGCTTTGTACTATTGCTTCAACTCAGCTTGCTTTGCAGAAGCACAATCTTGTTTCATGTCTTGCAGAAGAGCGCATACCACAAACAATTCGTCGATTTCAGAAACAACAGCGACCGATAGCCATATAAGTTTAAACAGCGGGGCGGGACAGCAGAACAAATGCAGTCTTGGTAGCTCCCGCGGTCTTGGTGGGAAATTTAAGTTGCGACCTCGCCTTTAACGATCCAGAAACGAGTTAGACCAATGGTTTTATTAAGTGTAAAAGGGGTGGCAGGGCAGCACAAATAGTGAAGCGTTGTTACGTATTCCCAATTTTGGTGGGAAATTCATGTTGGCACCTCGCCTAGTTACAACCTGCCAGCCCGGCGGCAGCTCCCAGCCCTAGAGTAAACAAAATCAAATCCCGCAGTTCGGTGCCATGGCCTTATGTTTCTCAGACGCAGTGGTCAGAAGCCCGGTTTCCTGAACATTTGTGGAATTGAATAGCATTCAGGAGCATGCAAGTTGATGGAGCAGGGTTCCTGTGGTTTTAATTTTTAGTGGTTTTGTACCCTAAACTCTACCTTGCGAGACCTAAACCCTAAACTCTACCTTGCGAGACCTAAACCCTAAACTCTACCTTGCGAGACCTAAACCCTAAACTCTACCTTGCGAGACCTAAACCCTAAACTCTACCTTGCGAGACCTAAACCCTAAACTCTACCTTGCGAGACCTAAACCCTAAACTCTACCTTGCGAGACCTAAACCCTAAACTCTACCTTGCGAGACCTAAACCCTAAACTCTACCTTGCGAGACCTAAACCCTAAACTCTACCTTGCGAGACCTAAACCCTACTCTACCTTGCGAGACTAAACCCTAAACTCTACCTTGCGAGACCTAAACCCTAAACTCTACCTTGCGAGACCTAAACCCTAAACTCTACCTTGCGAGACCTAAACCCTAAACTCTACCTTGCGAGACCTAAACCCTAAACTCTACCTTGCGAGACCTAAACCCTAAACTCTACCTTGCGAGACCTAAACCCTAAACTCTACCTTGCGAGACCTAAACCCTAAACTCTACCTTGCGAGACCTAAACCCTAAACTCTACCTTGCGAGACCTAAACCCTAAACTCTACCTTGCGAGACCTAAACCCTAAACTCTACCTTGCGAGACTTAAACCCTCAGGCAGTCTGGAATAGTCTGGAGCACATGCGCCGCAAAGCACGGGCACACAGCAGACTACGGGCATCTACCGGCGGCATGCGCGCGCATGACGGGCACGCATTCGTGCGCGCAAGGGCGCGCTGCGCATCTGCGCGCCGATGCTTGACGCGCAGGCAGTGTGTGTCTTAAGAGTACAGTGTGAAGTGAAGTGTTGACTGCGAAGGGTGCAGTGTGAAGAGTGCAGTGTGAAGTGTGGAGTGTGAAGTGTGTAGTGTGGAGTGTGAAGACTGCAGTGAGAAGTGCGAAGTGCGAAGTGGAGCTTCAAATGTGACATGTGCAACAGGACACCACTTTTGCAGAGTGCACGCACGCACGGGCTTGGCTGGCGCACGGCGCATGCAAGTTCTATAGATGAGAAAGGTTTCATATATATCCTAAAGGCAACTTCCGCCCCGCCTCGTGCGGGTACTACTGGTAGTAGTAGTAGTAGTAGTAGTAGTAGTAGTAGTAGTAGTGGTAGTAGTAGTAGTAGTAATAGTAGTAGTAGTAGTAGTAGTACTAGTAGTACTAGTAGTACTAGTAGTAGTAGTAGTATACTAGTAGTAGTATACTAGTAGTAGTAGTAGTAGTAGTAGTAGTAGTATAGTAGTAGTAGTAGTAGTAGTAGTAGTAGTAGTAGTAGTATACTAGTAGTAGTAGTAGTAGTAGTAGTAGCAGGAGTAGTAGTAGTAGTAGTAGCAATCGTAGTCGCAGAACGAAACGCGCGGAACCCGCGCAGAACAACACGCGCGGAACCCGCGCAGAACAACACGCGCGGAACCCGCGCGAAACGCACGCGCGGAACCCGCGCGAAACGCAGACGCGCGGAACCCGCGCGTAGTACTATTAAATCTAAGTAGTAGTAGTAGTAGTAGTAGTAGTAGTAGTAGTAGTAGTAGTAGTAGTAGTAGTAGTAGTAGTATACTAGTATACTAGTAGTAGTAGTAGTAGTAGTATACTAGTATACTAGTAGTAGTAGTAGTATACTAGTAGTAGTAGTAGTAGTAGTAGTAGTAGTAGTAGTAGTAGTAGTATACTAGTAGTAGTAGTAGTAGTAGTAGTATACTAGTAGTAGTAGTAATAGTATACTAGTAGTAGTAGTAGTATACTAGTAGTAGTAGTAGTATACTAGTAGTAGTAGTAGTAGTAGTAGTAGTATACTAGTAGTAGTAGTAGTAGTAGCAGGAGTAGTAGTAGTAGTAGTAGTGGTAGTAGTAGTAGCAATCGTAGTCGCAGAACGAAACGCGCGGAACCCGCGCAGAACAACACGCGCGGAACCCGCGCAGAACAACACGCGCGGAACCCGCGCGAAACGCACGCGCGGAACCCGCGCGAAACGCAGACGCGCGGAACCCGCGCGTAGTACTATTAAATCTAAGTAGCAGCAGTAGTAGTAGTAGTAGTAGCAGTAGTAGTAGTAGTATAGTAGTAGCAGTCGTAGTCGAAGAACGAAACGCGCGGAACCCGCGCAGAACAACACGCGCGGAACCCGCGCGAAACGCACGCGCGGAACCCGCGCGTAGTACTATTAAATTTAATAGCAGTAGTTGTATAAGTATTAGTAGCAGTAGCAGCCGTAGTCGAAGAACGAAACGCGCGGAACCCGCACAGAACAACACGCGCGGAACCCGCGCAGAACAACACGCGCGGAACCCGCGCGAAACGCAGACGCTCGGAACCTGCGCGTAGTACTATTAAATCTAAGTAGCAGTAGTAGTAGTAGTAGTAGTAGTAGGAGCAGCAGCTGCCATTCACTCACCCACGCACTCGCTCACTCACTCAATCTCACTCACCCAATCTCACTCACCCACTCGCTCACTTATTGACAAACCCAGTAACACATTCAACCATCTTGATTTGTGAACAAAGCAGCGGCTGCTCTATGCTGCTCTCGCTTCATCAACTTGGGACGCCCAATATCAATTCCTGGAGCCTGAACATCCACTTTAAAGATCTTTAAAGTGACCGAAAGCCAAGGTTGAGTCAGAATTGGTCTTTCATAAAAACATTGAAAAAGTGGCCCTTTGAATTGTTTTGAAATGCATATGCGGAATCGTTTTCGATTGTTGCGCAAACTCTGTTGGAAAGGTGATGTATGGTAATGTGCTTCGTTATTCATCGTTGTTCGAACTTTGCAGTTCTAGAGAGACATCCACTTTTCTACCAGAAGCATGCACTTTTCATAGAAGAAACCTTCACTTTTTCCCAAGCATAACACCTGCTTTAAGGTGGTCGTTTAAGGTTCCAAGATGACATCTTGGGGAACATCTTGACAATGGATGGCGACGGGGAAAAAGAAATTGAAGCATCGCAGCGGGAGAGCGTGGGGCATTTTCAGTCAGCTGAAAGGTTGGTTTCACTTAATTTCTACTGTAAAGTTCATTACATAATGTGCATCAATATATGCAGATGGAATATATTTGGTGGTGTGCCAGCCTTGTTGGCTACCATTTACATGTATATATACATATATATATATGCATATATATATATATCATTATTATTATTATGATTATGATGATTATTATTATTATATATTTATAAAATACTTCTGGGATGAACCTCCCTTACTAGGGCTACATCTCCAGGAATCACGCCAAGTTAGTACTTGCGTGTTTTTCATGGATGACTCATTGTTTGAATCACTGCCGCGTCCAACCATTGATGGCCATGGACAAGCAGGTATATAGTAAAGGTTCTCAGGCTCAGAGCTTCAGCATGTCCACCTGCCGCCAGAGCAAGACATCGAAGAGCGATGCTGCGGGCCGGAGCAAGTCAAAGAGATCATCAGAGCAGGTTGTTGCGGACACACCCGTGAAGAAGGATGATGAGCAGAAAAAAAGCTGCCCACAAAAAGCAACTTGGAGTTTTCAACCCAAACCCGCAAGAGTCCTTAGCCATGCTCTGGCCCAGCCATACGGGATGCCATATCGACGAATTGAATAATGTTGGGTATGAGGCATTTCATATTGCATACACTCTATATTCCAAAACATCTGTCAAAGTTTTGCGGTCCGCAATGCGGCCTCAGGTATGAGAGCCGAAGAAAAAATCTTAGATATCGTTTGAGTGCTGAAGACTTCCAAAAGATCCAGGGCTATGATGATCTGCAGAAGCAGCTGGATGAGGCGAAGGCGCTGTTGGCCCAATGTCAGGACCCGCAAGGATTGGTGAAGAGTTTGCAGGAATCCGCTGAGCGCATACGGCTTCTCGAAAAAGAGAATGTGGACTTGTCTCGGATTTTGACAAACTATGTCTCGAACCCTGCTATGCTTCCTTGCAGAGCTGCAGATGCCTCAATCAAAAGGGAGGTTCTAGTCAAGAGGGAGGTTCCATGATAGACTGTGCAGGGCGTCCAGGAGGTGTTCATTTGGGGTGTCCTGCATCATTTTCGGCAAGTCAGGACAGGGGCCGTACACCAGTGACCTTGGACAACAGAGCTTCCGAAGACCTGTTAGGGGTGGAAAAAAAGATATGCCTTCCATTGCCTTCCATTACGCTAACTTGGTCGAAGCAATCAGAATAACTGCAACATGCGTTTGTTGGGCTGGTTCATGAGATCTTGAATTCTTTGCAGTCACGGCTGCGCATTTCTTCTTTGATTTTTTGCTGGTTGTCTGTAATGCAATTTCCTTGGCAGCACATCCAGGTTGGTGAGCCTTCCGTGACTATGGGATGGAAAACCTGTGACAAGAAGGTGCTGACCTTCTGGTTTCCATGGTATTCTGTGGCCTGAAGCCTCTTAAGTATGATGAGACTCACTGTAGAACATTGTATATATTGTTCCAAATATTTGCCTGAACGGACCCCTTTTTTGCCAGCTGTATCTGATACAGCTGGTTGAAAGCCCCACTTGTAGAGCCATGTTGGGCCATGTTGAGGCCTATATTGGCAGGATGATGCCTCTACGGACCCCTTTTTTGCCAGCTGTATCTGATACAGCTGGTTGAAAGCCCCACTTGTAGAGCCAACTTGGGCCATGTTGAGGCCTAAATTGGCAGGATGATGCCTCTACGGACCCCTTTTTTGCCAGCTGTATCTGATACAGCTGGTTGAAAGCCCCACTTGTAGAGCCAACTTAGGCCATGTTGAGGCCTAAATTGGTCTTGGGCTCATCTTGGGTCCATGTTGGGCCCATGTTGGACGTTTGGAGGCCTTTGTTGGAGACAACCGTCGCTTGGGTCGGGAAAACAGTTACTTGAAGTATTCGACTTTGGTTGTACAATCGCTTGTGTTTTAGCTTCATCCCATGATATTCTCATGCATGTTGGTAGTGAGGCTGCGTTTGCAGTTTGCTCTGGTTTTTCCGCACCTGCCAGGTGACAGTTGTTATAGATTTTGTTAGAGTAGTCCGCTTCCCGCCTCTTTTTCTCCTTCTCCTTGCTTCTTCGCCAGCTCTCAATCACAGTGGGCGCACCGGCGGACCTCAACCACGAGCTTCGGATCACGTGGGCACCAGCGGGCCTCCACCGCGACCCCGACCGCCAGTGGGCAGTGCTGGGCCTCCACTGCCAAACACGTTGCCAGAATGTATCTAAGATAAAATGTCAGAACATATGCCACATCAAAGGCCAAAATATATGTCAGATCCCACACCCGAAAAACAATGCCACAATACATGCCAGGTAAAAGGCCAGGTAAAAGCTCCTGTCTTTTCGGGAACAAGTTCACCAACTGTAATTTCAAACCGGGAACCCTTGTGAGCCTGTGAATTGAATTCATGTCAGTATTTCAGGATCGCCCTTCTGGGGAGGGCTGCCTGGCAGAATTTGCGATCCCCAACCAGATCCGGGATCGCGCTTCTGGGGAGGGCTGCCTGGCAGAATTTGCGATCCCCAACCAGATCCGGGATCGCGTTGCCTATTTGAAATTATAAAGGGGTTCATTTTCTAACAAAACAGAATGCTTCTGGGGAGGGCTGCCTGGCAGAATTTGCGATCCCCAACCAGATCCGGGATCGCGCTTCTGGGGAGGGCTGCCTGGCAGAATTTGCGATCCCCAACCAGATCCGCGATCGCACTACCTATACATGATTGTAGAGCTGTTTTTTTCCAAAAAAAACATAATCCAAGCCCTGATTTCTGCCTATTGATTGAAGAAGCATGGCGCGATCCCGGATCTGGTTGGGGATCGCAGATTTCGGCCAGGCAGGCTGCCAGAATCTGCGATCCCCAACCAGATCCGGGATCGCACTACCTATACATGATTGTAGAGCTGTTTTTTTCCAAAAAAACATAATCCAAGCCCTGATTTCTGCCTATTGATTGAAGAAGCATGGCGCGATCCCGGATCTGGTTGGGGATCGCAAATTCTGCCAGGCAGCCCTCCCCAGAAGCGCGATCCCGGATCTGGTTGGGGATCGCAAATTCTGCCAGGCAGCCCTCCCCAGAAGCATTCTGTTTTGTTAGAAAATGAACCCCTTTATAATTTCAAATAGGCAACGCGATCCCGGATCTGGTTGGGGATCGCAAATTCTGCCAGGCAGCCCTCCCCAGAAGCGCGATCCCGGATCTGGTTGGGGATCGCAAATTCTGCCAGGCAGCCCTCCCCAGAAGCGCGATCCTGAAATACTGACATGAATTCAATTCACAGGCTCACAAGGGTTCCCGGTTTGAAATTACAGTTGGTGAACTTGTTCCCGAAAAGACAGGAGCTTTTACCTGGCCTTTTACCTGGCATGTATTGTGGCATTGTTTTTCGGGTGTGGGATCTGACATATATTTTGGCCTTTGATGTGGCATATGTTCTGACATTTTATCTTAGATACATTCTGGCAACGTGTTTGGCAGTGGAGGCCCAGCACTGCCCACTGGCGGTCGGGGTCGCGGTGGAGGCCCGCTGGTGCCCACGTGATCCGAAGCTCGTGGTTGAGGTCCGCCGGTGCGCCCACTGTGATTGAGAGCTGGCGAAGAAGCAAGGAGAAGGAGAAAAAGAGGCGGGAAGCGGACTACTCTAACAAAATCTATAACAACTGTCACCTGGCAGGTGCGGAAAAACCAGAGCAAACTGCAAACGCAGCCTCACTACCAACATGCATGAGAATATCATGGGATGAAGCTAAAACACAAGCGATTGTACAACCAAAGTCGAATACTTCAAGTAACTGTTTTCCCGACCCAAGCGACGGTTGTCTCCAACAAAGGCCTCCAAACGTCCAACATGGGCCCAACATGGACCCAAGATGAGCCCAAGACCAATTTAGGCCTCAACATGGCCTAAGTTGGCTCTACAAGTGGGGCTTTCAACCAGCTGTATCAGATACAGCTGGCAAAAAAGGGGTCCGTAGAGGCATCATCCTGCCAATATAGGCCTCAACATGGCCCAACATGGCTCTACAAGTGGGGCTTTCAACCAGCTGTATCAGATACAGCTGGCAAAAAAGGGGTCCGTTCAGGCAAATATTTGGAACAATATATACAATGTTCTACAGTGAGTCTCATCATACTTAAGAGGCTTCAGGCCACAGAATACCATGGAAACCAGAAGGTCAGCACCTTCTTGTCACAGGTTTTCCATCCCATAGTCACGGAAGGCTCACCAACCTGGATGTGCTGCCAAGGAAATTGCATTACAGACAACCAGCAAAAAATCAAAGAAGAAATGCGCAGCCGTGACTGCAAAGAATTCAAGATCTCATGAACCAGCCCAACAAACGCATGTTGCAGTTATTCTGATTGCTTCGACCAAGTTAGTGTAATGGAAGGCAATGGAAGGCATATCTTTTTTTCCACCCCTAACAGGTCTTCGGAAGCTCTGTTGTCCAAGGTCACTGGTGTACGGCCCCTGTCCTGACTTGCCGAAAATGATGCAGGACACCCCAAATGAACACCTCCTGGACGCCCTGCACAGTCTATCATGGAACCTCCCTCTTGACTAGAACCTCCCTTTTGATTGAGGCATCTGCAGCTCTGCAAGGAAGCATAGCAGGGTTCGAGACATAGTTTGTCAAAATCCGAGACAAGTCCACATTCTCTTTTTCGAGAAGCCGTATGCGCTCAGCGGATTCCTGCAAACTCTTCACCAATCCTTGCGGGTCCTGACATTGGGCCAACAGCGCCTTCGCCTCATCCAGCTGCTTCTGCAGATCATCATAGCCCTGGATCTTTTGGTAGTCTTCAGCACTCAAACGATATCTAAGATTTTTTCTTCGGCTCTCATACCTGAGGCCGCATTGCGGACCGCAAAACTTTGACAGATGTTTTGGAATATAGAGTGTATGCAATATGAAATGCCTCATACCCAACATTATTCAGTTCGTCAATATGGCATCCCGTATGGCTGGGCCAGAGCATGGCTAAGGACTCTTGCGGGTTTGGGTTGAAAACTCCAAGTTGCTTTTTGTGGGCAGCTTTTTTTCTGCTCATCATCCTTCTTCACGGGTGTGTCCGCAACAACCTGCTCTGATGATCTCTTTGACTTGCTCCGGCCCGCAGCATCGCTCTTCGATGTCTTGCTCTGGCGGCAGGTGGACATGCTGAAGCTCTGAGCCTGAGAACCTTTACTATATACCTGCTTGTCCATGGCCATCAATGGTTGGACGCGGCAGTGATTCAAACAATGAGTCATCCAGGAAAAACACGCAAGTACTAACTTGGCGTGATTCCTGGAGATGTAGCCCTAGTAAGGGAGGTTCTACTGGTCCGTGTTCATCTCAGCTGACTGCGCAAAATCCTTGTTTGAAATGCAAAAGTGGCAAAGGATGCGGCGGAGGCATTCCCACATGTTCCAAGGTCAGATAATCAGAAGAGTCGGTGACCACGCATGACTGATGACGCAACATGACACTTCTGGAAATCCTAGGCAACCGAGCTCTGTCGAGAAGCACGCGATCCTGCTATCTCTAGCCTGCAGAATGTCGAGAACCCAAGAAAAATGACAAGACAGGGGCCCGAATTGGAGGCTAGAACTTCGAGTAAATGCGCAGAGCTTGCATGTCTTGCTTGCTACATCCCTGACAGGCATTGTTCAACGCTGTGCATACCAATTGATCTTAGCAGTATATACCTGCATTTGTTTCGTGGAGCTTGGGCTCCGAATCGGGCCCCGAATCCGGGCCCCGAACCAAAGCTTCGAACAAATCGGGCGACTACACTCAACTTGAATTTAAACCATGTTTGCTACATTTCTAAGGCATACTTTGCAAGGTTACCCATGTCATGGAGATTGGGCTCCCCATCCAGGCCCCGAATCCGGGCCCCGAATCCGGGGCCCGAATCTTCGAACATCAGGCGACTACACTCAACTTGAATTTGAACCATGCTTGTTACATCTCTGAGGCATAGTTTGCAAGGCTGCACGTACAATATACCCATTTCATGGAGATTGGGCTCCCCATCCGGGCATCTTCGAACATCAGGCGACTACGCTCAACTTGAATTTGAACCATGCTTGTTACATCTCTAAGGCATAGTTTGCAAGGCTGCACTTACCATATACCCATTTCATGGAGATTGGGCTCCCCATCCGGGCCCCGAATCCGGGGCCCGAATCTTCGAACATCAGGCGACTACACTCAACTTGAATTTGAACCATGCTTGTTACATCTCTAAGGCATAGTTTGCAAGGCTGCACTTACCATATACCCATTTCATGGAGATTGGGCTCCCCATCCGGGCCCCGAATCCGGGGCCCGAATCTTCGAACATCAGGCGACTACACTCAACTTGAATTTAACCCATGCTTGCTACATTTCTAAGGCATAGTTTGCAAGGCTGCACTTACCATATACCCATTTCATGGAGATTGGGCTCCCCATCCGGGCCCCGAATCCGGGCCCCGAATCCGGGCCCTGAATCCGGGGCCCGAATCCGGGGCCCGAATCCGGGGCCCGAATCAGAGGTTCGAACTTGGAGCGACTACACTCAACTTAAGTTTAAATCATGTCTCTTAGGCATATCATATACCCGCCAAGTGTATTTTAAGGAGATTAGGCTCCGAATCCGGGCCCCGAATCCGGGGCCCGAATCGGAGATTCGAACTTCCAGACTTCGAGCGACTATGTTCGGCTTGAATTTAAGTCATGCTTGCTACATTTAAGTCATGCTGTATGTATATCCATGTTTGAATTTTGGGCGTGAAGTGGTGCATTTATTTTGTAGCAACTATTTCTGGTTCACAAGCACAGCCGCTTTAGAATGGAATTCGTTTACTTTAAAATGACCCTTTCATAGCACAAAATCTCTTTCCGACTTGCACCCCTTCCTGGGTTTAGAATGACTTTTGGAACAGATGCCAGGCATCACTTCACCAGGCAGCACTTGCTTTAAAACGGGTACTGTAGTTTTTAGTAGGTTTAACTTGCTTTAAAATGGGTATTGTAGTTTTTAATCGGTTTTGGAAACCTGTAGAAACCACCATCATTTGACAAAAAAAACTGCTGACTCATTTCAATCCCAAACATTCGATTGCCGCTGCAATGTTCGCACACAAGCTCTGCCGCTCTGCGTGTTGACTACCAAAAAAATCTTAGGCAAAAACTTAACTATCTCAGTACTTCTTTTTTTAATCTTCTTCCATTGAAAGCCATTGCTCGCAACTACCAAAAAACGCCTGGGCAAGAACTTAACTTTCTGAGTCTTCCATTGAAAGCCATCGCCCGCAACTCAACGCCTAGGCAAAGACTTAACTTTCTCAGTTTCCCTTTTTTAAACCTTCTTCCATTGAAAGCCATCGCCTCCAACTACCAAAAAACGCCTAGGCAAAAACTTAGCTTTCTCAGTATCTCTTTTTTTAACCTTTGGTTCGAGCATTGTGATGAACTCACAAAAATCAAACATGGTGCGCTGACAGTGGGCAGCTCCAACAGATTTCTTGGTCAGCAGCTGCTTCCATAATCGCCTATCAACCATTGTGGCTGGTTATTGTGGTTATTGTAGGTCATTGCTATTATCAACTGATAAGCCGCGAATTCAACAGTGATCAGCCATGGAGTTTCCATGTTTTTTTTCACCAACTAAGTTTTAATCTAGCTAATACTGACTTGATCACTATTTTATTACAATTGTACTAGTATGATTTGCCACGAAGTACCCATGATCGATCAGGGGTAGTGTTATCCAGAGTGGTCAAAGTGTGCTTTGATTTTTTGGTGATTGACAATTTGCTGTAAGAATGTGGTATCCCGACATAATATAGTATAATATAATATAACATAATATAATATAATATAATAATATAATATAATATAACATGATTATAGAAAATATAACGTAATTTATTATATATATATATATTATATATATGTATTTGCATATGTATATGTATATGTATATGTATATGTATATGTGTATGTATGTATGTATGTATGCATGCATGTATGTATGTATGTATGTATGTATGTATATATACATATATATGTATATTTATACATATATATATACATATATATATATATTTATACATATATATATATATATACATATTTATACACATACACACACATATATATATATATACGTAGGTACACACATAGATACATACATACATACATACATCCATGCATGCATGCATGCATACATGCATACATGCATGCATGCATACATGCATACATACATCCATGCATACATGCATACATGCATACATACACATGTATACATACACATGTATACATACATATATATATGTTTGTGAGTGAGAATTCTTTTTTCACGCATATGGTGCAATTCTGGTGCGCTGGCATATTGTGCAAGTAGATATGCAGCTGAATGGTTTGGGCGTGCTTTGACATACAGTTCTAAGTAGATGACGTTGCATCAATCAATAAGTGCGTCTAGGTCCTCTACCTGGTGTGCCGTGCTGTCAGAGCCCTGGCATGTGCAGCAAAGGCGCACCATGGCGCGCCCAATGGGCCAAGTGGTGATATGGTAAGATGACTGGCAACCTGTTCCTCTCAGGACATCTTGGCGTGCCTGCTGGGTCTTTTGGTATCCTGACTGAAGCTTTCAAACTGATGAAGTTAGACGCTGGTTGGCCCATGTTGGTCCATGTTGGTCGTGAATTCTGATCCCATTGTAGTCCTGCCATGTCTTGCAATCATTTGCCAACCAACCATCACATCCCATCCTTATCGATCCCATCATTCTTCCTGGCTATGCATTAATTATAAATGGCCGTAGTCCTAATTCTTGCATCCTTCATCACCTCAGACATTATTTCAGATATTTTTGAACCACCCGTTAGCCCACATCCAGGCCATAAATGCCTATGCTGCCAGCTTTAGTCCTCCCGCCGCTTTGAGGCGGCTCGGTCAAGGTGGTGCGGTAATGCATATGGCATATGATGCTACTTGCGCAAAGACAGTACCCGGTATATGCATGTCATATATACTTGATGTATTGGCTCCCAGTTGGCTTGATTTCTAGAGTTGTGTTCTATGTTTTTTGAGATTTGAACATGCATTGTTTCAAGCTGGAGCTTGTTAGCGATGAGCGATTGTTTGCATGAGGTGATCCACTCTAATCCCTGGCAAAACAGTTTCCAGCCTGTAGGCCACTCTGGCCCACCTTGCGAAGTCGCCCCTTCGATGCAGCTGTGGCGGTGCCGGGGAGTGGTGCCATCCTGGGCCAATGGTGGAAAATGTCAAGGTTTTCGTGCATGAGTATAGTTCTATTTCCTTTGGCTATGTCAGTTATGTCCCTGGTATGCAGTCGAAAATGTCTTAACTGCTGTGGTAGAAACTTGGAAGAGCAAACTTCATCTGTCTGTTTGAATTACTGAGCTAGAATGATGATGTCGATTGATGGCGTAATTATGGTGGGAGAATGTCACTCAGATTTTGGAGATGTATTGCGCCCATAGTCTGCGCCCATGTTCAAAGATGTTTAAAGCCAAGTCAGACAATGACGATGACGATGCTGACAGGCCCAGTTAGTTTTGATTTGAACTCTTGGAATCTGACATGAATTGGTTGCAGGTACTACGCACAATCCGCTGTGGATGATCTTCCCAGTGTTGCTGATCATTGTGGGCAACTTAGGGCTAGGACGGCTAGGATGGCTAGGGGCTACATATATGCTACGTCACGGCTACAATGAGTGGAGTTGAAGGACTTGGTATAGTTTTACTGCTGTGACGCATGCAGCTGAGGCTAGTGGCCTTTGCAAGGAATCCGGCTTCACCCTCTTTTCGATCCCTATGGGCATGGAGTTGTTGGACTTCCTGGCTGCACAGGCCCAAAGAAGTTCAACCTTGAAACAATAGTCATGCGGCTACAATATCCTCCGAGTGCAGTTGAGGTTAACAGGGAAAAGATGCTAAGCAAGGTGTTTCAAGGAGGTGTTCCCACTTTGGCAGTCATGATAGATATGAATAGATATGACAGATTATGACAGGGGTAAAACCGGTAAAAACCGGTAAAAACCTGAAACCAAACACAGCCATGGTCGATGTCTCCAGATCTCCAGGCCATGGCTCGGTGTCAGAAAGAACGGCTCTCCAAGCGTCAGCATCTAAGCTGTGCTGTGACCGCCGTGACCCGATATCAATCGCCTCTTCTGGCCGAGGGGTCATCCGTCGCCTTAGGCTGGGACATCTGGGACATCTGGGACATCTGGGACATCTGGGACATCTGGGACATCTGGGACTGCAGGAAAGTGGCATAACATGGAATAACATTTATTATATCATTTATTATAGCATTTATTTGAGTCAAACAACTTGCTCGCAACGTTCAAGTGGTGAACATGGCCCAAACATGCCAAAACTATATAATCAAAACGAATCAAAACTATATTTGTAGCATGTGCGCATGAGATAAAATGAGATAAATTGTTAATGCCAAGTCAGCTGAAAACAGCTATTACGATCTGTTGCGGCTGTAGATGTGACACTGCTGGGTCCCAATCATCCAGTCTTGAGGCTGCGCGCTGGCCTGCTGATTGCCAGCAAGGAACTCGAAGAAGTTATGGGTCATGTGTACAGGAAAAACTCTCCAATGATTACGAGGGAGTGTCTGTCCAGCAGCTACTAACAACCTCCCATAGCGAGCCTGCTGAGGTACATTCCTTGTGTTTGTGGCCCGCTATCGTCACACTGGAGGAACCTCGCTAAACATGCAGGGGATCCTGGAAGATGGGATGAACAGATGGGCTGCTTGGGTGTTGCGTTTCTTTTCTGATAAATTGCAAGCAATGCAGAGTGCTTTGAACCTGGACCCAAACCATCTCCATCTCAATGGTCTCGATGCCTATCCCCAATGAGCAGGTCACCACAAGACAATCCGATCAGCTTTGAGTCCGACCGAAAGGCAGTGACACCGTCGCAGATGAAGCCAACGAGATGCGGTTGGAACAAAATAGCATCACTATTGGATTGCAATGGATTGCAGGCCAGGATTCTGTCCTATTCATTCCTGCATGGCGTCTACATGCGGTCTGGATCCAAAGCTTTTTGCATCATTTTGCAACAACTTGAACTAAAGGATCTTTAAATTATCTAAATGTAATGAAGTCCATCACAATCTGGGGGGGCCCAACGCCACAATGTAGACTCTGTAGACGGTGTACAGCCACTGATCTTTTTCCCGAGGGGGTATTCCATGGTATTCCACGTACGTCCAGCAGCGTTCACGTCGTCACAAGGCTCTTGGTGTGGCCCCAGTTTCTTTGCCCTCATCTCAGGCTTAGGGAAATTCGTGGATGTTCCTGGAGCCCCACCGGCATCGAATCGGCAGGGCAGTGATCACATGGGATGAGGCTATGACTATTCCATGGATGCTATCCCGATGGCCAGACGCCCAGCCTCCAGAGATGTTCAATCAGCTTTTTGGTCCTTTCATCGTGAGGTACTTATATAATCTATTATAATCTTATATATATATAATTATAATATATAACTATATATATATATGCAGTATGTGTATATATATATATATATATATGTATATGCGTGTGTGAATAATTGAATGCACCCAAAAGATCCCAAAGTGCCATTCGAATGAAGAAGATTTGGAGCTAAACCATGAGATTTTTAGTATCCTATTTTGAACAACCCTGGCATCATTGATTCAGACTGCTCTCTCAGGTGCGGGATTTCTTTGACTGCCGCATGATGCTGCCACTTTCAGCCTATGTTGGTTTTATGGCATCTCTGAGCTTTGTGATGTCGCTGGGCTGTCACTCCGTCTCCAGGTATTTCAAGGGTATACAGTTAACATGGTTTAGACTTCTAGCAAACATATCGCAACAATGTTCGCATCCCCACTTCAGAAGCAGACTAGCCAGATGTATGTAGCATAGGTTTGAAAAGTTGGAATTGAAATTGCACCCAGCAAGCCAGCTACGACTCGTTCAATATCATTGAATTTGCCAATTTCAAATCAGACTGCTTTGCGTTATTGAGGCAGCTGCCTGCACGACACCGGCGATCTGGGCTCATCGCTATGGCACTTCTGGTGCGGCATTGGGTAGCAGTAAAATATAGTAAAATACACATCGAATCACATTGACTTGTTCTGACTTTGAGCTTGAAAGGAGTTGCATGTGCTTCTCATCCCTTCCTTTCGTCTAGTGACGCCCTGGATCATTTGGCCAGCCTCTTCTTCGATGCCTCGCATACCGCCAGGCTGTGTCCTTCTTGCCTGCCAGCCGCTCCTCTGAGTTTTGAGCCCGATGGCAGTGGCGACCGAACTTGTTTGAATCATGGCAGGTACATTGATGCAGGTTGATGCAGGGTTGATGCAGGTTGTAAGGGGCGTTAAAGAGCAGTGGAATGAAAGCGCTTTGGCCAGGCAATATTCTGTTCCCTGTTGGGACTGTCCTGTCCTGAGGATGCTTGGAAGAGACGCATTGGGGATGGCAAACTGTTGAGTCCAGGTGGTTGGAGAACGGCTGATGTATGTTCCTTCGGCTGGTTACTGTTTGGCCGTTGTGGTTGCTGGGCTCTCAGCTTCTCTTGTGATTTTGCAGCTTGGGTCGGGCTGGTGTGCTGGGGAGTCATGTTTCCGTGGAACGCCTCTTCATTGCTCTAGCGTTCCTAGTCATGTTCAGCGTTTGCTGTTCAACATGGCCTGCCATAAGGAGGTGCCCGTCACAACAGCTTTGGTGATTTGGAGTTAGGTGAGCCAGTTTTTCTTTTTCGCTCTTCAGGTCCTACATGCGTATTTGCAGGGCACACTCAACAAACCTCCTATTCCTCACCGTCCAGCTCTGAGTTCTCGATATCTTGGATGATTTTGAATGATTCTTGTGAAAAGGTAGACTGATGTATATAGACTACCGCAGGAGAGCTCATGACAGACTGTGACAATGACACAAATGGCTGAGGCCTAGAACCAACCAAGATTCAACGTGGCAAGGAGATCTTGCGGCCAAAATTTGCTGACAATCTGGATATGGCAACAAGCATCTTTAATACAATGTTTCACATGTCACTCCTTGAATGAGTCCCTGATTTCTTTGGACTTTAGATATCTTTGGAAACAAGATGTGCATGTTAATGATGGTTAATATAATGTTACCTCCTGGATCCTCCTGGGTAGGATCTTACCTTTGGATACCTTTGGTATCTTTGGTCGCCCAGGAGATTCACAGCTGGGGCATCGGAAGTGGTCGCCCTGAGGTGGGCACCAAATGGACCCAGGCCGACCCCTCGGTGACTCGGTGACCATTCGCTCAGGCGATGCGACGAGCCTTCAAAGTTCTCCTGTTTGTTGGGCGCTCAAGGGCTGAATTGATCAGGGCTTAAGGAGAATGTTGGATATTCAATGAATATAAATACTTCAACATACTTTAACATATTTTAACATCTTTAACATATTTAATTTTACATACTTTAGCTATAATTAACATATATTTAAATTTAAACATGTATAGACATCAGTTTTATAATTCACACAGTCCAGATGTTAGAAACAGGCACTTGAGAGACTATGAGGTGTCGTCTGGGATGGCAGCCCTCTCAGTTCGAACCTGGGTCCGTGTCTGGGACTGGGAATCCGTGGGGTGGCTCAGCACCGTGTAGCACCGTGTTGCAGTCAGTTCAATGTGGGAGGCATTTCCAGCATCTTTTCCAGCCATTTCGATCCGACTGGCATGTTCAGTTATCTACCGATCAGATGACTTGTGAAGATATCGTTTTGCCATTCCTAGACTTGCTAAGTCTGAAACGCTCTTCATCAAAGATGGGGCGCGGCAGCCAAACTCCTCCAAGACACAGGCTAGATCCATGACCTTCATGTGGCGCTGGAACATCATCCCCTGATGAAACTGGCTTCACATGAATCCAGCATCTCACCAATCACCTGCTTTGGTGAGTTTCAGCTCCTAAAACGCAGCCGGGTATTGTGAACCATACAATTTTCAACAAATCCTGATCGAGCCATCCTGTGGCCCATGTTAAAAATTTGGTCAAGATCCTAACCCCATAACTTGGTGATGTTACTTTGTGCGATTCCGGCCAGTTCAATCTGGGCATCACTTACATGCAGATGCAGGAGACAGAGTAGTTCAGTACCCTGCAGTGCCCTGCAGTGCCCTGCAGTGAGGCCTACGGATCGCATACCCTCCCACAATGGCAAAAGAGAACTTGCACCACAACTGCACGGTAACACCCCAGTACAAGAAAAGCGCATAAAAGCGCTATATGGAAAGGAACTCTGACATTCATTCATCATTTCTTATGGCGCTGCTACATTTGCATTCTTTCAGATCTGACTGGATTTCCTTTTGATATCTTTTGATACAGAAGCAGCGCTTCATCTCCAGGAGTGGGATGCTGCGGTGGATGCATTGGTGCGATGTGCATGGGCAGATCCTTTGAGCTCACTGCCGGGAGCCCCACGCAAGAGATGAATCAGATATTGTGGGAACTGGCTTCCATCCAGACACGTTGTTTTCCCTTTGACAGACTTGCATAGAAACAGCTTCTCTCTGCTGCCAGGCCATTCTATCGAATTGGGCAAATTGAGATCCTGCGCAATCGGTTCGAATCAGCAGAATAGCACTTAGCATCCCGCTTTGAGATGCAAAGTGCTTCAGACCAGCATTATGAAAGGCAAGGAGTATCATGATGATTGCAACCCCTAGTCGTGTAATCTTGGTGCGACATGAGGAGAAGTGGCTCGCTGCCGCCATTGACAAATTTGGAGCAAGCCTGATGGTGAGGGATGAGGAGGCTGCAAGCACAACTGATTACGGAAGGTATGTCTGTCTGTCTGATAAAGTAGGGGCCCGTTCATATTTTCCAGTCTAGGAGGGAATCACCAAGAATCAACATCTTTGTAGTAAGTTGTTCAATGCTGTTAGAGGATGTTTAGGGATGTTTGAGACGGATCCAGACTTATTCGGTTTGCACATATACTGTTTATGCTTGTTTGGAAGATTTTTGGAAGATTATGCACACAGACGCCGGGTGTCACGGGCATTTGAGCATGTTTGTTGCCTTGAAAGTGATGAAGAGGCTTCGGGCTGCCAAATCCAATCCATTTTGATCTTCAATAGTCTTGACAGTGGGGTCAGGGACTCTTCAATTGTCTTGCTCTGCTTGTTTGCATCTGCTCGGTGATTCGATATATCTCGATATTGATACGTTGATCCATTCGCAAAGACAAATAAAATATGACAGAAATAAGGCTTCCCCCATGACCAGCGGAAGCAGAACCATACAAAAACCAACGCTCAGCATCCACACCAAACTTGACAACAAAACGCATAGTATCATCAATTTGGAGATGCCGGCAGGATTCCACAATGAGCAAACATTGGCCACGCCATCCAATCATGTCCTTTCCCTTGAGCCATGGACACCAAATTGGTGGATTTTGCCGGTCCTCAGCGTGCTGAGCAACGTTACTGGCACTCGATCAGTAAAGAGGTGGATGACTTGGAGACGTCTTTGTTTGAATTGGATGAGCAGTTGGCACTCTTGGAACACGAGTGTGGCTCCCCACGGCCCAGAAAGAAGCGATTGGCGCCTCTGAGCCTACGCCGGGAGAACTCAAAGCAAGCACTTCAGGGTTTGGCTCAAAGCACCGCGCAAGGTGCTGTGGTGAAGTCGCGGTCACAACGATCACTCCGTCTTCAATTAAAAAAAATGAGGCGGCAGAGGGTGGAACCCGCAGGCAAACGCGGGCTTAAGATGTTGCATGTTTCCCCTCGCTATGGGAAGATCAATGCAAAGTTGTTGGGAATTCAGCGCACGAGAAATATGAAACAAAAGATTGCTGAAGGGCGGTACCTTCATACCATGGGCATGTTTAAACAGGACAAATACCGGAAGTCCATGCAAACGCCTTCCGAAAGCACTGGTGTGGCAGTGGACAAATGGATCTTAGTGCCTTGGGACCGCCGGAAAGGACCAGGAGGACAGCCCGTCACTTACCGACGTGCAGATGCTTCGAGCGGTAGCCTCCGCCTGAGTTTGTGGTGTACGGAGAGCTCGGCCGAGTGCCTCTTCTCTTGGTGCTGGTGGTTTGGACAGCGTGGTCAGGTCAGCCAGGAGAATGCTTGGGTGGCAGAAAGTCCATACCCAGTTTTCATTCCCAGCAAAGGTCGTGCAAAGGACGCGCATCTGAACTGGAGAGCTGAGCATTGCTTTGGAAAGGAAGCATTTGATGCAGAAATTAGTTCAGAAGCTGAAAGCCCAAATGCTCTTGTGATAGCTATTGTTGAACCGTCGGAAGCATCAGCATACCGTGAAGCATGGCCAGAGATGCCACTCATTGTGCTACCGGAGAATGATATGGGTCCTTCCTTCGCCCGGTGGTGCGTGCAAAAGCTTTGCACATGTTTCAAAGCAGAGGCAGAGATCGGCTCAGGAGAGTTTGGACCATTGCAACACATGCAATACTGCTGGTTGATCGATGACAGCATCACAAGTTTCTACAGCTTGGAGCAGCTCTCTGAGCAGAGCTTGGAAGAAGAGCAGCAGCGCATCCAGGAACGCTGTTCACAGGTGGCCGGCCCTGTGTCTCTGATTACCACGAAGCCACCCTTGTCACGGCCCTTAGGACGACGCACTGAGCGCTGTGGGGCAGGAGCCATGTTTGCCAAGGCGCTGCTGACGGTGCAGAAGGCGGCGAAAGCCAACTACGCCATTTGTGGATTCCTGCGCGATGATGGCACGGCTCCCATGAAGTCCGCACAATGGTCTTTGGACAGCACTTCAGTCTTCAAGGTGGTCCTCTTAAACCTGGTGCAGCTGTTTCAGCATCAGGTCGAATATGTTCCTCAGCTTCGTTTGTTTGAAGATGTGTGCTTGAATGTTCAGGCTCGAAACTCAGGAGCTCACATCCTGAAGTGTATGACCTATTGCTACCGCGCTGACAACAAGCGTTTCGGTGGCTGTGCCGCTGAACGTGCCGCCAAAGCAGCAGCATCCCACTGCACCATGCTGGAGGACCTCATTCCAGCTGAAGCCTTTGTTGCTTTGCCTCCAGCTGCCAAGGTGGGAGTCGGCATCAGTTGGAACGTTCAGTTGCATCATGTAATTATATCATGTTGCATCCAACCTGATCCGGCAGTTTCAGATTGATGAACCAGTCTGGTAGAATCTGTCGAAATTTAAGATGAGATTAGATATTAGGGTATTTGATGGAATGTTATTTTAGATGGAACAGGCCTGTGACACATTGTGCAGAGATATGCACGAAAAACATTGAAAAACAATGAAAAACATCTTGTGAGCCCAACAGTCTGAGTTTATTTTGGGGCTTCCAGGCTCATCTTGGATCCTTAAAATGAACATGTGCCATTTCAAGACCCATGTGACCCACATGCCAGGCAGCAGTCCAACAGGTCTACGGCTGGGTACACCGAGATGAAGATCGATCGCGGGCACGTTTGGAGGAATTAGGCTTGCCTGCTCCACTGGCGGCTCCTGATATCTCTGATATTCCATTGCTCCAAGATGCCGAAGCTTCAGGTGTTCTGGTGGATGATGATGGAAAGGAAGCAGCTGAAGCAATCTGTCTCGAGGCTCAGGAGTTGTTGGTTTCGTCCGAGGAAAGCATGCAAAGCGCTGCTCTGCCACCAAGCGAAGGAGGCGAAGGCAAATGGACCCAATTGAAGACCCAAAGGGTTCAGTTTGATCTGGATTGAACTTGGCCATACTTGGCCAATGCCTCGCAAAGTCGAGAACCTTTCTAAGAGGTACCAGGCACCATCAGGCACCATATATTTGATTGCATTATTTTTTCGGCTCGGCTTTTGGAAAAAAAACTGTGACTGATACTGACTGATACTTCCCGCGTCGCTGCCACATTCTACAACCATAGTTTTGGACGACGCACACATTGTGTGCGGCTGTGTGCCTCATCATGAATACATGTGAGTGATTGTGAGTTTTTGAAGATATTTGACGTATTTTGAAGTCCTCATGGCAGGTCTTCCACGACCTAGCTTTAGCGATGTTCCAAAATGGGCCTTTCAGCTGAAATACTGTATTTAATTCATTCTGAGGCAAGAGAGAGTCATGTGCTGTGGGCTTTGCTGAGAATTCTCTCCGAGTTTGTTCAGTGCCTCATGAATCTGGATAACTCCACTGCTGAGGAAAGTTGAGCAAGCAGAGACCAGGCCGCAGAGTGGAATTTGACCATGAAACATGTGTTTAACAGCCAGACAACACAGTTCCTGCAAAAGAGCAGCCACGACCGGTCAGGCTCCGGATCTCTGTGCAGCCTTGCTCTTAGAATTGGACTGTGTGCGCAAAAAGGGCGCGCAACCACTAGGTGCATCTGATCGCGCCACTGTCCCAGAGAAAGTATCAGAACGAGCTATGCTGCGATGCGCACTGGTACAGTATCATACTCTCAAACCCCTTATAGGGAAGTCAATGCAGGAAAGTCGCTCCAACTTGCGTTTAGCTTGTGGAAAACATATCGCAAGAATCTTGTCAGTTGCAATCATTACCTGTTTTTCCTTGATTGCGTTGTCTTTACATGTCAAACATGGCGATTTACCGTCCTATACTTCAATACTTGTCAATGCCAGATGCTGCTTTCGGGTTGTGAACTAGTGCTTCGGCAGTACCGTTCTTACTCTTGTCTTGTTGGATTCTTCCTGCTGCTGCTGCGGCAGCTGCTGCTTTTGGATTCCGCCTGCTGCTTCTGGGTTCTGCCTGCTGCTGTTCTGCCTGTACTGGTTTCATCTGGTTTCAATCTGGACATGCTCTCACAGAGTGCCTCATATCACTCATATCTTACATCAGGCTGAATCCCGACTTCGCAACGGGATGGAACAACCTTGGCTGCTGCCTAGCCCGAGACCTCAGTACTTGTATGTGTTGTAGAGTGTTGAAATCTGCCGGTGAGCAGATTGCACAGTTTTTGCTGCCCACATGGCCCTGTGGTGCGTGATTGAGTGATTGGCCCGAGGCTTCCAAGTTGAACCTCCATGATGGTGTCTCAAGCTCGGACGTCGCCAGTTAAACCACAACCAAGTCAGGTGGTGAGACGTGACAAGTTTGACCAAGTTTGATTTTCCTGAGGCCCGTGCAGTTCGCAAGGCCGTCTCATTGGATCCTGAGAATCCGCAACTCGGCTGTTCGAGTGTTCAGCAAACTCTGTTGGAGCTGTGTGGATGCTGCACTTAACCCCTGCATGGTGTACAAAGGCAATACTGGGCCAACCTCGTGCTTTTCTCAGAGAATTGGGTGTGGTTGAATGGTGTTGAATGATTGAATCACAGAAGAATAGAAAAGTGAACTCCCTGCACATACTTCTTGCTGAAACATGGCGCAAGACAGTCAAGACAGTCAATACAGTCACAGGGTTTCCATTGTTTCGTTATTGATTCGTTCTATTTCTCTTATCTCTTGTTTTGAACATTTGAGCATTTTTGAACCAAGTGCAACGACATACAACGAGCGTCAGGCGGTTCTCAGTCAACACCTGGGAGACTACTCCCTATCCCAATCCGCAATGAGTCCTGGCCCCAACACTTTGACAGTCTCACCTGTCCCAGGCAGATGCTCATGGCTGACACCCAGCAATGGACATGGAATGTTGAATGTATAGTATAGCCATAGCCAGCAAAGGTGCAACTTTACAACACTTTACGTACCTTTTAGCCTTTTACCATGTTTTGCTATTTGCTGGTGAACTGATGATGCACCATCGGATTCTTTGTTTGAGATATTGTTGAAATTGGGGTGCCCAACTTTTTCCGACGACCAACTGATTGCAGAGCTGTGAGGCAATGCGCTGCAACTCTGGCCCAGTATGCCTGAACATCGCGACTGTGCTTGGGAGTTTGCCCCTGCTGGCTGAGTGACTCGCTTGGCTCCGGCAACTGACATGCCAGCACTCTGTAGAAACACAAGATGATTCCTGATTTTGTTTTCCCCTCTTTCTCTCTAATAATATATCATGCAGTGTAGTTATCTTCAACATGTCATGTTTCATGGTGCATTCAGGTTGCATTTGATGATGCACATGGCATTAGTTCCCATAGGTCAAACAAATACTGTACCAGAAGAACATTACACGTGCATACTCATGATGTGTACGTGTCTCTGTGTGTGTGGGGTTTCGCCTCAAGGTTATTCAAGATGTCCTGACTGAAGATGATGAACCGCCAAAAGGGCATGTGTGAGCACCCTCGGACGCAGGTCTTCTTGACACTTCAAGTAGCCTTAGTTGGATGAGGTGTGCTGCTGCCGAAGCCGAAAAGAAACATTCGGACTTGATTGTTTGCAAACCTACCCAGCTGAAGTGTCAAGGTTGGCTGAGTTATGCTGAAATAATTCAGAAACCATGGCCTCACCTTGACCCACGCGTATGGTTGTAACGTTTGTTGGTTGTGGCTGCTGTGACTCTCTTGTGCTGTACTCCAGCCCCAGATCAAGCTTCGTGTCATGATAGTCATGTCAATCTGAAACTGTCATGGTAGAAGCTGAGGATCAGCCACAAGACTGCCTGTCTTTTGTGAACTGCTCTTGGATGACAGCTAGTTCATGTCTTTCTGCAATTCTCTGCGTTCACATGTGCGGTCCATAAAAGTCACACACACCGGTACGCCCACAGCAAAAACACAGAGAGATGTCTGATTTCTGCATGCATTTTGGACAGTCAGAGCCTTCAAGTCTCTCCGTGACCATGGGCCGGCTCTTTGTGGGAACATCGGGTTGGTGTGGCCTGCACCCCAAAGATTTCGCGCGGCACTACGATGTGGTCAGGGCACCATAGGGCACCTGGGGAGCCGGAGATGCCAGGAGATAAGAATGATAAGATGACCAGTGGCTCAAAATCCAGGAACCCAACAGGCACTCAATCACACAGCTAGCAGCGCTAGCATCAACTGGCCATTTTGTGCAATTTTGATGAGTTTTGATGACTTTGATCCTAAAACAATTTCAAGTATGTACATGGAGAAAAGGCAATGGGAGAAAAGGCAATGGAAGAAAAGGCAATGGAAGTTTAGGCTTGATTGGTTCAGCCTCAAATTTGACCAAGCTTCAGTACTCCAACCCGTCAATTTCCGAGATCTTAGGTGGAATTTAACTGGACCTTCCATGAGCGGGACAGCGATGTGGAGCACTACCGCAAGGCGACTTTGGGAGGGCCTGCTGTCTCACAAGCAGTGGACGAGGATCCTTCACAATTCATGGTGTATATTACTAGGTAATTATGGGTTAAACCCCTGGCACCCTAGTGAAAATCAAATAGGTGGTAAATGAATGTTCATCCTCCAAGACATTGTACCACATGTACTAGTAGGCAATTCACAACTGGTGTTGGCCCATCTCAATATAGTGGAGTATAGTGGCGACATATGACATATTCCATATTTCCGCTGGTTGGTAGACGGTTTGGCTTGCTGCCTTGGATTACTGGTACATTCGCCAGTGATCCAGTCTATGATTTCTCTTCATCGGGGCCTGTGAAACTCCGCCAGCCTCAACCTGAAGACCCCTGAAGTTTGGATCAGCTCAGCTGCACTGAGTCCCAAACAGATCCTTTGTTTCTCCCGCTGATCCCTTCAGAATGCCGCTCATGAAGCGTCCTGCGGCGGCGAGTGCTTCGGGTCCGTCCGCTTTGGCGCTGGATTTGAAGGAACGACTGAGGCAGAAGTTTGAGAGCCAGAGAAAGCCAAAGATTGCTGAGCAGATGTCCAAATATCTGAAAAACAAGCATCCTTTCTATGGCTTGAAGGCACCTCAGCGCCGACAATCTGCCACAAGTGTTATCCAGCATTGGCGAAAGGATCATGGAATTCAGAAGATCCCAGAGAACTTGGCTCGAGCTGTGCTGTGTGCACTCTATGCATGTAAAGAAAGGGAGATGCACTATGTTGGTGCCGAGTTTTGTGCATCGCTCATGCGATCAGGGCCGGTAACTCCGAAATTCCTGAGCGTGGTGAAACTGGGGGTTGAGACCAACAGTTGGTGGGACACAGTGGACATCTTTGCCGCTTCCTCCATGTCACCGTACCTTCTGAAATGTGGAAATGGACAGCCGTGTGAAGAAGTTCTCAAGACCATGGATTGCTGGTCCATTTCAGAGAACCTTTGGCTCCGGCGCACTGCCATCCTCTGCCAGATGAAGCTAAAGGGTAAAGCGGATCTTTCACGGCTGATGCTGGGTAGGTAGTTTTTGGATGTTTTCGATTCTCGATATTGTTCACATTTTTGATGATGTTTTTGTAGCATTTTGCAACCGGGCAATGGTGTCGTCCCAATGCAGTTTCAATCCCAGTACCTTTCCTTGGTGCTGTAGCTGGCTTCAGGAGCAACATGACGAGAGAGTCTCGATCACGTTTTCCGGTTTTGCCGTTATTTTTCCCCACATTTGGATGCATTTGGTAGAATCATGATACATTTGGTAAAATCCATAGATAAGGACACGCTACATTTTGCAGAATCGCAAGCATCCGGATTTCTTTGTTCAGAAGGCCATTGGCTGGGCCTTGCGGCAGCATGCCCACTATGACCCCGAGTGGGTCCGCCAGTTCTTGGTGAAGCATGGGGATGATCTTGCGCGCCTGTCGCATCGCGAAGCCTCCAAACACTTGACATGAAACGTTGGACCGTTGGGACATGTTGGGACCCTTCGCCAAGCGGAGCAGCGGCCATGGCGACCATGGGATGAACTCAGCTGCCCAGATCAGGGACCTCAGTAGGGCCACAGATGTTTGCAACAAACGTCTTGCCCGAGGCCTTGAGCGGCGCACGCTTCATAGCCTTTTAATTCTTTTACCAATTTTTAGTAAATGAGTGGAACTGATAGTGCATTGAAACTGTTTCGGTACCAAAAGGCAGCAGCATGCCGCAGCTCATTTTCTGATGTGTTCTGTGCTTGTTGCCAGGTGTTTGCAGCAGATTGCAGTGATTTCAATGTCATCATGATTTTTGATGATTTTTGGATATTTTTGGATGTTTCAGGCAGAGTGAGGGCTTTACTGAGTGAACGCCTTGATGGCGTGATGCACGGTCATCGATTTTCAGGTAGCTGGGGAGCTCCGAGATATGCATCTCCATGCCGTGTTGAAGGTGCAGTGGGGCAGCTCTCACGTACAGTCATCTCTCCTTCCTAGCACGTAGAGAAGAGTTAAGGATATGGATTCACGATGAATCATGATGCCAATGATGTGAGATGTGAGTTGATTTTTGTGAGTTTGCTGAGTTTGCTGAGTTTGCTGATCCATTTTCACATTTTTCACTGACGTTGATTTTAGGGGAGTGGGCCGAAGAGTGGGCTTGAGTGTGCTCGGCCAATCCTCGCGCATCGGTTGGCTCCAGCATTGGCTAACGAAAGGCAGCATGCATGCAAGCTATAAGGCTATAAGATGCTATAAGCAATGGAGCCATATCTGGTGCAACTTTATAACTTTGAGATTGACAGGTGACATGGATTTGACATGATTTGAGATCATACCGAATCGTACTGAAATTGGCACCTTATGACATGTGATGCCGCTAAAATAAACCAGCATGTAGATTGTTCATATGATTCATGATTATTCTCCTTCTGAATCTTGGGGGATCCAGGTACCATCACCTCTGGACCTGATTCATCCTGCGACAGAAACTCATCACTCATCACAGATCGTTCCTTCGGCCCATGAACACGCGCTCACTGGAAGAGGGTGCACAGCTTTTGGCACAAAGTGCCGAAACAGCTGTGCAGGCTGGATCTCCTGAGGGATTACACGCCAGCTGCTGATGGTTCCCTGGTTCAGTTGACAGTTTTGGAGAACATGACACCATAATTATATCCATAATATTCCATAATACATATATATATAATATACAGTACAGATATTATATATATACTATATGTATGCGCTGTATAATTATGTATATATGCATATGATTAGATGATATTAGATGTAAATCATAATAATTAAATTATAATATATGTGTACATGTACTTGCACAAGATATATACTAAAGCACTTGAAGTCCCAACAGAGCAACAGCCCTTCAATCCCGGCTTTGGAGGATGGTGCGGCCGCCATCTCTAACGCATTCACACCATTAGTGGAGGGCGCAAGGGCTGTGCAGGATGGGATTTGGTCTGGCGTTAGCGCCGTTGCTCGCAGCGTCTCCCGTTCTTTCTCTGCTGGGCCGTCCTATTCACGCCGCCAGTATGATCGAATGGAGGAAGATGACAGGAAGGAATGGAAGGACATGAAAAAGGAGTATCAAAAGCTACAGTGGTCTGAGTCGATGGAAAGGAATTTAGCGATGCTCAAGCAGATCATGGAACATCGACGCAATGAATTGCACATTGCGGACATGAGCAATGACCAGGAAAGGCGACGTGCCCTAGAGGCAGAATTGAAGGACCTAAAGGTGCGGCAAGCTCGTCTTTCATGCGCTCTTTGGATCCAGCCGGAGGATCTTCCAAGTTCTCAGACCCTTCTGGAAATGAGAAATCCGAAGAAGCTACAAGCTGAACTCGAAGCCAAACTGGTGGAGCTGGGCCTGGTAGAGGCACGAGCTCTCCAGAGACCACCAGTACCTACACCCACCAAGGCAGATGCATCGACATCTCCGAACCCCGAGGTTTCCCAACCTCAGCCTGAGCCAGTGAGATTGGTTCCAAAGCTTCCATTGAGCCGCCCAGTGGCTGCGACCGAAGATGGTCGGTTTCAACCTGTGCTGGACCCACGATTCACCAAAGCCTCAGACCCTGCGACGTCTCCTTTCAGTGACGACTCACCGTGCAAGACACGCAACGTGCAGGGTGCTCGACCCCACACGCCCAGAAGAAAAGCAACCAACGCCGGGGGTCAAGACACGGAAGCTGGGGATACAGGTGGAAAGCTGATAGATGGAAGCCATCCCGATGGTGGAACTGGCAGCACCACCAGCCCCCTTGGTGGAAAGGGCAAGGGCGATGGTGGGAAGCGTCCAGGGAAGGGTTCCGGCAAGAAAGGTCCGGCTGCACCTGCCAAAGGTGGAAAACCAGCTGCAGACGGCGACGGAAAGGGTATGAAAGGGCCGCCTGGAAAAGGTGGACGGATACGGAAGGTTACTCCCTTAGGTCGCAGATTCCACTGGAAAGAGCTAAATGCTGAGAAGGTGAAGGGCACCGTTTTCGACAAGGCTGATAGCCCTATGATGGACACGATTGATGTTCAATTTGATGGGCTCAAAAACTATTTCGCAGACGATGACGAACTGTCGAAGCAAGGTGCTCCAGCTGCACAGCAATCCCAGGAGATGGTGCGAGTTTTTGACAACACTCGTATGCAGAATATTGCCATCGTGATGCGAGGGATATTCGGTCAGATGCCATTGGCCCAGGAAACTCGTCCAGAATCCAGTATGTCACTCACTACCTTGGTTCGTTTGTGCATGCATATGCATGCATGAATTGAACATAGAATCTAGTTGGCACATTTACTGGCACTTAGACGGTTTGGCAGTTTGGCCCTTCAACTTCCTTCGCGCAATGGATGCCAAGGATATGGATTTCTTGGCTGCAGGAATTGAAGCGGTAGATCCTGCTCGAGCGGGGCCGATGGCACCTTCCCTTCGTGATGGTGAGAAGATCTCTTTGCTTCCCACTGCCCGGGCCGCAAGCAGTGTTTGATGTGTTTGTGTCACAGGATGTGTCTTGAGAGGTGGGAACTCCTGAGGAAACTCCCACAGGTTGGCCAAGGATTGAGGAATCTTCCTGACTCACTGCTTACTCACACATTGAATATCCTTGAATTTTGGGCTGGTTCTGATTTCTTATTCGGGCAGATGTGTGGTCAAAAGTGCCTAGGCCATGCCCACAGATGAAGAAGCCCAACAATTGCGAGAACACGATCCGGATCGGCTGCGCCAAGTTGAGAGGTGGCTCATGGTGGCAAATTACAGGGTTCATGACACCAGGGAACAGGCGAACAATCAGGTTTCTCTGTTCTCTTGAATCAGGTATTAAAGAGAAACATGATGCAAAATATCGATAAATATCGAACACTTAGAAAAAATCTATGAGGGCAGCAGGATGCAAGGGAACCTCTTCATCACTATGAAGAAGGTTCCGTTGATAACAGCCGTGCGTTCAATGCAGCCATGCACGGACAGTTTTAGTAATGCGCACACGCTTGGCTGTGCCAATGCCGTGTTTATTTTGACAATGGTGTCGGAGCATGGTAGGGCAGAGAAAAAAAAACATGGCAAGTCTGAAGCACTTCACTATCGTCAGCTGATGTTAACCTGACCTTTCGGATGTGGCTGCAGGCTGGTCCTACCCTTGGCACAGCTCACTCGCTGCCCGCAGCGCATCCGAGCCTTGCGCTTGGCCGCTCAAGCTGAGATGCTGCACGACAACTTGCAGGTGCCGGATGTGCCGGGATGGGGCAGAGATTATGGAAACCATTGGAAACCTGCCTGAGCAGAAGTGCAAGATGGACATTGAAATGGATGGAACGATTTGGGATTTGGGTCTTTGATAGACTTTGTCTAAGTCCAAGTGCGATATTACCTCTAGTTTGCATTTGTGGGTTTTCCGTTTTGATGCTTGTAGCTATCCTCACACCAGGGTCGCCTCGAGAACCTTCAAAACGCTTGCGATGCGCTGCGCGACTCCATGGCTCTCCGGCGCTTCCTGCGCACGGTTGGGAGAGACTGGAGGGGAGGGCTGATGGAGGGCTGATAATCACAGCACCCGATTCTAATTGTTCCATTTTGTTGTTTTATCACGACGTGTTATCATTGCATATCATTACGTCACCGCCATCATCCTCATCCTCTTCCTCATCTTCCTCATCTTCCTCATCTTCCTCATCTTCCTCATCTTCCTCATCTTCCTCATCTTCCTCATCTTCCTCATCTTCCTCATCGCCCTCGTCACCCTCGTCACCCTCGTCACCCCCCATCATCATCACCATCATCACCACCATGATGAATCCTTGCCATTTCCAACCGTAGAATCTTGCACAGGCATTGAATGTGAAAGACTGCTAGGCTTAGATTTTGAAAGACTACTTTTCCCTGTTCTGCGCAGGTGGCAAAGCTTGGCAGCTGGATCAACTCTTCTGATCCTGAAATGGAGTTTCTTGCTTCAAACAGCTTCATTGCGTCAGGACAACATCCCTCATTGCCAGGCTGTGTATCGCAATTTCAACAGGTTTTTTCTGAAAGGTCACGGGATGGGAATCGCATGGAATCGCATGGAATCGCTGTTTTTCTTCCTTTTGGCTTTCCCATCTTTCCCCAAGTTGCTGGACGTCCCATTGGCAATCAACATCCATCAGTCACGTGCTGAGGAAAGGCTTTGCAGTATCTTCAGCTCTTGGAAAGCTGCGCCTCTTTCGCGCGGTGCGAGAGGACAAGGCCGTGTCTCTACTACACATTGCCATTTTGGCTGCTGCTGGTGCTGAGGCGACGCTGGCTGCTACGTCATTCCTGAGGGTTTGCTTCGCTAATTTTTGTCGATTCCACTGGAAGGTCTTCCACGCAACAGCATCCCTACCCTCTCATGAAGCGGAATAACAACCAACGACTGCATGTTGTTGAACTGAAAGCTATTGTGAATTTGGCGATTTGGCATGTAGATGTAATGATGTATATATACCCGTTGGCATTTCCCTTCCATTTTGGCAGGGGCCGACCCTGTTATAAATGGTTTCTATATAGGCATTTTGTAGTTACAAGAAGCCCCAGCACCCAGGGTATTTTGTAACAGGACAGTACAGGACACCTAAAAGGCAAAGTTGTACATTTTATAGTGTTCATTTTGTAAGGGGCCAACTCATTCTATAAGACCATCGGGGTTGTTTTTTTTTTTTGAGGCATTTTGTAAACTCAAGAGACTGTTATGACACATAAAAAAACAGTAAATTCTCAGCAGGGTGTGCCATGACATGTTGTAAGGAGATGTCGAGAAGAGTAGAAGAACCATTTTGTAAGAATATATGCTCTTAAGATATTGATACAATTTGATACAAATTATCGTTCAGATTCGACTCAATACTTGCAAAAGGGTGGCAAACTTTTTGCGGCTTGTGTTCACTGCAAAAAGAAACGGACTCCGTACAAAAAGGATGCTTGAAAACCAACGAGACCGGGGAAAAAAGAAGCAGGGAACCAGAAGTTGTTGCCTTACAAAATGATACGCCAAAATGCTATCTGAAATAACAACTTCTTATAGAAAGGTCATCGGGATGATGCAACATTCACATCATGAAGAAAGTTGTCACCTTACAAAATGATGTGGGATTTTAGAGCCGATTGTTGGTGCTAAAACCCTATATATGCTTTTTGTAAGGGCCCAAATTCCCAAAAACCGATCCATTTCATAAAGGTTTTCAAAATCCCACCATTTTATGCTTCCAAGAAGCCGGGTGCGACACCCCCTAGCCCTAATCTGAACGGGTATATGGTACATGTATATGCCTACGGCAGGAAAACCGTACGTGCGTTTTGCTTCTTTTTGAGTATTGCTCTTTGTCTTGGGGTTGGGGTGGGGTGGGGTGGGGGGGCATGTTAACGTTCCTCGTACTTCGTACAGGATATATTGCCATGTTAGTGTGGGTTGGGGTTGGGGTGGGGTGGGGTGGGGTGGGGGGGCATGTTAACGTTCCTTGTACTTCGTACAGGATATATTGCGATGTTGCTAAGATCTCTGGGATCTTTTACTACGTTACATGTTGCTACGCTGCTGGTATCTCTGAGATAGTTTCCTACGTTACATGTTGCTACTCTGCTGAGATCCTTGGGTCTTTCTTACTACGTTACAGGTTGCTACGCTGCTGAGATCTCTGAGATAGTTTCCTACGTTACATGTTGCTACGCTGCTTCCTTACGTTACATGTTGCTACGCTGCTACGTGCTGAGATCTTGGGTTTCCTACGTTACATGTTGCTTGCTACTACGTGACATGTTGCTACGCTGCTGAGATCTCTGAGATAGTTTCCTACGTTACATGTTGCTACGCTGCTGAGATCCTTGGGATCGTTTCCTACGTGACATGTTGCTACGCTGCTGAGATCCTTGGGATCGTTTACTACGTGACATGTTGCTACTCTGCTGAGATCTCTGGGATCGTTTACTGCGTTACATGTTGCTACGCTGCTGAGATCCTTGGGATCGTTTCCTACGTACATGTTGCTACGCTGCTGAGATCCTTGGGATCGTTTCCTACGTGACATGTTGCTACGCTGCTGAGATCCTTGGGATCGTTTACTGCGTGACATGTTGCTACTCTGCTGAGATCTCTGGGATCGTTTACTGCGTTACATGTTGCTACGCTGCTGAGATCCTTGGGATCGTTTACTACGTGACATGTTGCTACTCTGCTGAGATCTCTGGGATCGTTTACTGCGTTACATGTTGCTACGCTGCTGAGATCCTTGGGATCGTTTCTCTACGTTACATGTTGCTACGCTGCTGAGTGTGATCGTTTACTACGTTACAGGTTGCTACGCGTTATGAGTGCCATAATGGCAACTTGCTGTCGAAGACAGCTTCCACACTGATGGATCGCTGAGCCGACGAAGAGTGTGAAAAAAAATCTGCGCATCCACGTCTGATGCACATGATGTTTACCTGGATTTGTTAAAAATCAATAGATTTTGCATCCACTTTTTTTAACCCAAATTCAGTTATCCAAACTGATCGGAAGAGCATTTTATATTGTAAATTACAGGTGATTGTGACTCTCCTGGAAACAACCAATCAAAACGCTCGCGCGGTTTCCCTTCCGCCGGGATGTATACGGGTTCTCGTTTTTCTCGTTCTTCTGCCATACTAGCCCCTTAAAACGCATCAAAACACCATCACAGCACCAGCAAATTGCATCAGGTGCCCGTGGTGCAGCGTCTCTGCAGTAGCTTGGCACTGGAGCTCGAAGCCTTGGACCGCGTGGCGCGTGAAGATCTGGCCGATCTGGAGCAGGCCATCCGACAATTTGCTGCTGAGGAGGCTGGCGATGGTTGGGGATGGCAGGGGATGGCTGTGTGTCCCCAAGAGTTGCAATTTTGGGAGATTTTGATTGATTTTGGGAAGTTGGAAGTAGGTTAAACAGGTGGATTTCCAACCCCTTTGAATCTTTTGGCATTTTTCTGGATATGTCTGGAACCTGATGGAAGATGATTGAGATATGAAGCGGGCTCGGGAGGTTAAAGACGGGACAGGCATGGATGGATGACATGCCTGATTTTGAGCTTGAATTGTAATTCCCAAAGTTTGAGAACTTGTGTTGGAGTTTATATGTGCGCGTGTGCGCGATCCTACATACGTCTCCGTGAGCTGAATTGGTGATAATCAGGTTTGATTGATTTTGATTGTGTCATGCCATTCTAGTGCTTTCACAATCTGAGGGGTCTACGCAATGACCAATGCAGGCTTGGCTTCTTCAAGAATGCGAGCACGCAGAATATTCTCTGGGTGTTCGTGCGAGGTTGCGAGCTGTGCATCAGGTGCAAACATTCACATACTCGCTTTGCATTGCTTTAGGTGTTTTCGAATTGCGCCAGTTTAAGCATAACGAAATAATCGGACTATGACGTGCGTTTAGATGCAGTGGTTCCAGATCTGTCAAAGGCAAACTTTTGCTTCAAATTGATTCAGACTTCCGCCTTTGCAGGAGCAGCTTTTGCAGTTGCGACAGCAGTTGGAGGAGGTGCATCGGCTGATTCCTCCATGAATATAGGGTCTGAACATGTCTGACCAATTTCCCCTATCATGCAAATACATTGCAAATACTGAATGCACCATTCTCCATCCATTTTCCATCCATTTTCCATCCATTTATCATTGTTTTCCATCCATTTTCCAGTTCCTGTGAAGCTGGACCGCTGAGGCCTACGGCCTCCTCCAGCCGCGGCTCTCGGAGACCTTGTCCTACTTCGCAGAGGGGCAGACGCCCTCAGTGGAGGCAGCGGCCGAGAACCTTGGCCAAGCACCGAAAAAGGCACGTTCTCTTTTCTTTTTTTTAAACGGGAACAATGTTACAGATATATATATATAATTATATATATATACACATAGCACACACACATATATATTATATTATATTATATTATATTATATTATATTATATTATATTACAGTATATTATATTATCATAGACTGTATATATATATATATCAAGTAATACTATTGCTAAACTCTACGAAAGATCTTGAAGGTGACCTTATATGAAGATCATCTCAGGTCTGTATTGAGAATAATTGAGATCTATTGAGATCCCAGTTGGTTTCATTCGCTCCGACACGACTGTGAGAAATGTAGCGTAACGCCATGCAATCAATGGATGGGCTCTGCAACCTTCAGGCCAACATAGGTCAACCAATAGGAACGTGCATTAAAGGCACTTTGGCATGCCACGCATTAGCAGTCAAGCTGTTGTTAAGGCAGCTCTTGAAAACTTTGCATGCCTTCAAGAAGGATGTAGCAAGTGCATCTGCTGAATCTTAGCTGCATATTGAGCTTTTGTGCTGTAAGAAACCATGGCTGTCCAAGCTGCTGAGTTTGCCCCCAGTCCTTCATAAGATTTGCAAGGAGATTTTGGCACAGCCACGCCGCTTTTTGAAAGCCTATGCCTCTGGGCTGCAACCTTCAACATCATTACCCTTTAAATAAGCATCTTTAAGCCTGCTTAGTCATCAAACGCAGTAAAACTGAAAAAAGTTTGTAGGCTGCAGGAGCTGCCGCGGAAGCCGCAGCTGAAGAGCAGCGGGCCACTCAGCGAGTGGGGAGCTCAGGCATGCAGAAAATGACTCGCGCATTTTGACAAGTAGAATTTGTCTAGTGGCTATTTGGGACTGGCTGCGGACGAAATTGCTGCAATATCGACAAACTTCCCGGGTGGGGAACGGCCTCAAACAAGCACCTCGTCCGTCAAGGTGCGTGCTCGAAGCATGTCAGGAGCTCGTGTATCTGTTGCTCGCCGCTTACTCAGCACGATTCAATATATTCAATTGCCATGAATTGGGCTGCAAATCTTGATGGATAGTCGTAGCGCAGTGATGGTCTTTGCGGGTACCTTCATGTTGCTTCTGTTCTGCATTTTAGCATCAGCGCATAGACATTACCCACCTTGAACGTGCATTAATATCCACAATTTGAGGCCGCAATAGCAGGCCTGGACCAACCTCCTTGGCGGACAGGGCAGCTTGGCACTTCGGATGTGTGCACAACTCCAACGTTGATGATGCTTGATGAATATATTTTGTGACCCCTGCACTGTTAGAAGCCACGTGTTTATAGGTGAATGATGAATGCACAGATTGAACAGGTCCCCCAAACCCACTGCAAATCGCTCATCAGCTCATTGTACCTCAATGAACTGACCAATACGTTTTTGATTCTTTTTGCATCCTGCGGTGGCTTTGGAAACAGCATTTGTCCTGTCCTAGCAGCTTAGGTTGTCATGCAAAAGTCACTAGCTGCGAAGGAGGATCCAGATGTGTCGAAATGCAAACGTAGTTCAAATGGAAATATATAGGTAAATTGCACATGTGCTATCATGTGCTTGTGTATGTATATGAGCGACGGCTCTTATTTGCGTATATGGAAAGTAGTATTCGGGCGTACCCCGGTTTGTCAAAAACATCATATTTAGCTTGTAAAACGAGGTAGGAACACCCCGAGAACGAGGTAGGCAAAAACGTTGCGGGACTGGAGAACGAGGTAGGAACACCCCGTCAATTGCGTTATGCAACAAATATGGTTCGCAGCTCATATGATGGAAACAAATAAGCAAAATAAGCAAACAAATAAACACATACATACATACGCACAAGATACTATAGGATACTATAAGTATCTATAAGTGGCAAATGTTTCATCCATTTGAACCTATTCAATGCAGTTCCCTGATGTTTGCAGGACCTTCGCCCAGCGGACGTAACGGGCGGGGAAATGCCTCTGAGCTTAACAAAGTGCTTTGGGTTGAAGTGTTTCGCCTAGATCATTTGAATCTTTGAGCGCTTCAGCTTTGAACGCTGTTCAGGTGCCGACAGCCGCCTGATCTTTCTGTTTCTCTGTTACTTCAGATGACACGCTGTATGCTGTCCTGTTGACACTGGCAATCACTGGCAGCAGTTCTGGTCGTATCATCTATCACCAATGTACGCAAACCGAGGTCCAAAAGCGCCAAAGATGGTGGGCAGGTAGGAACTTCCGTTACCTAGAGGTTCTTGATGGTTTTCTTTGAAATGAGAGGATAATGAAGGTGCTGTGAGTGTGTGTGTGTGGGGTGAAGATTGCAACGCGAGTAGTCTTGCATTTCAGCGCTCTGCCACGCTCTCGAAATCCTTGTGCTGGCAACCTGCCAGCATCTTCTCGCCGGCACTGTGTAGTGCAGGCTGAATTCGTTTGTTCAACGGCTTGACATGAATCAGTTATGTTGCAAGACCGCCTGACCCGCAGGCCAAAGTCAGTCACCAGGATGTGCAAACTCTTGCTTGACACTATTATGCCACTCTAGTGACAGATCGCCAAGAGGAATTTTCAAGCTGGTGCTGCTTGCTGACTGTGAATGATTTTCTTGTCGAACAATATCATCCAAAGTCATCGCGCCATCGCTTTCCAGGCTGCCAAATCAATTGGGCCTGGACCAAAATCTCAGAGCAACTCTCTTCCTTCAGTGCTCTCAAAGAGAGCGCTGCTACAAGCATTGCTGGGCGCAGCGGCTCCTGATCACAATCTTCGGACATCTTTGGGCACATCCAAAAATTGCATGATATTGCATGAAATTGCAACCTCTCTCCTGGGCCAAACGGCCAATCCCACAAGAGATCATGGTGCCATCAAAACACATTGACATGTTTCTTGGAAGATTGCTGCCTCAAGCAGAACCTACCACAGCTTTTGCAGGATTCCGCCCATCCCAGCGCCAGAGATAGAGAAAGAAGTGAGCAGCAGATGGAAAGACATGGGGCTTGGGAGACGTAGCAGATGACCAATATTGATCATTTTGTAAACATGTTATGTTCGATCAAATTTCAACCAGTGCTGGCAGTGGCTAGATTTACACATTTGTTTTATTTTGTTTTCACATTTGTACAGATCACACTCCTACCTTTAGATGATCGTACATATCTAATTGTACTATGTTTGCGCTTGTACCCATAGAGGATCATAAATCAATATAAATAGTAACAATAATGCCACTGGTCACTATAGTAAAAACATGTAAAAATAAAGTAGAATGTACACACACATATATATATATATATTGATGCCGCATTTTTTGCGAACATATTATACGAATGTCCGCGTAGCGGTGCAACTGACTGGGCCCTGGGCAGGTCTCAGGACTTGCTACCCACGAAAGGCGCTTGCGCAGTGTGGGGCTTAGGAGAATTTATTTGAGAGATAGCCAAATCTACGGCCCGGGGATGCGTGGGGGTCTAAATATGTCTTGATGAAGTGCTGAAGGTCCATGAAGGTCCCAGATATAATACAAATTAAGGTACTGATACTGTAAGTTTTGGAAGTCCCTTTTGCAAAGGTCCGGGGCAGTGGTGGCCGCATCTGTGGGCAAAGTACAGCGAGCTCCAAAAGGTGTGGGATCCTGGTACAGCATGTCGGGTGTTAATGCTCTTGGAGCGCTTTTGAGCTGGGACACAAAGCACATCAAAGCACAATGCGAATCGAATCCTATGGGACAGCGCTTCCAGCATGCCCACACCATGGGTCATGTCATGGATCTTGCACCAGGGAGCGTTGGTGAAATATGCCGAAGTTCATTCCTTCTATAGTTCTTTATAGTTCTTTATAGCTCTTTATAGCCTTTTATAGCCTTATGACATGCCCAGAAATGTGTGAAGCGGCTGCTTTCAGGCTGGTGTTTTGGGTGGTCTTTTGTGGCAGCTTGCGCCATCGCACAGTCCTTTGGCATTCAACTCATTGGATTCCACATGATTCCACTATATTCCACTAGGGTTCGGGAATGTTCGGGAACAGAACATCAGTGAACTTATTTGTCACGCTCCCAGGCTAGGGAATGATCTGTGTGGGAATGTTTGTTGATGTCTGTTGGAACTTCAGTTTGCCAACAATAGATTATCTTATATTGCATTTTTTTGGCATCCGAGGATGTACGCGGCAGACATTGTCCGAACTAGAAGAGTCAGAGTCCCAGCAACTTCACTTCACGCCCACCTTTTGCCCGCATGAATCGAACTTAGCTGATAGTAGCTCAATGCTTACTTGAGGTTAGCAAAACACTTGCCCCAAGATGCTGGATTCTCAGTGTGCAGGGACAGGGGTTGTCTGTCAAGCATTGAGAATCCGATCCCGCTCAGGTTTTGCATGTCTTCGAATTCCGGCACAGCTCCTGGTATGGTCAGTACCGTGAGGATGTGGTCAACCTCTTACGTCGCTGGGGCTTATGCATGGCATGGATCAACATCAAGAATTCAGATGGCTGGTGTGGGGACCTCGAAGATGGGTGGCCTAGCCTGGCCCGCACCTGCAACACTGCATACTTGCGGCTGTTCGGGACAAAGCAGAAAGCCATTGGCCGCTATGGAGAGGAAGTGGTCCGTGACACCATCCTGCCAATGGTGCAAGGCCCAGGTGCCCCAAAGGATTCCATTGTGATTTTTGCACAGGCTGATGTGCCAGCTCATGCAAAGGCAGATGCATCCTTCATGGTGGAATTGCTGGGCCATGGGGACAGCCAACCTGGAAGGAGTACGAAGTGGGAACGAGATGTGCTTGTTGCCACGCTGGGTCTCGGCATAGGTACCCAAGTCAGCGGGGTGGTTCAACGTATCACCCACCGAACTGTTTTCATCGACATAGGACGTTCCTGCCGGGCCTTTCTGGATGCAAACCATGCACGGAGAGCTGGTTTGCTGGATAGCTTGCGCATCGGAACTCATGTTGACAACTTGGAGGTCCAACATCTTGACTTCCAAGGTGAATGGGGCATTGTTGGCCTTTCATGCCACAAGGCGTCCATTAGTCTGGGAGCGGCGGAGGAGGAGCAGCATAAGCATGCTGAAGCTGAGGAGTCCAGCCACACGACTGCCACTTGAACAAAGATGAAAAAATGATCAGGCAGGCATTGAATTTGGATTGACTTCAACACAGTCACAATTATTGTCAGATTGTGTTGTTCTGTTGGGAAATGTTGGGAAGCTCATGCTGAAACGCGCTGTGGAGCAGGATTTGTGACAGTGTCATTAGTGTATATTAGTGTATCCATCTAAGATCATCTATGATCATCAATCTGACTGAGGTCAGAGTGGGACGATGGCCGCGGCAAACTACGGAGACCAGCTCTGAGGCCGATGCGCCGCCCGCCGCGCAAGCTGTGGCAGCGCTGGAAGCCCAGTGGCACCGAAAGCCACGGTGGACCCACCGCTGCTACGAAGGACTTGCAGAGATTGGCATCTTGGCAAGTTTCCACTGGGCCATGCCATGGCAGACCTGGAGGAATCCTGGCGGATCCTGGGTGTTCTGAAAATCTGTTTGGCTCGGCTGATATTGTCATGAGAAGATGGTAGTTTGGCAAACTGAGCCCTTGAAACATCTCGAAACGCTTGTGCCAATGTTATGATGTCTTGCGGTTCACAGCTGTGAGATCAGAGGCAAAATGTCTGGCAGCCGTCACGTGGAGCCGGTCGATCCGGAGCACGTGGAAGAGCAGCTCCGCGCCAAACGCGTGGCAGCCAAAGCTCGTCGTGACGAGCGGGTGGGCCGGTGGGCGCGAGCGCTTGTAGAGTGACTTGGCCATAGGATGCCATAGGTCAGGATGGTCAGGTCATGTCAGGTCACCGTTCTTTTTAAAACCTTTTATGCCCTGATATATTCATGTTCTGACGTTTTTGTTGCTCTTCGCTCTTTCAAGACTGCGACGGATGATGGTGGAAGGGACCTTCAAAGGGGGCAGAGACAAAGGCGACTTACTGTATCTGTATATATATATATACACATATATTATATGGTGCTTTGGCAATTTTGATATGTTTTGACTCCAGCCAGCACCTGGGCAGCTACAGCTTGCAGTGAGGAAAGCCATTACCAAGCCGCCCACCAAGCGGAGTCGCAGCGAGGGCCCAGTTTCTCGCACGCGGAGGGAGGAGGCGGTGTTCCGGGAAGAGCTGAAAAAAGATGAGGCTCAGAGCTGTCAACGCAGTGGGCAACGAGCTGTGGTCAGGGATCGCCTAGTACATGCATTGAACTGCTTGAGTTATGTCATGTTTGGCTCATCCGAAAATGACAAGAACTTTGTGGACATGTCGGGCTCAATTTCATATTATGATATTTAACAGTTATGCTGTGCTCCTTGCAGATCTCGAAGGTTCTTTCAATTTGAAACACACAACGGATTGGAACATTTAATCCGTATGTGCAGGCAGCAGCCCTTAGCCGCGCTGAGAAACGCAAGGGTGACAGGTACCCTGGCTGGACTGCCCTGATAGACATCGCTGGAAGGTGTTGGAAGATGTTATTGACGAACGTATATAACCTATATTAATATAAATATATAACTGTGTGTGTGTGTGCATGTAATTATTATGGTTCAAGTACACTCAGGCTATCGTTTTGTAGGTCGGTTGGAGTGTGATTTTTTGGCCTAAGGCACACCAGAGAAGAAAACTGGTCTCCGGATCTTTGGGCGCAAGCGCAAGTGCCTCCCGCCTTCCTGAGTGACACTGTGTGATCACGTTGTTGCATGTCACAAATCAACGAAATACTTTCAGAATCTTTCGGATAGTCATCCCTTTTGTGTGCACACAGATGTGCAACAGGCAACCTTATTAATGTAAAGACCGGATTAATAACCCACAAGGTCCAGTCAGGGAGTCAAAAAACGCAACCCCCGAAATAATTGTTTTTTTATTCATCCATGAACCAATGTTGCTGGAATTAGCTTGCAAATAAGCACCGATGGAGCGTCAATTCTATGGGAATTAGCTGCATAGTAGCATCCATGAGGTATCAAATTTGATAAACTCGGTTATGAATTAGCATCCATGAAGGGTTGAATGGCTTGAATTTGGAGGGAATTAGTTGGAGATGACCATCAATAAGGCATTAGTTTTAATGGAAACAGCTGCGTCGTAGCATCCACGAAGGGAACCATTTTTGATGAAATTAGCTGGACAGAGCCTCCATGAGGGGTTCGTATTGTTGAAATTCGCTTCGCATTAGCATTCATGGGGTATCATGGGGTATATATTTGTTTGTTTTTTTAATGACATCAGCGTGTGAATTAGCTGCATAGTAGCATCCATGAGGGGTCAAATTTGAGCTGTGAACTAGCATCCATGAAGGGTTGAACCGCTTAAATTTGGAGGGAATTAGCTGAGAATGACCATCGATAAGGCATCAATTTTAATGAAATCAGCTTGGGATTAGCGTGCAGAGGGCTCAATTTTTGTGAAATCAGCTTGGGATTATATAATTGGTTAGCATGCATACAGGGTCGCAAGGGATCAATTTTGATGAAATTAGCTGGGTAGTAGCCTCCACGACGGGTGCGCGTTGTTGAAATTAGCTACACATTAGCCTGGTATTCTGGAGTATCAGTTTGCTATGAAATCCGCTTGGGAAGTAGCTAATTACGTAGTAGCATCCATCATGGGTCAAATTTGATGGATAAAGCTGCGAATTACTATTTATCCATGAAGGGTGGAATGAAATCAGCGTGTCTTGGAATGAAAGAAGCCACCTCTTCCCAGCATGATGAGTCAACCTCAAAAAACCATTGAAACTGGTGTGTTTGGCGATAGTGCTGCTTGGGACCAATGAAAGCAAAGCTCTCGGAATGCAAGAAGTCACCTCTCCCAACACATTGTTATACCCGAAAAAAACCCTGGAAATTAGTGTGTTTGGCAATAGTCTGGCTTGGAGGAGAGCATGGGTTTCGCTAACTAGGGGGTTTTATTCATCCTGACTTGACATTAATCCTTATTAGAGAGAGGAAAATTGTGCCGTTCTGAGGCTGCCGGGTGAACCTGGTGATGGACCCATTGCATGCAGCGTAGATGAGCTCAGGCCTCAGAGCCCAAAATCAAAGGATCAACTAGTCAAACTAATCCCATAATATTAAGATTATTTAAGCAGCCCCCATAAACCATTGTTTTTTTTGGGGGGTGGGGATTTAAATAGGTTTGGGAAAACATAGCGTGGGGATGTTTCATATAATTATTAGGGGAATGGGATTTGCTGGAATATTGCTGGAATCAATGGCAATCAGGATGCAAATAGCTTCAGTCCATCGGAGTCCCACTTGCCCAAGGTTTCTCTTGATGCAAATTGAGTGTCGGGAGGCTAGGATGACGCAGTCACGTGCAGTTTTTGTACCTGCATTTGCTGCGCGCAGAGTTTCTTCAACGTGTTTCAGTGCTACAAATTGACGTAAATTGACACATGTCAAGGGCGTGGAGACGGGATACGATGCGAAGAATTCAGAGACATTTGGTTCTGACCCTTGTCCACAAGGCGCTGCCGGGAACCGGGAACGGTTCTTTCGATACATTGATGAGCCATCTGCAACCTATAGATACCTATAGAATTCTTAGAACATACAAGCTGAACTGAGATGCGTCAACATCGGCCCACCCACTGAGCGGTGTTGAAACCAGCAAGGCGGACTTACAAGATGAATGCGCCAAAGTTTTTATTTTTCTGTTTCAAGACCTTCTGGCACGGGGGAGGATTCTAGGCTACTTCAGAAGTCTCTGCTGCTCATATCTATCCATGGCCAGGGTGGAACACTGAGCCAGTCCTCAAAGTACAAGAGCGCGTAGTCGAGAAGAGGATGTGGAGGCCTGCGCTTTTTTGATGCCGAAAGCTTAAAAAGTGGTCAGAGCTGGGCACGGGAAAGTATTAAGATTCTGTATTAAGTATGACCTATGACAGTATACTTATCTATATATCATGTAGAAATTTAATGAAATTTACATGTATATAAATTATGTTAAAAACGGAAGTATATTGAAAGAAAACTTATTAGGGCGTAAAAATCTGCGTGTTGTCCCTTATTTGCAGGCCGACACTTCCTGACGACAAGGTGAGTCGTAGCTGGACTGCACTTGTGGCTAGCGGCTAGCTCTGTACGGCTTGGCTGTACAAAAGCAGCTGGGGAGCTGTACTGGCCCTTCACGGCTCACGACTGTCTCAAGAACAGATATAAACAGATACTTTAGTGTGATATAGTGTGATATAGAAGTGTCCTTCAAGAAAACAAGAACAAGCTAGATTTCCAGAACTTCAAATGAATCCAAATGATCAGCACATAAGAAAACAGTCCATTTTGAGCTTCCGATGAGTGTTAATTCACACACTGCAAGTGCATTTGGTTACCTAAATTCTTCTTTGCCCGCAATTCTGTAGCTGCTTGACTTTGACATGGCTAAGGCAATAAGATTCGTTGCTTGGATGCAAGCATTGAACCTAAGTTTCCAGCATGTTGGCATTGAAAGTGGGGAGACTTTTCTGATCTTTTCTTTGTCAATAGCAGCATCATGTGACTCTGTGACATCCCACTCCCTCGGAAAAGATGATAGGGAAGCAGAGTCGCCACATGGCCAAAGGTCCTGAAGCCACACTCTCACAGGCCATTGGCAGCATCTTGTTTGCATCTGCAGTGTGCCTTGGAAGCTGGGGCAAGTTTCTGAAAAGACAGGATCCATGAGGTCACAATAAACTCAATAAACAGTAGTTTTGCGTGTCTTTCGGACCCCGAGGCTACCCGATGCCAGCAGCAACTTGACTTAAGCTGGAAGAAAGCAGATGCCAACGTTTGTCGAAGCTTCGGCTGTGATGAACTTTCGGCATCTTTCGGCCATATGTTTCCACTGACGTGCCATGGTTTGCACATGCTTGCATCTCCAATCATCTCCAAAAACAGTTTCTTGATCCCATCGTGACACTGATGATAGAAGAAGCCCTGCTGACTGCTTGCTGTAGTGCCCTGCATGGTTTGCAGCTCCCATGGAAGGTCCCCATGGACGCAGACCAGTTGCCATCGCGCCAATCCAGCTATGAGCAAGCGGAGGACGTCCGGAAAGCGCCTACTGAAAGTCCAAGAGAACCCTCGATGGCTGGAGAAACTGAAGTCTCAGAGGAAAATTGGCAGGTCTGCGAGCCTTTTGGCTGAACCACTGATTGTTCATGGATTCTTCATGATTCTTTCAAATTCTTCCCGTGTTCGTAGGATGCACTCAGTGCTGCAAGACTACTCGTCCCTGCCATGTTTGAGGTCTGCCAAACGAGCCCTGGAAGAGTTCTGGGAGGTGAAGTGCCCGGGAATAGCTGTGCTTTGCCAAGAGATTGGAATGACATTGTCACAAATTGTGTTATGTGGCCGTGGCTGATAGGCCCGTGATGGCCCGTGTCAATCCGTGTCACCTGGCTGCAGGAAGAGATGGAAAAGAATTCGGACGTAAGTGAGGATCTGGCACAAGATGAGAGGCTTGAATGTCAGTAGACTGCTGAAGACCCCAAAGACAATGCCGATGCCTCTCATATTGCAACGTGTGCAGCAGTAGTCAGGTTTGACAAGCTCCCGGAGAGCTAGATAGAGAAAGAGATGGAGAGTTATGCAATGTCATGCAGTGTCATACAATTTCATACATACGTGAATGTTTTGATTTGACCCCTTTTGCAAGGGAAGCTGAGCGGGTTGCAACTGCAGAGCCTGCGGAGGCACAGATTGGCCGGCACGATCTTCTGCCATGGTTTTCAACAGTTTCAATACATTTCAATTATCCTCTCAATAGCCATCGACTTTCCGTGCACAAAGTCCTTCTTCAGAGCGTGCATTCTCGTGGCAAAGCAGGCAACTAAGAGATGGAGCTGGGTGCCGGACTCAGGAACAATATGGAACAATGTGATTCAACCAGGCTCAGCTGCAGCTTTGAAATCGCCTGACCAATGATGTGCAAGGTGCCACGCTTGCGTGGAGGTTCCTGGGCAGATGCTTCAGAGGCGGGATGTTGAGAGATAATGTGGAAAAGTAAGGACGTTGAATGGCGACGGGGAAAGAAAGAGAGAGAGAGAGAGAGAGAGAGAGAAAAGAGAAAAAGAGAAAAAGAGAAAAAGAGAAAAAGAGAAAGAGAGAAAGAGATAAAGAAAGAGAAAGAGAAAGGTAGTCTGAACGGTAGTCTGAACTGATGTGAATCAAATTTGAACAACACACAAACAGGCACGGATAATCATATGTAATTATACCATGTTATACCCATGTGATTTTGCAGCATGCTACTGCAACTGTTGGCCGCTGGACCGTTCGCAGGCATGTATGGATGACACGGTCCCCCACGCGGAGAGTGCTGATCCCGGTGAGGCAGCCGAGGCTGACCATTCCGACGGAGAAGTCGTGATCAACACAGGGCCTTCAGAGGTTGCAACGCTTCCACACACAACGGAGGAGGTCAATGTCGATGGATCGAAAGATCCGGAGCCAGAGATAGGAGAGGCCAAAGAAGAGGAGAACAGGAGCCCACCTGATACATGTGATAATTGCATTAGTTAATTACTTGGGACATCTTGGGACAGAGGATACAAACATGACACTTGTGAACATAACTGCCTTTGAACAACCTTGTAGTGGCAACGGCCAAGAGGGAGATACTATGAAATGTTGCTTGGAGTAAGGGTAAATTAGAAATGCATGGACATGAAAAGTATCCCACTGATTTAAGCAAGGGAGCTCAGCAAGAATTTTCAAGGCATTTAGGGTGCTGGGAACCAACCTTGAAAGGAATCAAGAAGATCAGACTGAAGAAAAAGAGAAGGACTTTGGGAGAACGGGAGTAGCTTCGAACCTGACACCAGTGCCTGCGACGGACAGTAGCTAGCGTCAAGAGTTACTCAGAGTATCTCATGGATCAGGGCGTTATCATTGTCACAAGTGTTACAAGTAGTCCTTGAGAACCCTCGACTCGAAATCATTCGAAATCTATAGTCGGCAAGGCTGCGAAGAAGTTCGGATTGGCCACGTCCAAATTTTAGCGCTCTTACCCACGGCTGATCACCGCTGGCATCTCGAGAGGACGATGTCGTTGAAGAAGCGCCCTCGCGCAAACGACGGGCATGGATAGGTGGGGATCATGGAAGCAAGTCACCCGCACAGTTGTATCAGAATTATCAGAAATAAATGCTTTTGCATGCTTTTGCCCTACGGAACATGCTCGAAAGTTATTCTTTCCGGAGGTGCTTGGGCTCAGACACAAGTATAGGTCTACAAAATGCCAATGATGGCAGTTCTCGGTTGTAGCCACCATAGATATGAAGAAAGTTGAAGAAAAAACATGAAAAAACGACCTTGCCCTCTAGAGAAATTTCAATGTGAGCCAACGATTGCCAGGAAGAGGCAGCCATTCGGTGTCTTCGGTCCAGTCTATTGAGAAGAAGGAACCTGATCAAAACACATCCGTGAGTTTAACTGATAAGCACAATAGACAATAGATTCCATTGAGTTTCCAATTTCTGACTTCGAAACAACTGAGATAGGCTTGTCAGAAGGCTTCTTCACCGTTCTTTCTTGCAGTGATGATGACCAATTTTCAGTGCAGGTTTGGTCGATTTCTCGCATGGCATTCAAAGATTCAAAGCCTTTTTGGGAGGAAATCTGCCGACACGTATATAGCCCTGCCTGCTTCAAGATGTAAGAAAAGTCCGTTCCCTTTGGGCAAAATACTGTGCACAGAGATTAATTTAGGGCGATTGAACCCTTGGATCCTTGGTGCCTGTCAGCCGCATTGTCAGGAGATGGCTGACAGCCGTGATCTGAGTTTGCATATTGGTTTCTGGTGATTTTTGATGTTAGAATATGAATATGTTCGAATCAAATCGGGTATAAATTCTGTGCCTACCATATCTTATCATTTCTCAATTCACTTCGGACTCATGCAATGCTGCGGTAGATGTCGCCCAGGTAGCGAAGATGAGATCGTCCTTGCGGAGCAGTTGGTGGCAGAAGCCGGTGATGAGGTGTGACCAATGATGTTCTTGGAATATGGATGATATTACATATGGAGGTTTCCTGAAGGGGTACCCCCAAATCATCCATTTATATAATGGATTTTCCCTTCATTTTGGGAGTCCACCATTTATGGAACCCTCCATATAGCATGATGTAGCTATCCTTGGACATCCTTGGACATAGATGGAATGCTTTGGCATCTCACCCAGATCCGTGTGAGCCATGGGAGGTGCAGGAGGCATCAGAGACAGAAGGGACAAGACACACTGCTCGTTGCTCTCGATGCGGAATGGCTTATTCCTTGTATCTTGACGGCACCGTGCGAAAGAGATCTTGCCTAGGCTGGCAGCCTAATGCGTTGAAGTACCTGAAGATCTTGCGCATGGCATTAAGTATCTGTGAGTTTATTACCGTAGCTGTTTGAGGTGACAATAAGAAGTTGGACCCGAAACTTCAAGTCATCCACAGTCTAGCAGCGATTCCCACCGATAAACCTACCCTCAGCATGCCTGTGCAGTAACATGTCATATTTCACACATTATCAAACCCCTTGACCAAAAGAGTATCGAGCTTGACACAGCAAACCAAGCAAAGTGATGCTTCAGAGCTAGGTTTGGGCTGATATGGCATGATATAGCCAGTCATTCAGGCCGTTGTCGCAAGTTCAATGAGGTGTGGGGTGATCTAGGATCCGTGAGACTGATGGCCAGGGGCTAGTGGCCATGGCGGCTGTCCAGGGCTTCGAACATCGAAAGCAGACTTTTTTGGCCAAATGCGACAAGTCAAGCGCAGGTGAAATTGACGAGAAGGCTCGCGAGATCTGTGCGGAGATCAATGCCAGACCTGCCTTTTTTACCACCTCCTCTTGCGCCGGCAGAGCCTTCATTTGGCGCGGGGATGGAGTGAAGAGCACCGAATGTTTCAGCCGGTGGCGGGTCACACATGACCTAGTGGAAGATGGGGTGGCATACTTTGACCTTGGAAGTTTGGACAATGTTGGTGTGCCAGACATCCGAGACCCAGGACATGAGCAGCCAATATGGAAAGAAATGCTTGGACATTTGGCCACATTATGTACCTGGTGTCAGTCAACTAGACCAGCTTGGCAGGGTCGAAAGCATCAGCGCCAAGAGCGCATAGAAGTTGCTGAGAAACACCTGCTTGAGAGCCATTCGGCAACATTATTAGTGTTTTTGGGAACAAGCGTTTTTTTGTTGAGTAGTATGATTTGTTGAATTTCATTCTGATATGTTGGGCCTTTGTCCGGTTACTTGGGTTGATGCTATTCGGTTCCAACATAGTATGAGGGTTTTTGTCACAGGCAACGGCGTTTACTGGCTTCGTTTCGAGCCATTCATTCTTCACGTTTGCTGTCGCGACCTGGTTGCAGCTGCTGCCTTGATGGCAGCAGCTCGCAGTGTGTTCAAAAATGTGGGTCTCCAGGGTCTTGACAGCTCCAAACTGATTGTGGCCATTTGGGGTGATGAGGGTTTAGATATGCCATTGTCTGGTCCAGAGGGTGTGCCTTTGTTTAAGAGTGACCATGGCTGGCTGAAAAGTTTGGTGAACAGTCGGCACCAACGAAATTGGGCAAAGATTGATCGCTTCACAACGGCCATTCGGCAAATGGAAGAGCCTGTCCCCTCCGCAGAACCCAATGGTGACTTGGAAGACAAGGAACTGAGACATTTCGACGTGGTGGGTGACATTGCCGTCGTGAACGTGAAACCCAAAGAAGAGTTGGCATTGGTTGGGAACGCTATTCTGAAGCAGGACTTTCATCATCGGCTTGCTTTTTAAACAGATATCTTTTAATAACTACCCTTCGGCAATTTGTCGTCGCAATTGACAATCACCACTTGATAGATGATTATTGCTATTCGCATTGAAAGTTTGGATTTTCCATTGTGATGTTAAATCACCGGAGGGTATCTTTTGTTCATGTGGACAACTTTTCCATGATTTTGGTATGCACCGACGAGATCGACCAAACAATCTGCACTCGCACCCTCGCACCGTTTGTAAAACTTGTGATGTGAAATAATTGAATTGGATAGGGATATGCAAGTTTGTAAAACTTATCAATATAATATGACATATTTATACATAATTTAGTAAATGATGAAGGGATAATATGCATTTCAAAATGCAATTTCGCTCAGGACACTAGAAGGTCTTGTGGTTGCAAGATACTGTACGTAGATTAAGACCTGGTACTTTCATTTTTTCATATTTTTTCAGGTTTTTGGGGGCGCAGGACCGTCGTGTCAAAGTTGTAGCCATCAAAATTGCTCCGTTGGCATCAGAACTTCGTGCTCCTGCGGAGCTACTGCAAGCCATTGCAGGAAGACCACGATCACCTTTGATGTTTCTTGGTGAAAAGTGTTACCCTCTGGTAAACTAACAGTTTGCTATGGAAAATCACCATGCTATTAATGGGAAAATCCACTATAAATCACCATTTTCAATAGCTATGTTAAATTACCAGAGGGTATATGACTATGACTTTTCAACACTTTTCACTGTGTGGCTCGTTAGGACGTTTTAGATCGTTGGAGGGACGTTGGAGGGACTTATGCCATTTGTTTGCAGCTGTGCTACCTCATTGTTGCATCCTCATTCCCGTTCCTTGATGTTCCTTGCAATGAGGACAACACATATTGAGTTTGGCGTTCGAATGATTATCGACCTGGATGCTTGCTTCTTTTCTCCACGCTTGGCAGGGGAGCGTCAGCGGCTGTGCCAACAGGTGCAACCAGGAGAGCGGATCTTGGTGGCTTTCACTGGCTGTGGCCCTGAAGTGTTACAAATCCTCAGTCACACGGAAGCTGTGCAGATTGCCGCCGTGGAGCTGAATAGTGCAGCTGTCAGGTGCCTCCAGAGGAGTCTTCAGATCAAGGAAGGCCAAAAGATTTGTCCAGTGGAGGTGTTTGAGGGCGACATTCGTCAAGTGGCGAAAGGTTTTCCACCTGGCCATTTCCATCGGATTTTGGCCCCACGGCCCAAAAATCCAGGGGATGGCGACCTGGAGCAGGGAGATGGTGGAGCTGAATTCCTCCAAAGTCTTCTACCGTTGTTGGCGGAGTCTGGAGTATGCCACTGGTACGATTTTGCGGCAGATTGGGAGCTTCCAAGCTGTGAACGGACGTGCAAGGTTTTGCAAGCTGAATGTTCTGCTCTTGGGTTGAACTGCAACATCCTACGTGTTGCTGCAGCCAATCGCAGGACGATTGCTGAGCGCCAGTACAGGGTTGTTGCTGATTTCCAGGTCTCCAAAAACATCCATGGCTGAAACTAGCTTGAGACATGTTTAGTGTCACGCAGCACATGCGTTTGGCATGATTTTCAGGCAGTGACGCACATCGCAAGAGGAAAAAGATACGCCCTTCTGCATATCTCCTCACAGCAGCACCTTTTCGAGCCCACACTTGTGCGTAATTCTGCTGCTATTCCATGCCAGCTATGCGCCGCTTGCATTGCTGCATCTGAGGAATGTGGACATGAGCCGCCAGCCTAGAGCAGACAGTTGAATTGAGCTCATAGGCCTCCAGATTGCAAACGCACACAGACTACAGGCTCGGAGTGGACAGGGGCCTTCCTTTTTGAATGTGCATGGTATAGTATCTCGATAGGATATGATAGAATAATGCGAACAAGCAAACCAGCATGGTAATGTTTGGGACAGATCATGGCAGATCACATGTTGGTGTGATGCTTCCAGCCCGACGTCCTCCTGCCACGTGATCCACATGGCTTTGGCTGGCAGAGACGAAACCAGTCTAAGCATAGATGATCATAGATGCATGCACACAGAAGGAGCAACTGCGTCCAGTAGAATTGGTTCATGTTTCATGATTCTTCAGAATCCTTCATGCTTTCTTTACTTTGCAAAACTTTTGTGGCCTTGAAAAAGTGCATGCAGGGCCATGCTATCTTATGTTGCGAGCTGGAGGGATGGATGACTCATTGCACAGAAGCCTAGGGAATCAACAAGAGCAGAGTATAGCCAGAATAGTATATATAGCCAGTATAGCTATATAGCTAAATACTAAGTAATTCTACCGGACACCATTTGCCAATTTGCTATCCATGTCCAGCATGGCGTTGTGAGGGTTTGGGATGGCAGCCTCCCCAGCTACAGTTGCGAGGGCATTTGCCGATTGCTTGAAGGCTTTGGAGTCAGCTGTTTCTGGAGCAGAGGGCGGTTCTATCACAAATGCTCGCAAGTTGGAGGCTTTGTCACAGTTGGAGGATCTGCTCCCAAATCTGGCGAAAGCCGACATTGCAGAGCATCGTGGGCGATTTGAGGATTTATGCGAGAAGCTGTTGACACAGAATGCCACAGATCCATTGCGCCGTTTGGTGGTCTCAGTCTTGACCACCACCTTCAGGTTGAGCGACACATCTGCTTTGCCCAACTTTGCCAGCCGTCTCCTGCAACTGATGGGAGATAGCAAAAAAGGAGGGGACAAAGTCAATGACACCAAGGTAGCAGCGCTTGATGTTCTGGGGCAGCTAGTTGTTCATCATGGGCAATCGTTAGAGCCATTCTGCAATGACATTTTGGCTGTGATTGCCAAGCACATCAAGATGAATGAGGCAAGTGCCCGTTGCTCTGCATTGGAGAACCTTTGCCGGATCATGACAGCCGCTGGAGTAAGACAAGTAGGCACCGCCAGCAATATTTGGAAGATGCTACAGAAGGTTATGGCGGACAAGGCTCTCACAGTTCGCACGGTTGCTGCTCATGCCTTATCTGTGCTTGCAAGTGCATGTCCAGCATGTGCTGCAGCCAATGGCGAGGCAATGGCATTGGCTTGCTTGAAGGCTTTGGCGACTGAAGATCCACCGGGCCAGCTGACTTCCAGTTGCTCTGAAAGCCGCTTTGCTTTCACGAAGGCACTGGCGAGAGTGCTGGCAGCAATGGCATTGCCCATACCTGCTGCAGATCGATCCAAGAAGAAACCAGTGACAGACTTTGCATCTGGAGTGGACTTCCTGGAGCAAGCTATCTCCAAGGGCCCAACCACTGGTCCTGCCTTCTCCATGTTTCGTTCCTCCGTTTGCATGGCCATCGTTCTGCTGGCTGAGGCGCAGGGTGTGGGTGATGCGGCCAGTTTGGCGCTGGTCGTTCGAGCTTCCCTCAATGCCTTGGAGCTGCCATCCAAAAGTTCCAAGCATCCAGCTGATGAGGACCACCTGATGCAGGTGCCACTCTTGTGCTCTTGTGGAAATATGCGCAAATTAAAATAAATAAAGCACTCGAAATCGGAAAGTAGACTTGATTCCTCTACTCTTGTGCCAGCTTGTGCCCCAAGATGTCCCAAAGATACTGTATCTTTTAGATTTTAGATTCTTGCAGTTACTGTATAGTCTGTATAGTCATATGTATGCAGAAAGCGAAAAGGGATGAGAAGGGAAGGTGGAGCCCTTCATCACTTTTGATCGCTGTGCAGGTGACGAGACAGATACAGCTTGCCTTACAAAGACTCCTGCGACTGGCACAAATGGAGGGGTGCTTGAACGACTTCGTGGAGCAGGGTCTTCTTCCAGTGGTATCAGCCCAGTTTCATGAGACCTCTCGCAGCACTGACATGCGCATGCTGGTGGTTTTGGAGACTCTCTGTGGGGCCTGTGTGGCATCCGGCGAAACTTTTCGAAGAATAGAGACAAAGGTCACAAAACCTTTGCTTCACATTGTTGGAAACTACCCCAACGCGACAGTGCAACTACACGCAGCTTACTGCCTTCGTTGCATCGGGCATGGTTCACCTCCACAGCTCTTCCAGCTGCTGAGTGTCTTGCTGAACCTGTCTACAGTTCAGAATGCAGAGGTGCTGGGCACTCCACTGCGAAGAAAAGATGCCAATGGTCAGATGGTGGCAGGTGACACGGCTGTAGCAGCAGCGGCTGCACATGCAGATCTGCAGCCCTTGGTCCGTGGACTTTTTGGATACTGTGCTGCACTCGCCGCAATGAGCAGCGAGCTGTATAGCAGTGAGCTGGGTGTGCCTCACGATGTGACCTCTGCAGTCCTTGGAACATCAGGGGCCCTGCTACAAGCGCATCCCAGCTGTGCCATTTCGGCACAGCGGCGCTGTTGTGCCTTTCTGTTACTGGAAGGTTTGATGTGCTTGGGCTCTGACTGGGTGGGTCAACGTTTGACAACATTGTTTGCACTCTGGAAGACCGCTTTGGGCAAGAAACCAGTCGACCGCGCAAAGGTCGTGTACCAGGAGCATGTAGCATCAAGCTCATCCAAAAGCAGCTCCTCAGACGCAGACAACAGTGCCAATGTTTGCAGGGATGAGCTCTTGTCTCTACTTTTTGCGTTGCGATCTTTGTATGCCTTCACCTGGCACTCAAAAGATACGCTTCTCACAACCCTCCCGCATCTTCACAAGATCCTGGTGGTTTTCTTGACAAACATTTCGCAATTGGTGGTTGGTTTGCCGCACCCGACCTCAACGAGCTTCCGAGCCAAATATCGTCAGGAAGCAAGTCAGCCAGGTGCTATGCGACCAATCATTACCATGGCTGGACAGTGTGGCATCCCTGAAATTCTTTTGATGATCCGAGCTACGATGTACCGAACTTTCGCTGCCATGCAGCCTTCGTTGTACTCCTCCCGCTTTGTGCCTCTATTGAACATGCTGGCGGACGATGTCACCAGGGTCTTGCCGCAGGACTTTCCAGTCACCGAGATCATCACAGAGCTGGCAGGGCGAACCATGGACAGCGTGTTGGACCTGGTGGACAGCCATCTGGAAACGAGTCGAGACTGTCCCTCCACAGCCCGCTTGGCAGTGAAGAAGTTGCTGTCTTGTGGAGCCCAAGGGATCCAAGGGCAAGATGCTGCACCCTTTGCTGAAGACCTAGGATCTGACGCTGGAGCTGCATGTATCTTTAACATCCTAAACCGGGAGAGTCCTGGGGGTACGGATTGCATGCTGATTCCATGGGACGCATGGGTGGACTCCACACAGCCCTTGGCTGGACAGTGTGTGTCTGCTGAATGGGATTGGAGGTGCAGTTCTGTGAAGCTGCTGTCGATGATTATCAATGCACCGGAGGTGGGCGAGGCCCCTCGGGCTGTGGTGCTTCAGCACCTGCTGAAGAAGAAAGAAACCTCCGATGAAGCCAATCAGTCAACAGAGAGATATTCCATGGCAGCTGTTGCAGTTCTGGCATACTTGCGTGAGCATGCCCATCTTCGGGGCCTGCGTGTTGCACCTCCACAACAAGCCATTGAGCAAGCCTTGGACCTGTCACTGGCAGGACTCAAGGAGAGCAATCCAATCCTACGCCGACTTCACGCAGAGATCCTGGCAATGCTCTTTTTCTGTCACCACCAGCTCCTGAGCTGAAGGAGCATTTTTCTTGACTTTCTTAGTATTGTTTGGTAATGTCAGGGTTTGCATGCATTTGGGTCTCTAGCATGCACGATAATGATGAAATATATGAATCATTTTTAGTATATTTGTGATAATGTGTGCCCGTGTTTCTATTCACTGACATCTATTTATTGTAAATTATTTTTTATGAACAACTTAACGTGTTCATACCAATCCTGGCAACAGATCTGTCGTTGGGCTGTTCATCTGAGGCTCCCAGACTCCCCTGTAGTACCCAAGATCTTGCAGCACCTAGCAGCAGACAGCCCGCAGAGCTCTGACCCGAATCTGGGTGTTACCGATGTTACCTCCAGAGATTTTTTTTTGAATCTGTAATTTGGTTAGATTCACTATCAATTCCATTTGGATACTTTGCCATGGTGATTGAGCTTCGATTGCATGTTCAGTTTCCGTAAAGCCAGGAAAGATGTGAAGACCGAAGAAAAGCTGAAGGAACGATCCGCCGTAGCCTTGCTGTATGGCAGCATTTTGAGAGCCTTCGCTTGGGGCTGGAGCATGCTTCCACCAGGACAATCCTTTTCCCTGCAATTTCGTTCCAACTGCCGCAGAGGTGATTTTTCTATATTTATCTGAATCCAAAATGGCTTGGTGAGTTGGCGAGATGTTGAAAGTCATGCCATGGTGCTTAACATGGTTTAACAACCATTAACGATGCTAAACTGTTTAACCCTGAGCAGGAGGTCGAGGTTTCCACTGCCCTTACATCATGAACATTGTGCCCATCCTGTTGAAGCTGGCCAAGGAGACAGCTCAGCCTGTTCGTCTTTGGATGCTGTATTCTCTGTACATCAGCATGGAGGCTGCTGGTACAGCTTTCGCTCCTTTCATGAAAGATGCATTGCGCTTGGCTACAGCTCACCTTCTGGCTGACTTCTTCGAAGCACCCTTGGTGCTGTGGGTGGTTTCAGAGCTAACCCATGCAGCAGCCATTATCCTCCACAAGAATGACACTGCCGAGTGCGAAGGGCGCGAGGATCATTTGTTGTCGGGAATTTGGAAAGTCATTCAACAGATTCAGCACGTGCAACATGGAGGCAATGCATTTGCAACGGTCCGGGCAGAGGCAGTTTGCCTCAACACTGCTCCATACCTTAGCAGGTTGATCCCAGCTGACAACTTGCTGAAACTGGCAGCGAAGAAGCTTTGTGGAGATGAGAGCGGCTCGCAGGTTTGCGCTGTCCGGACCTTTGCCTCGCAGTGTCTCTGTCAGCTTGCAAACTCAGGTGCTGACCTGTGGCCTGGATTTGCCCAAGATGTTTTTTGTTTATTTTCCCATTGCTTAATCCACCATATCCACCGTTCGGTGAACCGTTCCTGGGGCTGTTTATGGCTGTTTGATGCTGTTTGTTAATTTTGCTATTGTGGGACATTGTGGGACCCGCAGCACATCCAAGGCTGGGTCTGTTCCCAGATAGGACTCAACTGTTCCAGCTCTTAGACGCCTCCAAGGGCGCCGAGGCCGAAGCCTTGCGGGACTTGATCCTGGCAATGCTTCGGGGCAATGGCCTAGCACAGCTTCCAACATGGCTCCAGGCCTTGCGGCAGGTGGTCCTGGCTTTGTCCAAAAACAGCAAGGAAGAGCTAACGAATTTGAACCGAAAGGGGAGTGAAGATCGCATGGCTGATGAAGTTGATGATGAAGCATCATTCGCAGATCCCAAACAAGACCTCAATACCAAGCAGAAATTCTCGAGTTGCACAGCTACCAAGGTATTTGCAGTTTCCTGTGTGCAGTTGTTGCTGGAGCAAGTGCCAGCCAAAGACTCGGTGCATTTCCAACCAGATGTTAGCAGCCCCAGTTCTGAACTGCCCATGGAGAAAAGGTTCATCACCCATTTGGACCTTCTGGTGGGCATTGCAGTGAATGCTGCCAGCTCAGATGAGGTGTCCCTATCTGCTGCAGGACTTCGCCTTATGCTGTTGGTGGTGGGCAGATTCCAACACACCAAAGATGTACAGGGCCAGGTTGAAGGAGTGGACTGCCCCCTGTTGCTGGTGCAGTTTGAAGCGCAGATGACCACTTGCATCCGGCACAATCTGCGTGCTTCAGCCAACCCTTCCGTGGTGCGATTGGCTTTAGAACTCCTCCGTGATGTTATAGCAGTCCGAGCTTGTACCTCGACTCACCGGTTGATTGCCCTCCTCATGCAGCCACTGTCAAGTCAGACATTTGAACCAGACCCGCTTTTTTCAGAGGCTGCGTCGACTGGCTGCTTTCTTTTCCGTCTTCGCTGTGCTTGTGCAGTGCTCGACTCTGGGCAATCACAAGAACAAGCAGCTGTTGCAGCTTACTCCAAACATCTGAGCAGATGGATTGAAAATGCCTTGCGTGACAGTGCTGTGCTACTAGCAGGACTTCCCCTCCAGAGTGTCAAGAGCTACCAGCCCACGTGTTTCAGTTTTGCTGACTACAAGGCCATTCAACCCTTGTTTCGAGAGGCAGTGCCATCTTTGCTTCGTGGTATTTGTGTCCTTGGCGCAGAGGAGCCAATTGCCAAGAAGTCATCACCCACCGCCTTGCAGCCCAAATCGTCCCCTTCGGCACTCAGCAAAGACTTGGTGTCACTTTCTCTGGGTGTTGTGATGACGCTGCTGGCTGATGCATCAATAGATGATGTCCTGGTCTTTCTTTCCACAATTCGCCACATGTTGATTCTTTCAGCCCAGAGCTCAGAAGACGATGGCGCCGTTGTGAGCCTTGGCACCTTTATGGATGTCCTTGGCTGTGTTTGGAGGGAAGTGTACTGCAAGAGGAGATGCAAAGCCTTGATGAATCTCATGGAGCTGTTCCATGGAATTTCAGGTGTTCTGTGGAAGGCGAAAGTCAGCCAACAAAAGTCCGAAGCCTTGGAGCTTCCATGGTTGGAGGGCTTGTGCAGCGAAGGCGAAAGCAGCCGCACAGTTCTGGGCACCTATGCGTTTCACATTGTTGCAGCGACCATGAACAGGGCAGATGTCTCCGAAAGCCATTTGACAATGGCTTTGGAGGTCTTCCAGTGGTGGCTGCAAGATGCTTTGTCCCAGACACTCTCAGATTCGGAGGCTGAATCCAGAGAAGACGAAGAGCTAAACAAATTGATGGATCAAGCTTTGGCTGAAGATAATGAAGATGAATGTGTAGCCCCCGCAGGAGAGACCTGTCCATGGTTTTGGCTTCTCTTGAAGCCCCTACCTGAAACATTGGTCCAAAGTCATCCTGCTGTGACTCTGAAGCACTGGAAGCAGATTTGTACCCTGTTGTCTTCTCCAGCAGCGACCACAGCATCAGCGCTGTGCAAGCAACTGCTCCGCCTGGTTCTGATCTCCAATACCCTGTGTGCTTCGGTGATTCAAAAGTTGGGTGCCCCATTGGTCACAGACGCATCTGAGCGCCAACTGGTCTATTCCTTTGCAACGTTGGTCCCTGCCGTCACTGCGATGGCCGCTGTCTTGCAGGCTGCTCATGAGGGATCCACACAGGAGCAAACTGCCGAGGGTGCCGAACAGGCGAGTGCCACAGCGCAAAAGTGCTTGGACCATTTGAAGGAGCTGTTTGACATGGCCTGGGCACATCCCAGTGTGAAGGTGGTGCAAGCAGCTGTTTCCTCCGCGCAGAATTTGTTGCAAAATCCTGCTTGCTTAGACCTCTGCAGAGTCATTGTGCCTGGCCTTGTAGATGCCATTGCAACGGAACCTCCAAAGATAGCGCTACCGGCAATGGAACATGCCTGGGGCATCTTCCCCACTCTGCTGGCAGCGCAGTCGCAGACTGGAGATGCGAAGCTGGTCAAGAGTAGCACGCAGCTTTTGCTCCAGTTGGTATCTCAGCCGAGCTAAAATCTGCCGAATTCTGCCGATATGGATCGGAAGATTTGTTTGTTCAGTTTGTTTGGGACCCCTGCACCCCTTTTACACATAATTTTGTTTGTTTCAGACGAGGATGTTCATGAGTTGTTCAACCTGCCGACGTCACCACTCAGGTATGCACTGTGGCGGAGTTTGCAAAGCCCACTGGAGCTGGCCAGACAGCAATGGCAAACTGCCTCATGCAGGCGGCGCAAATTGAGCCAAGCCTCAAGGCGGAGATTGTCAACATGCCCGCTGAAAGTCAGCGAACAGTGCAGGAGCTCCTGCGGGCACATGTCAACGCTCGAGTGGACAGCTCAGCAGCTGGAAACATTCCAAGAGTGCCCCTGGCACACAAAAAGATCGAGTTGAAATTGAAATTCTGATTGCTTTTCAAGGTGAGCACAGGTCGAAGACGGAAACCCGTCGAGGATAGACTATACGTGCCTGTGTTAAAAGACGCGTATGTTGCATCATATCACATTGTCATATTTCGTCTTCAGGGTGCATCAGGGTGCGTTGCCGTGTTTCGATAGGTCGACGGCATGAACCCGCCGTGAAAAGTCAACGGTGTGCCATGGTGGCCGCTGAGGCGAGATTGGCGACAGCTTTTCTTGTCAGGACTTGGGCAGAAGCTGCGACATTGACGAGGCCACGTTCTGTGTGTGGCAATGCATTCACTGCAACAGCTGGATCTCTATGGTTCTCACTTGATTCTTTTCATGTAAGATTTGTGCATGCGATTGTATGCATTCCATTTTGTTGGTAGCTGTTGCCTCTAAAGACATTCAGATCATTCAGTTCGGAGTACGGGCAGAATCAGGAGTCCGAGGACGAAGATCGCGCAGATTTTGAAAATCGATTGGAACGAGTGGCAGAAGATGGCACGGAGGAGGTGCCATCTGACCAGCTGTGGTTACTGTGGTTGGAGGTGTCAAGGTTTTTGGAGGTGATTTGGAGGTGATTTAGCTTCCGTCTCTTGGGCATCTTGGGCCTTCATATGGTGGGCCTCTCTGGACTCCAGTGCTTTTGATGTGAAGCACCAGATCTTTCTCCTTGCTGGAGGATGTGTTTGTTGCCGTGTGCGACGAATGCGGTGCCAGGGCCTCAATCAAGCTGCTATGACTACTAGGTATTACTAGGTGACATTATGTGACTATGTGTATGACTAGCAGCTTCTGGATTATGGCTGCTTTGAGGCCACCCATGTCACCCACATTGACTTCATGGGCTTGGGATTGAACTTCAACTGCAGCATGATGGGTGGAAGGCCGGTTGAGAGGATGAGAGATGTTGACATATTTGTCACCAACAAGGGTTTTCCAAAAGGTTTGCTGCAGCATGGCCAGGTGTGAAGGAGCAGAAGCTGAAGGAGAAAAGAAAGACACGAGCGGGTCATCTATACCTGTGGCGCCTTCCAGTCTTGTCCTCACTGTCCTGACCACTTGAAGACCACTTGAACTGGCTGTGGGGTGCATCTTTAAACCATCTTAAACCCTAGCCATCTGTAGAGGTTGCTGAGGTTGATGCCGATTCCAAGGATCCCAGCTTCACCAACTCTCTGTGGACGAAAAGCGGGACCTGTTTGAAAGGCCGGGACAACTTTTCGAAACATGGCAACAGACTATAGAAAAAATTGGAGCTGTTGATGCTCAAGATATCTGTCTATCTCTAGATACTCCGGATAGTTGTTAGTTTGAAAACACTGTATGTTTTGAGAACAACCGTTTGGCAATGCAAGTATTTGCTCTGAATCTTTGTTATTTCTCGCAGCCTGGCTACTATTTGCCTCCGGGTATTTAGGGTTTGTTTTGATCTCCCAGATCTTTGGTAGGTCATGTGATTTCCGTAATTAATAAATATAAATATATCGTATATATCTTACACTGTATAGTATATATATATATATATATATAGACATATATATGCAATACATGTATATGGGTGTGTGTGTGTGCGTGAGTGCATTTGATTTATTTGATTTGTCGGTACTGGTGATAGGTATGCAATGCAAAGACAAGAAGAGAGAGTCTCCAAGCCCCTTGGATGGTTCCTCCGAAATGCCCTTGCTATATACCTTATGCATCTCATGCTTTGTGCTTCTCCTAAAGCGCTTCCAACTTGTTGCATGCTGAAAGTCCTCAAAAGAACAGCAGTGCAAATCAAAAATAACAGCTGAGAGGCTGCGAGAATCTGAGAGATGAGTTCAAATCCCTGTTTCCTGTGAAATCAAGACCCGAGTCTGAAATGTGCTTACGATCAACCAGGAAAATCAGATAGAAGCAGGGTACAGCACTCTTTCAGATCCTTTCTGCGGCTCAGGAAGCACATTCACAAGAGCATCCAACAGTTAGCACCACGCAAAGGACAGCAGGAACGATATCGTGATAATAATGCCAAGTTCTTAGCAGAAGTTGTTTGGGCGGATGCTGTTTCAGCTGAGATGCTTAAGGGGAGCAGAGCGGTGCTCAGCATATTTGAGCATCCAAGGTGGTGACACGAAAAGGCGAGCGTTTCATCAAGGCCCTTACAGTGCCACGGATAGTTTCCGCTTCTACTTCCTGATATGATAGTACTGGAGTCGTAGGTTGTAGGTTCGTGATGGTTTGGGGGCATATTTCTGGCTCATATGTTTGCTCTCAGCATCTCAGATTTTCTTGGCAGTCAACAGGTAGATGTCTCACTGGATCCTGGTCCTGGCTGCGAAATTGGTGGCATCATCGGATGGCGCACAAAGCAGGGCCGTCGTGGATTAGGCGGGCCCCGTTTGTGGAATGACATGGGAGAAACGAAATGCACCGACGAGTGTATCAAGTCATATCAGGTCATAGAATCATGGAGTACGCAGCAGCATATGGGCATTTGTTGATTTCTTGTCACTATTGCTTTCATATATTATTACAATATTATTACATATTATTACGCATATCATATCGCGCAATTACTGATCTTTTTGTTGACAGCTTGCTTCATTCGCAATTCTGATGCAGCTGTGCATTGCAGGTCTGGACAAAGGAGTGTCAGTTTGTCAAAAGCCAGATCAGCTGGGTCCTGGGTATAAAATCCTCTAGGCATGTCTACCCTGTTGCCCGACTAGGCATCAAGAAGATGACAAAAGAAGAAGCTGACAAGGTCTGCATTAGCAACAAGAACAGGAGCCACACGAAGCTTAGAAGCACTCAGGGGTTTATTGATGTACCTTTGCTGCTGGTCGGAAAGGTGTGAAGCAAGAGATGGGTTGCAGCTGAGGACGAAAGCGGTTAGTGCTGGTGAAAAGAAGGTCATCTTTGAAAACAAGCTGGGACCCCAGAATCTGGGTTATGGATACTCTTAAATGTGAGGCCACAGTTGCATGATGCGGAAATATGTTAAAAGAGTCGGTGGCCTCAATCTGAAGAATTTGTGACAGGCCTGGAGGCTCCGTGGAAGCATGTCTAAGCCTGCAACATACATGTATTTAGAATGCATTCATACTGATCGATCCTCTTAGATTTCGGGAATATATATATATATATATTACTATAATACTGAAATATATAGATATTCGTATAGAAATGGTGATCGTGATGCAATGATTTTGGATAGCCTGTTCCTATTTTCATGGGATTGTGATAGTTGAATGATGTAGAATGTAAGAATTACATCTACATAATATAATGATGTAAGATTTGTCCGCATGGAGAGCGCGGACAATGATGTATCATTAGATGATATTAGAAATATATAGATGTATAATGGATGTTTAATAATGGTATCCAATGATTTCCAATGATACTTTCTTTGGATGGTGCCTCCCTGGCAGCCAGTCCCTTGCAGCCAGGTGGTCCAAGCACACTGCTGGCTCCATGCAGGTAGCACCCAGCGGGTCTCTGAGGCCCTCTGATTTTGGCGGCTTCCATAGCTTCCTGTTATGAACATTTATGAACCATGTGGCGAATGTGGGACCTGTTGGTGTCTCTTGCGGTCTCTTGGTGTCAGGTAACCTCTGTGAAGTTCAGATCTCTCTCAGATATCTCTGAGGAATTGTTCTTAGTTCGTGCGGAGGATCCTTGATGCACTCGATTCAGGCCTCATTAATAAACCATGGTTGATGAGGACTAGTGGATGCTGCAGACGCTCAACCAAGTGCCTCAAGAATCCTTTGTGCATGCGCGGTCAACGCCTGAAGCCCTGGCGTGACCTCGCTGTAAATGATTTGTGCTGCAAAGCCTGAAATACTGCGTCTACCCTTTGCCCCAGCAACCTTTCAGACTTTGTGACATACACCAGAAACTGGGAGATGGCAACTTCACTGACTGTATGTTTTAGTGATCTTTAGCGATCTTCATTATGCCTCCTCCACCATCATTTCTTCCAAAACATTTGTCCAGCCAAATGATGAACAGTTTCTTAGCATTCTTTGTGCTGATGTTGACACTTCTACTGAGATTCTTTTGCATAATTTTGTATATTTTTCGATGTTGTTCATCGCCAATGACATAGTCATGAATATCGACAAAGTCTAAATGACCATGTACCGCCCACTTGAACCAAAGAACAGGGCAAAGAGCAGACTTGTTTTCATCCTGCCATGCCCATAGTTGTGCTGCAGATGACATGTGGTCATCGATGGCTGGAGTTTGCTTGCCAGCACCAGCTAGGCTATGCCATACTATGCCTCTCAGTTTCGATGAATATGAATGGCTGGACCAAATCAAAACAAGGATCGCATGCAGAAAATAATGGCAAGACCATCGCAGTGTGCAGCTGGATCCAGTTGGTGCCGGCAAGATTTTGTTGGTGCCTTGTGGTGCCGTGCTGCCATCCGCTTCGACTGTGCAGCCTCGCGATGCTGGAACTTGGCCCGGGGTCAGCTGACTGTGGGCATCTTGAGGGCGTCCTGGCTTGCATCATCAGGGGCCAACAGGCCCACCGTTTTTTTGCTAAATGAGGCATTCAGCAATGATGTTTAGCATCTGTGTACCGAAGTAAGTTGAAGCCAAGCCAGGACACTTCCTTGTGGACAGATTCAGCGCGGGGAATCGTCGGATTGCATAGCACAAAAGCTAGGGTGCGTGCATATGAATGCACAACTTGAACGTTGAGCTGATGGAGGATGCTGATGGATGCTGAGATGCTGATGTATCTAGACTGGTTTTCTTGTTCGCTGCAGTGTTGCAGCACCGTATATGCCTGCTTTTGGAATCAAGCTTTAGTGCACAGCAGCGCGGCTCCTGATGCCCAAAGCATCTTGACCCAAAAGGCGAGGCGGTGAATGAGTGAATTTGAGGCATGTTATGCGTATAACAAACAAATAATGAAACAAAGACATTTCACATTGGAGCGTTTCCTCTATCTTGTGCTTTCAGTCCCGCTGAATCTAAATCATTCTTACTCTCTCCCTCTCTCTAATTAATATATATATATATATTATTTATATATGTATATAATCATATATATATAATATGATATATATATATATGTGTGTGTGTGTATAAATTGTATACATTATGCTATGGAGAACATGTATTGCGTGGTTTGTGCAGCTTTGCCAAAGCGAAACCAGGTGACCATCGCCTTCAGAGACTCAGGTTGTTGTGACGCTGCGCATCCTTCACAATGGAGGCTGACAAAGTGAATACAAATTACCAATCAAATAGGTTCAATAGTGACAACATGTGACAACTGTAGACAAATGAGGAATACTGTAATTATCTGTAATTACTTTAGGTACTTTACTGGCTTCCTTTGAGTGGACATGGTGGATCGAATCAATTCCTGAAGCCGTAACACTTCCAAGTTTCAAAACTTCGCATGCTGAGTGCTGGCAACATCTCTCGCATCTTCCGCTGCCATCGCAGGACCAGATGAACAGCAGCATGCCGCCGCACAAGAGGCGACGTGTCGCTGAGGACTTGGCTTGAAAAGTGATGTGTTTCATGAGCAAATGTCAACAAAACCAGAAATCCAGCGACACAAATCTCTTCAGATTCTGCTTGACAGGAGGCCAACCAGCAGCTGGCTAGGCTGCTGGAGGCAAGCGGCCCAACACCTCCAGATGCTTGGCGCATTTGGAGTGACCAGTCCTGTGATGGCAATGCTTCTCATCGCTGCTGTAGCATGCGGCTTACTGTAGCACTTGGGCTACGTAACTGCGGAAAGACATCGGTCTAGGACACATGCCCCTGTGTTGCACAGACATGTTGGAAAGATAGTCTACAACTAGACACAAGTCTGCAGATATCACTATCATTATTCATCATTATTCACTATATTCACTATCCATTCTGTAAACCACCGCATGTTCCGAGCTGTTCCAAGGATTTTGGTGGTCGTGTGGCCAGTATGCTTTGGGATGTGGAGGTCGGTCAGAGAATCCCTTCCAAGTGCTGTGGCGACCTCACTGCTGTGCAGGTTCAGTACTTTTCCAAAGTTGAGTACATCCACCTCTTCTTCGGCCTAGGCCCCTGGCTTACCTTATACATATCCTTATATAAGTCCTTGGATGTCCTTTGCAAGTGGTCCCAATTGAAAGAGAAACTGGGAAAGCCGTGGAAAGACTTGGCCTTAACATTCTTTCACAATGCTTTTGCATGCTTTTACGTGTATGTATATGTATCTGTATATGTATAGAATGGGCTAGCGCCCGGGTGCCGCCGACCCCCCCTATTTGGGGGGTCCTGCAGAGAGAGGGAGAGAGATAGATGGATGGATGGATGGATGGATGGATGGATGGATAGATAGATAGATAGATAGGTAGAGAGATAGAGAGAGAGAGAGAGATAGACAGATAGATAGATAGACAGTTGGATAGACAAGGACGGCGTTGTGCAGGAAAAAGCGTATGTTTACATTTGCCCCGCTTGCAAAGGGAATGTGGCCAGTGACGTCAAGACAGGGAAAATGGACCATCGGACGGTCTGTGGGAACCAGTTTTCTGTAAAGGACGGCGTTGTGCAGGAAAAAGCGTATGTTTACATTTGCCCCGCTTGCAAAGGGAATGTGGCCAGTGATGTCAAGACAGGGCAAATAGACCATCGAACGGTCTGTGGGAACCAGTTTTCTGTGAGGGACGGCGTTGTGAAGGAGAAAGCGTATGTTTACATTTGCCCCGCTTGCAAAGGGAATGTGGCCAGTGACGTGAAGACAGGGCAAGTAGACCATCGAAGGGTCTGTGGGAAGCAGTTTTCTGTCAAGGACGGCGTTGTGAAAGAGAAAGGTGGTAAACGGCAAGCTGGAACGCCGAGAAGAAGCTATTGATCTGGCTTTGGGGTATCGTTTGAATTGTGTAAATGCTGGCAAACGGCAACCTTGGACGCCTAAGAGAATTGATGTGTGGCCTTGGGGTGGCTGTTGGCTGCAGGATGAAACATGCCAAGTCAGCGTTTTAAGGGTTTTAAGGTTTTTAAGGGTTTGGAGGGTTTAAGGGCTGGCAAACGGCAGGCTTGGACGCCCATAAGAAGCGATTGATGTGTGGCCTTGGGGTGCCTGTTGGCTGCAGGATGAAGCATGCCAAGGGATTGTTTAAGCGGCCCATAAGAAGCCATTGATGTGTGGCCTTGGGGTGGCTGTTGGCTGCAGGATGAAGCATGCCAAGTCAGCGTTTTAAGGTTTTTAAGGGTTTGGAGGGTTTGGAGGGTTTGGAGGGTTTAAGGGCTGGCAAACGGCAGGCTTGGACGCCCATAAGAAGCCATTGATGTGTGGCCTTGGGGTGCCTGTTGGCTGCAGGATGAAGAATGCCAAAAGGATTGTTTAAGCGGCCCATAAGAAGCCATTGATGTGTGGCCTCGGGGTGGCTGTTGGCTGCAGGATGAAGCATGCCAAGTCAGCGTTTTAAGGGTTTTAAGGTTTTTAAGGGTTTGGAGGGTTTAAGGGCTGGCAAACGGCAGGCCTGGACGCCCATAAGAAGCGATTGATGTGTGGCCTTGGGGTGCCTGTTGGCTGCAGGATGAAGCATGCCAAAGGATTGTTTAAGCGGCCCGGTCCAAGAATTTCACAAAATCCCTCAGAAGTTCGACCTGAACCTTACCATCCAAACCGTTTGACCAATTTGCCATCCAGAACTGCTGGGATTTTGTCCATCCTCCACAGCTTGCTATTGGGGAAAAACCAGGAACGCATAAGAAGCCATTGATGTGTGGCCTCGGGGTGGCTGTTGGCTGCAGGATGAAGCATGCCAAGTCAGCGTTTTAAGGGTTTTAAGGTTTTTAAGGGTTTGGAGGGTTTGGAGGGTTTGGAGGGTTTAAGGGCTGGCAAACGGCAGGCTTGGACGCCCATAAGAAGCCATTGATGTGTGGCCTTGGGGTGCCTGTTGGCTGCAGGATGAAGCATGCCAAGGGATTGTTTAAGCGGCCCATAAGAAGCCATGATGTGTGGCCTCGGGGTGGCTGTTGGCTGCAGGATGAAGCATGCCAAGTCAGCGTTTGTAAGGGTTTTAAGGTTTTTAAGGGTTTGGAGGGTTTAAGGGCTGGCAAACGGCAGGCTTGGACGCCCATAAGAAGCCATTGATGTGTGGCCTTGGGGTGCCTGTTGGCTGCAGGATGAAGCATGCCAAGGGATTGTTTAAGCGGCCCATAAGAAGCCATTGATGTGTGGCCTCGGGGTGGCTGTTGGCTGCAGGATGAAGCATGCCAAGTCAGTTTTGTTTTAAGGTTTTAACGTTTTTAGAGGGTTTGGAGGGTTTGGAGGGTTTAAGGGCTGGCAAACGGCAGGCTTGGACGCCCATAAGAAGCCATTGATGGTGGCCTTGGGGTGCCTGTTGGCTGCAGGATGAAGCATGCCAAGGGATTGTTTAAGCGGCCCATAAGAAGCCATTGATGTGTGGCCTCGGGGTGGCTGTTGGCTGCAGGATGAAGCATGCCAAGTCAGCGTTTTAAGGGTTTTAAGGTTTTTAAGGGTTTGGAGGGTTTGGAGGGTTTAAGGTTTAAGGGCTGGCAAACGGCAGGCTTGGACGCCCATAAGAAGCCATTGATGTGTGGCCTTGGGGTGCCTGTTGGCTGCAGGATGAAGCATGCCAAGGGATTGTTTAAGCGGCCCATAAGAAGCCATTGATGTGTGGCCTCGGGGTGGCTGTTGGCTGCAGGATGAAGCATGCCAAGTCAGCGTTTTAAGGGTTTTAAGGTTTTTAAGGGTTTGGAGGGTTTGGAGGGTTTTAAGGGCTGGCAAACGGCAGGCTTGGACGCCCATAAGAAGCCATTGATGTGTGGCCTTGGGGTGCCTGTTGGCTGCAGGATGAAGCATGCCAAGGGATTGTTTAAGCGGCCCATAAGAAGCCATTGATGTGTGGCCTCGGGGTGGCTGTTGGCTGCAGGATGAAGCATGCCAAGTCAGCGTTCTTAAGGGTTTCCCAAAGCATGTAATTTTCATGTCCAAACGCCTGGAAGTCTTAACTGGAGGACGAAGCATGCCAGGAAAATGTTTACGCGATGTGGCCTTGGGGCAGCTTGCTGGCTGCGAGATGGGTTTGACCTTGGAAAGCGAAGAAGGAGAAGTTCCACACCTGCGGTGGTCCCAGGCGCCGCCCCTGCCTTGGCCAAGGCCGGGGTCGGCGGATATGTATACGTAAACTTATCCGAATGCAGTATTTATTTGCAACGGGCCCGCCGTGTTCGCAGCACAAAATTTTTCAAAGATCTGCACTGCACACCAAGGCAATGTGCCCATCAAGATGCGCACTCGCCGTGTTGTCTCGCCAGAGTTGCGCGCCGGCCTTCGAGAGACAGCAAGGGGTGAATGTCAGCAGTCATCAACAGTCAATGTCCGAGGGTTGGAGCTGTGAGGTACTCGCTCCTACGCTGCAGCCGCTTGGTTCGACAAGGGCTCATTGCGGCTGTGGAGGCTTGGAACCCTTTCCCAAGCCCTTGAACCAACCATAATGTATCCCATACATTCCACTATGGCATTTTGTAGTATACATATCCAGGTTACGATGGATTCAAAATGAGTTTGTCCCCGAACAGAGTGGTGTTTGATTGTTTGCTTGTATGTTTTGGATTGTTTTGGCATGTTTTGGACATTGACAGGGGCAGGCTAACCAAGAGTGTGACTGGAATTACATTTTGCACTCCCCCTTTCAACATGGACTTCAACTGAGCCAACAACACCAGTTTTGGCTACTTCAGCCCGCGCATTTGATTCAACAGATGAGACGCTTGACGATGGAGCCAGAGGAGTCCACTGACGAGAGGAGCAGAGTGGATCCATGGCTAAAAAAAGAAGACCTTCTTGCTTAGAGGAAGGTATCAAGAGCATGCCAAAAACATCCAAAAACATCAACAACTATAAAATCTATAAACAACTGATTTACATCGGCTTTTGCAACCTGCAACTGGCTGCCCAAGGACGAGCTTTGCAGCGCTTTGAGGCCTGGTGCTTTCGCAGCTGTGGGGGGTTGGCTGATGGCTTGTGATGGCTGGGAGGTACAAATATCCAGCATCCTGGGCTCGAGCTTGGGGACAAGGTCGCCTTCCAGAAGAAACGGAACCTGCGTTTGGTGTCCCAGAAATGGTTTGAATTAGTCGAACAGGTCGAACAGGTCCAAACCTTGGACCATTTTGTAATGTCCTCCTGAGTCCTCCTATGAGATGTTGAACTGTTTCACATTTTATGTTGTCTGACAGTGTCTGACAGCCTCATAAATCTTATCGATTCGATGCACTTGAGAAGTCTTCGCATGCCCTCCACTTTCAAATGGTTTGCTAAGGCCGATAGTGGTTTATTGAGCGACTTGCACCTAGAGCTAGGCCACTTTGAGGCCTTTGAGCCGGACCATCGAAGGCAGTACACAGAATGGAGCTCTGTGTGTATTGATGTGCATTGTGAATCAATCCAATTCAGCAAATCCAATTTGTTGTGATCATTTGCTAACAAGATAGGAGACGCACACACACACAGATGCATACATGTGCATACAATTCTATATGACATACATAATACGTTTTTAGATATGTTCGATTATGTATTGGTTGAAATTATGCTTCCACCATGAGACGGGCTGGTCGAACCAGCTGAAACACAAACTGTGGGCATCTTCGACTGGTGCAGGTGCTGGCGGTGCTGACTGACCAAAGTTAGCCATGCTGAATTTGTGAGCTCTTGTCAGGGCTGAGCTGCTACATGATTGACATTGGTCATCAAGCCATGGATTGACTATTTGATGTAACATTAAGCACCTTAATTGATGCAGACTTGGGCAGGCGCATTAGCAATCTTTCGTGGTTGACAATATCAAGTCTCGCGCTTTGAAGTTGTACCATGAGACATGTAGCAGTGAAGTGCTCCTGAAGCACTGCTACTTCTTGCATCGGGAATTACATTGAATTTAGAGTTGGGACGGCGACTTCAGGCTGCTACTCCAGAGCAAAGTTCAAGTTGTTATCAAGTTGGTATAGTTGTTTTCGGCTTCGGTTTTCCCATGTGTTTTTTCCCCCGTGAATTTTGTTGTCCTCAGATTTTGTCTGTGAAAGCTGGCATTCGTTCTGCGATGAAGGCTCGTAGCGCCTGGGAGCTTGCTGTGTAAGGTTTGAACCGGGACATCTTAACAAATACAGTGGGATTGCCCAATCTTCCTGCAAGAAAGCCCAGCTCAAACTAGGTCGGGATCCAGCCGATGTGGACACTGATGGTCAAGTGACTAAGTCAAAGTCACCTGACATAATGTCATAGATGGTATAGTATTAGTATAGTTAATATGTGCATATAGGTGTATATGTGTATATATATATATGCACATATAGCATAACTATACCTATAGAATTTGTACGCATTAATTTGTCATTTTTTGAAAACGTCTATACATATACGGTGTATATATATGTATATATATATATATTAGATACATATGTTTGTGCGCGTGCTTCTCGCTCTCTCTCTCTCTGTCTCGATCTCTACACGCACACACACACATATTATATATATAATAGATAGATTAGATTGAATTAGATTAGACCAGATCAGATTAGATTAGATACCGCACACACACACACACGTATATATATATATGCCTGGACCTTCAAATGACCAAACATTCTTGGTAGTTTTGGTCATTTGCCGCAAATGAACGCAAATGGAAAAACACCCGCAAGACGCCCTGAAAAACAACAAGATAAAAAACGCAAAAAACGCAAAACGCGCAAAACGACCAAAATGACCCAAAGAAGAAGACGATTTTCTGGTAGTGTCTGGAGATATGAATATCTTGTGGCTAAATATATCATATGTGCATGCTATCATGCTGATTACATTCAACACATGGAATGATTTCACATAGGTTTGCTCGTGCCCTAGACTAGATATGATGATCTTGAACTTCGGCTGGAACCGATCTTGTGATCTATGCATTCTTTTCCGTTGAGCATCATGTGCGAGCTGCAGGTGAACATCAAGTGAGTGTCATCTTCATGGACACATATTGAACATGAATAAAAGTGGTATCCATCAACTTGTATGTGTTGTTTCGTGTTGGCTTGGTTTGTGCTTGTGACATGGCTGCTCGGCATTGTACAAAGCTAAGCCGCCTCGCCCTTGACTACTTGAGGGATGAATTGCTCGTCTTGAACAAGGGCAGTGGGTCCAGCTAAGCATTGAAAAAGCTCCACCTGGCGGCGACACCACGAAGCACACTGTGGCCACAGTGGCTTCCCATGGCTTCCACTGCGGTTCTGGGTACCTGGTCAATTCATTTGCCCAAAGCCTTTGTGGCATCATGGCACTCCAGCGCTGCATAACGCTGCAATGTTCGTTGCCTATCGTTACCCGGGAGATGGCCTATATTGAAGCCCTTCTCCATACGGCACACTGAAGCGCTCCTCGTTTCCCTTGAGGCGTTGCACATCCATCCCAAATGATGTTGCAAGACGTTGCAACCAGAGTTGCGTCAGTGTTATCTAATTTACCAGTTGTTCATGTAATTTTTCAACCTCTTTACTAGTTTTTACTGGTTTGCTTCTACATGCTTAAACCATCCTTCGCCTTGAATTCTTCATAAGGATGGGATGGAGCGCCTTACCACTTGTGATGCCTGAGTATATATTTGTAAGGCGTATAAGGGGCCACAGCTTGGCACTCTGTGATTGACAACTGGGCCAGCGGCCGTTTTCCACGAGACATTGCAAACACGTGTTGGAGAATCAAAAATGGTAGGGAGAGAATTGGAAGGTCGTTTGGTCTAAGGCGTGATCAGTTCTGCCAAGCTTGATTCCGACAATGCGCCTGAGCAAGCAAAAGATGTCTGCTCCTGTGGCTTTGCATGGCTTTCATTTTTTGTGGAGGTTTTAGGATGTTTAGGTTGGATATGTAGTTGGCAGATGTAGGCAGGCATTTGAACCATTGAATCACGATTTGCCAAGGTCAGCTGGCCGGTTATAGTCATGGATTCATGGATCTCATATCGGACCAAGGCTGCTCTCGCCACAGAAAGAGCGCTTGTTTGCAATGGCTCAGGGAAAGTTAGGAATATTGCGTGAACATGCCAGACGCTTGTAAACAAAATTTGCAACAGATTGTGCAGCTCTTACCATGCAGACTTGTATCGGTGTTCCTAGCCATAATCGGACAGATTTTGACAGCTCAGTGTGTGTTTTGTGGGACCACATGTGCATGGTCGCATAGTTGCCATAAGGGCCATACGTGAATCCTTTTTGGACACAAGTTAATTAGCTGCTTAGCTGCTGTGAGTTTTTGCCATGGATGACGGACATCCACAGCCACAGGTTGGAGTCTCAGAAGTGCATCGCTAGCAACTCCGTGGCCGTCCAAATTCCCAGAGGTTTTGAGCACATTGGTCCAGCGGCGATGGTGTACAGGCGATGGCATTAGGGCCCTGCCGTTTACAATGCCCTGGTGTTTTTTTTGGATGGAGATGTTTTTTTTGCGAAAAAGTGCGCGTATGCAGCAGTTACTGTAAGATCCACAAGACCATATTACTGTAAGTCTATTTTATCACACCCAGAAGGTGCCTCAACTTTTCCTTGGTATCCCTAAGATATCCTAATATCAAATATCCCTTAGTATCCCTTGATGTTCCTTGATGCCCCTCAATATATGAATATCCCTTACTGCTTTCGAAGCAACACGCCAAGTGCGATGGTATTTCTTCAGAACATGACACTTGTTGAAGGCTTTGGTTGGGCTGCCACGGGCATTGTGGTGCAGCTCTCGGTTCTCGAAGTCTTAAGTGGCTGGCATTAGAGAGCTCCAAGGAAGCCACAGATCCGACGAAACAGCGAGGTGCTTCTAACAGTGGCCATCCTTCAAGTCAATGCAAAGGCCTTACCACAATCAGCTCACCAAATCGCCAAATCATAGGCCAGACATGATATTCACATGTGATAGCCTGTTCCCTTGGCTCCTTCGAATTTGCCAGAGATATGCGTAATATGGCGTAGGGGCGGTTGCATGTTGCCATAGCTTGGCCTTCAGCTGAGGATCTCATTCAACTGTTCTGGCTCGGAACGCTGGTGAATGTTGCTGGGATACCTGGCATTGCCTCAACTTTCAGCTTTCTGCGTGAGATTTGCCATTTCTGTTGCAGTATGGCACAGTGTGTCAACTACATGTCAATACAATTGTAATCAGTCCTATTCATATCTTGTCTTCAATTACTCTCATTTTGTTTATGACATTTTTATACATTTTTGGTGTTGCGTGGTCACCCGCAAGCCGGACGACGGAACGTCATGTAATGGTGAATGAGGCTTTGTCCATCACCAAGATGGCACTGGCCCAGGTCACTGTCCATCCAAAGGTGCGCCAGGATGCCAGAATGTTGCAAGCTGTATGTCAGACATGTACATTATATTACATCATTTTTGTTTACGTTATCACATTATATAATATATATATATATTATACTGTATATATATATTACAATATATTATATACATTAATATTACATTATTGTTATTTTTGTTACTCTTGTTGACTCTACTTTTGTTGCAGTTACTTTTCATTATTGTCATTGTTTTTAGCGATATCCGATATCCAACATTAGTGAATAAGCCATCGTTTCTAGCAACCCATTACAGGTAAATGATAGCCACAAGGGGGGTAAATTGTTAATTTTATCTCTTAATCATGAAAGCCAGCCGCTAGGCTAGGCGAAGTTCCTTTTGCGAACAAAGTGAGTTATAGGGGGTCTGGGGGTAGAGTGGGCGAGGACAACACAAAATCACGGAATTAGGTGCAGTGGAGGCATGACAATTGGAACTTTTTTGAGGGTTATATTCTGTACCAGGTGGCAATTGGGTGACATTGGGGTATCGATTCCCCCCTGGTCCGTCCTCCGAGGTGCATTTGGGGAGACTGGAATGGAAGGGTAAAATTATGGAGAGGTCGAGTAAAACCATCGAAAAATTGAAAAAAACAATGGAAAAATCGAGTAAAACCATGGAAATTTGAATTAAACCATGGAAAAATCGAGTAAAACTATTGGACAGTCGAATAAAACAATGGAAAGATTGAGAAAACCCATGTAAAAATCATTAAAAATCGAGTAAAACCACGGACACATTGAGTAAAACCATCGAAAAAATCGATTAAAACCATGGAAAAATCCAGTAAAACCATGGAAAAATCGAATGAAACCATGGAAAAATGAAGTAAAATGGTCCGTCCTCGGAGGTGCATTTGGGGAGGCGATAGACAGACCGGAATCGAAGGGAGTGCTTTATGGTCACAAGGATTGCAAGCAACTTCTGTCAGTAGTTGGGCTCCGATGTGGGACCATTATGGTCGGAAAGATTAGAAGCAATTTCTGTCAGTATACGATGCTTTGGGAATCTTTGGGAAAGATTGGAATAGAAGGGAGTCAGAGGAAGAGGCCTTGCTTGATGGTCGCAAGGATTAGAAGCAACTTCTGTCAGTAGTTGTGCTCCGATGTGGGACCACTACGGCCGCAAAGATCAGAAGGAACTTCTGTCAGTATAGTATGCTTTGGGAGAGACTGGAATAGAAGGTAGTCAGGGGAAAAGGTACAGGATGTCGACGAGAATGTAGCCATCTATTTGCATTTGTTAGGCTTCGATGTGGGACCATAGGTTATGCTTGAGGGCCACAAGGATTAGAAGCAGCTTCTGTCAGTAGGATGCTTTGGGAGAGACTGGCATAGAAGGGGGTCAGAGGAAAAGGTATAGGATGTCGACGCGAATGTAGCCATTTATTTGTATTTGTTAGGCTTCGATGTGGGACCATAAGTCAGAATGAGGCAAAGGACAGAAGTGCATTCTAAGCTCTTGCGCACATGTGTAATACACGCAGCAAAGCAGCATGCCTTTGGTTCTTCGCAGAACTAGTGGTTCGAGTTCAGATGTGTCACACATGGGGCAAAGCAGCACGTGTTTGGTTCATCTGTAGATGTGTATACATGCGCCACAGCAGCACGCAAAGATCAGTGATCAGAAGGATGCTTTGGGAGAGACTGGAATAGAAGGGGGTCAGAGACTTGTATTTGTTGGGCTCCGATGTGGGGCCGCAAGGATTAGGTGCATTTGGGGAAGCGATGGAGAGACTGGAATCGAAGGGAGTCAGAGGAAAAGGCTTTGCTTGATGGTCGCAAGGATTAGAAGAAACTTTCTGTCAGTAGTTGGGCTCCGATGTGGGACCATTATGGTCGCAAAGATCAGAAGGAATTTCTGTCAGTATAGGATGCTCTGGGAGAGACTGGGATAGAAGGGAGCCAGAGGAAAAGGTATAGGATGTCGACGAGAATGTAGCCGTCTACTTGTATTTGTTGGGCTTCGATGTGGGACCATTATGGTCGCAAGGATTAGAAGGAATTTCTGTCAGAATAGTTGGGCCCCGATGTGGAATCATTGTGGTCTCAACTTCTGTCAGTATAGATGTGGATGAGAATGTACTTGTCGACTTGGATTCCGATGTGGGACCATTATGGTTGCAAGGATTAGAAGCAACGGAACTTCTGTCAGTATAGGATGCTTTGGGAGAGACTGGAATAATAGAAGGGAGTCAGAGGAAAAGGCGTTGCTTGAGGAACTTCTGTCAGTATAGGATGTCGACGAGAATGTAGCCATCTACTTGTCTCTGTTGGGCTCTGGTGTGGGACCATTATGATCCCAAGGATTTGGAGCACTTTGGCAGTATTTGGGCTTCGATGTGGAACCAATCTGGTCGCAAGGATTAGAGGCAACTTCTGTCAGTATACGATAAATTGGCAAGACTGGAATTGAAGAGAGTCAGAGGAAAAGGCATTGCTTGGAAAGGTCGCCCGTGGATGTGGGTGAGAATGTTCTTGTCGACTTGTATCTGTTGGGCTCCGATGTGGGACCATTCTGGTCGTAAGGATTAGAAGGAACTTCTGTCAGCATAGGATGCTTTGGGAGAGACTGGAATAGAAGGCCCCGATGTGGGACCATTATGGTCGCAAGGATTAGAAGGAACTTCTGTCAGTAGTTGGGCTTCGATGTGGGACCATTATGGTTGCAAAGATCAGAAGGAAGTTCTTTCAGTATAGGATGCTTTGGGAGAGACTAAGTTTAAGATAGAAGGGAGTCAGAGGAAAAGGCATTGCTTGGGAAGGTCGCTGGAGGTGTATTTTTGCCGCTTTCTCTTCTACCCCTATCTGTTGGTCTCCGATGTGGGATCATTGTGGTCGCAAGGATTAGAAGGAACTTCTGTCAGTATAGGATGTGGACGGGCACTGTTCATGGTCGCAAGGATTAGAAGGAACTTCTGTCAGTATAGGATGTGGACGAGAATGTACTCGTCGACTTGTATTTGTTGGGCTCCGATGTGTGTCAGTATACGATGCTTTGGGAGAGACTGGAATAGAAGGGAGTCAGAGGAAAAGGCATTGCCTGGAAAGGTCGCTGGAGGACCTCCAGCGAGAATGTGCTCGTCGTACCTGTTGGGCTCCGATGTGGGACCATTTGGTTTCAAGGATGCGAAGAAACTCCTATCAGTATAGGATGTGAAATTAGGAAATTTTGGAAGGGGTGACGAAAATATGCAGTGCTGTCTTCTGTTCCGTCTGATATAGAGACTGGAATAGACTGGAATAGAATGAGGCCAGAGGCAAAGGCATTGCTTGGAAAGGTGGGAACTCAATGTCTACTTTTCTTTATAATATATCTTTCTCTTACTCTTGCAGTCGTATCTGCTGGGCTCCGATGTCAAACCGTTATTGTCGCAAGGATAGGATTAGAAGAACTTTCTGTCAGCGTAGGATCTGAAATTCGGAAACTTGGGAAGGGGGGACGAAAATATGCAGTGGGGTCCGAAGTGGGACCACCATTCTCTTGGACCGTTCCCTCTATATAGGGGATTTGAGAGAACTTCTGTCAGCATAGGATGTGAAATTAGGAAGCTTTGGAAAGGGATGATAACATAGCAGAATATGACACTGCTGTGTCGGCTCCGTCAATGCTTTTTGCATTTTTTGTGTGAAATTCGGAAGCTTTGGAAAGGGGTGAGGAAAATATGAGGTGGAGGAGGGCAGAGGCAAGGTTCCGTGAATGGGGGCACAGTCGCTATGGAGAAGAAACTTCTGTCGGTATAGGATGTGCAATTAGGAAACTTTGGAAAGGGGTGATGAAAATATGAAAATATGAGCGTAAGGATCCTTGAAAGTCTGAGGGCCAAAAAGTTTGCGGGTGAAAAGTCTGTGGGTGAAAAAAGTGACGAGGCTGTGCGTGAAAAAGTCTGTGGGTGAAAGTCTCTGGGCGAAAAGTGTGTGGGTGAAAAGTGTGCGGGTGAAAAGTCCGTGGGTCAAAAGTATATAGGTGAAACGGGTATAGGTGAAAAGTCTGAGGGTGCAAAGTCTGTGGGTGAAAAGTCTGTGGGTCAAAAGTTTGTGTGCGAAAAGTGTATGGGTGAAAGCCTGTGGGTGAAAAGTATGTGGTTGAACAGTCTTGGGTGAAAAGTATATGGGTGAGAAGTATATGGGTGAAAAGTCTGTGGAAAAAGAGTGTCTGGGTGAAGAGCGTGAAGAGTCTCTGGGTGAAAAGTATATATGTGAAAAGTCTGTGGCTAAAGAATCTGTGGGTGAAAAGTCTGCGGGTGATAGGTCTGTGAGTGAAAAGTGTGGGTGAGAAGTTTATGGTTGAACTCAACGGATGAACAGTCTGTGGGTGACAGTGTGTGGGTGAAAAGTCCGTGGGTCAAAAGTATATGGGTGAAACAGGTATGGGTGAATAGTCTGAAGGTGCAAAGTTTGTGGGTGAAAACTCTGTGGGCGAAAAATGTATGGGTGCAAGTCTGCGGGTGAAAAGTCTGCGGGTGAAAAGTCTGTGGGTGAAAAGTCTATGGGTGAAAAATATATGGGTGAAAAGTTTCTGGGCGAAAAGTGTATGCGTGAAAAGCATATGGACGAAGAAAAGTATATGGGTGAAAAACCTGAGGGTAAAAATGTATTGGTGAAGAGTCTGTGGGTGAAAAGTATATGGGCGAGAAGTATATGGGTGAAAGACTGTGGGTGAAAAGTCCCTGGGTGAAAAGTATATGGGTGAAAAGTCTGTGGGTGAAAAGTATATGGGGGAAAAAATTGAGGGGAAAGTATATTGGTGAAAAGCTCGTGGGTCAAAAGTATGTCAAAAGTATACAGGTGAAACGGGTATGGGTGAAAAACTGTGGGTGAAAAGTCCCTGTGTGAAAAGGGTGAAAAGTCTGTGGGTGAAAAGTATGTGGGTGAGACAGGCATGGGTGAAAAGTCTGAGGTGCAAAGTCTGTGAGTGAAAAGTCTGCGGGTGAAAAGTGTATGGGTGAAAGTCTGTGGGTGAAAAGTATATGGTTGACCCGTCTGCGGGTGAAAAGTATATGGGTGAGAAGTATATGGGTGAAAGACTGTGGGTGAAAAGTCCCTGGGTGAAAAGTATGCGGGTGAAAAGTCTGTGGGTGAAAAGTATGTCGGTGAGACAGGCATGGGTGAAAAGTCTGAGGTGCAAAGTCTGTGAGTGAAAAGTCTGCGGGTGAAAAGTGTATGGGTGAAAGTCTGTGGGTGAAAAGTATATGGTTGACCCGTCTGCGGGTGAAAAGTATATGGGTGAGAAGTATATGGGTGAAAGACTGTGGGTGAAAAGTCCCTGGGTGAAAAGTATGCGGGTGAAAAGTCTGTGGGTGAAAAGTATGTCGGTGAGACAGGCATGGGTGAAAAGTCTGAGGTGCAAAGTCTGTGAGTGAAAAGTCTGCGGGTGAAAAGTGTATGGGTGAAAGTCTGTGGGTGAAAAGTATATGGTTGACCCGTCTGCGGGTGAAAAGTATATGGGTGAGAAGTATATGGGTGAAAAGTATATGGGTGAGAAGTATATGGGTGAAAGACTCTGGGTGAAAAGTCTGTGGGTGAAAATGGTTGGGGGAAAATAGGGGTAGATGGGATGCTGGTTTTCGTTCCCCCCTTCTCAGGTTTTACATAATCTTACCAAGCTTACCTCCATTGTACCTGGGGTGTTGGGAACAACCCTATTTCTACCACACCCAGGCGCTAATGGCGGATGCAGTTCATGGCCTGGGGGACACCGCGGCGGAAGTGGTCACAGCTTTGGCATATGTCGAAGCTGCGCGACCACCAGACAAGGAGCTCCAGCTGGATGGAAACAGCATGGATTCTCAACATGGTTTTTCATCATGACGTGGATTTTCAGGAGAGGATTTCATGGGCTTTGATCCAGGAGCACCCTTGGGGACATGGTAAGATCGAATCCATCGGTGCTGTCGTTGCCCCTTGGCTTGGATTTTTGATGATTTTTGGGGGTCCGGAAACTCTTGCACCTGGCATGGGGCGATGAGGTCACGTGCATCCTTCTGTACATAGCATTTTCCATGGGCCGGGGACTTACAGGTGTCGCCAGGCTCAGTCGAGCGGCTGTGGAAAATCTGTTCTCGATTTCATTTTGTTATAGGACTGGTCACGGGCAAATCTCGCACCGATCCAAGAGCAAGAACTGTCCAAACAATGCCAAGGCTACGACAGCATCACCTCACTTGTGCCCTTACTTACAGAGGCTTTTGAAAGAAGAGGACCCTGCTGGATGTAGGAAAGCTGGGGCTTTAAGACCACCAGAGTGTATTGCATGTTTCATTTGTGATATTGGTGTAATTTTTCATGAATTTTCTGTTTTCCTCTCTTTTGGCATTTCCATGCGTGGCTCCTGCTTAATTCGTTAATTGCTGTTTGTTAGTCCATGGCTTGATCACTCCAGACCCCAGCAGACCGGCAACTAGCATTCATCCTTTTCCTGTATTCTATGTTTAATACACTGGCAATCTCATATGCATGCTTGTTATGATCGAGCCCCTGCTCCATGTCATACGTTGCACCAAGTCGCACATTGCACCAAAAAACACGCACATGCGGCGAGGAAACGAACCCAAGACGGATGAGGAGTGGCTCAGAGTCGAGCGGTTTTACACAAATGGTAGCTATAGTTACGGACTGAAACTTAGAATGGGTGGCCGGTTTCCAAAATGTTAACAGTTAACTTAGAATGACGGCAGTTAGAATGACCGGTCATCACACCAATTCGCCATCCCAAACTTAGAATGACCCGGCATCATACAAAAAATGATTAAAACATGCCATCCCAAACGATATTAAGTGCAAAAAATGTAGAAAATACGCAGGAAACCCTACATTTTAAGGTAGAAACATGGTATGCTACACTTGCCCACTTTTTATCGTTTTTTTTTCAAGGTTCTCCACACAGAAAGGATTGCTTGTAAATAACTTTAGACTCTAGACTGTTTGCGCAGCACATGTGGCAAAAAAAACCATGCCGAGCCATTATGAGCCATTAAAATTCCCCTTCATGCATTAAAACAGTCTCGAAAAAACGATTGTTTGTAGCAATGGTCTTGAAGTTTTGATGCCGGAGATCTAGGTACGAAAACACTTGCTCGAAAGCTTTGGCAGGAAAACCGCAAGGAAACACACAACCAGTAAAAACTAGAGGTAAACAAAGAATGCCTATCAAAAAAATTACGAAGGGAATTTTGCAACACCAGTAAAACGCCGGAACCCAAAACTCAGCTGAACAGGTTCGTGTCTCAAAACTGTGCATTGCAGGACAGCATTTGTCATCTCTTTTTGCCAAAAAAAACCAAAGCTACACATAGTATGCCTACGAAAAGAAACTTTCGGGAAAAAAATGTCACTTCTTTTTGCAACACTCCCCTGTGACAAGAAGAAACTTAGAATGATCGCCTATCATGGCATCAAGGCATGTTGTTTTTGCACACTTTATATCGTCTTTTGAAGAATGGACGGGCCAGAGGTAAATTTAGAATGCTTATGCAGAGCAGATGTGACAAACAGGGCCATGCTGAGCCACTAACATTCCGCGCCAAGGTTCATGCACTAAACCAAATTCAAAAGACTACTGTCCGCCCAGCAAGGGTCTTGAAGCTTGGTGCCGGAAATCCAGGTACGAAAAACAAAAAGTGTTCGAAGCCTTTGGAAAAATATCGCAAGGACCCGCAAAGCCAAAAAAAAACAAAGAGGCCAAAACCCAGCTGAACAGGCGCATTCTTCAAAGCTGTGCAAGGCAGGGCAGCAGGCGTCATCTCTTTTTGCAACACTCCCCTGTGACGAGAAGAAAATTAGAATGACCATTATCACAGCACCAAGTCATTTGCACAGCTTAATTTGTTTTTTGTAGGTGTTCCCTGGTTTTCGGGTGTTTTCTCCAAAAAAGTGACAGGCCAGATGTCAATTTTTAATGCTTAAGATTGCTTAAGCAGCATATATGGAACAAAAGGGGCCATGCTGAGCCGAGGTTCATGCACTGTCACTAAACCATTTCAAAAGACTCCTGTCTGCCCAGCTTGATGCCGGAGATCCAGGTACGAAACGACTGTTCGAAAACTTTGAAAGGAAAATTTCCAGGAACCACGTAAAGCAGGAACCCAACATCCAGCTGATCAGATTCTTTTCTTAAAGCTTTGCTAGTAGCAGAGCAGCTGTTGCCCCTTTTTTCCCATAGTCCCCCGTGATGAGATACAACTTGGAATGCTTCCACTGCAGAATTTGTGCAGCCATCACATTTGTGCAACTAAAACCTTCTATTTCAGGTTTCCCCACAGAAGACGCATATAAGTATAAGGCAAAAAAAAGATTATGCTGAGCCACTAGTACCCCCTGGAAGGGTTCATGCATTGAAGCAGCGACAAAACAAGATAGCGCAGCACATGCCAACTATGGAGGTGTTGGGGGTTTACTTGCGGACCGAAACTTGGAATAAACAATTTGGAAAGGGGGACCTGAAACATCACAAAAACAAAAGCATCAGTGCCCGATCTGAACTCTATGGCACACTCTTGAGGGGATTCAGGTCATTCGACGTTCTTCTATATATACAGGCTTCCGTTGACTGACAGGATCTGACAGGCGCAGGGAATCCTGCAGTGTTGCTTTATATTGTTCATGCCGTGGACCAAAACTTAGAATGACCTGGTATGGCCTCTTAGGGTATCAAACAAGTTGCCGGCGCGGTCTCGGATAGCTTTATCATAATTCCACCCGGACTTGGACATCATTCTAAGTTCTTTTTGACGGGCATCCATCTACTGACAGGCGCGTATAATCTTGCAAATATTCGCTTTTTGCTTGCTCCTCATTCTAAGTTCTGTTTTTGGCAATTTTGCGCGGTATACACAATGTTTCGTGTCTTTCCATGCGCTCCGGCGAGAAGATCGAGAACTTTTTCCTAACCCCGGCGGTTTCCAAGTGGTCATTCTGAGTTTCGGTCCGCGACTATAAATGGTGGACACATGGCCTGCACAACTACGGTAACGGTGGCACGCAGCATGCAAATATCATTTTGGTGGAGTAGTTGTCTCTCCTCTTGTTAGTGTCCTTTAGGGTGCGCCAAGAATTCATGCCGAGACGGGCTGTCCATCCGCAGGCACCCAGTGACAGCAGTGAGGTTCCGAGTGCTGTCCTTGGAGCTGTGCCCATCCCATGGGCCCATGGGCCCATGGGCCCATGAACTCCGCACAGATCCGTTCCGAACGCCCAGGAAGGCCGAGTCAAAGCAAGACGGAGACAGGCCACATTGGCTGTGACAGATGATATCAGATGATTCTTTAGGCCAGCTGGAATTATCATAACGATATTAATTAAGATTAATTAATGGCAATCAATGATAATAAATGATAATCAATGATAATTATATAATGATAATTAATGTCAATTAATGATAATTAATGATAACCAATGATAATGAATGATAACCAATGATAATGAATGATAACCAATGATAATTAATGATAACCAATGATAATTAATGATAACCAATGATAATTAATGATAATCGATGATTAGTGGCTGGCAGCTTGATGATGTGTGATGATTGGGGCAGGTTGTGTCATGGTTACGCATTTTTCAACCAATTCAGCTTCAAGAAGCCCCGGAGAATCCCGTGGCCTTGTCGCGTCATGGCATGTTCGATTTCGATGCCTTGGAGAGTGTGGACCCCTCTGAGCAGCACAGTACCTCACAGCACTTGCCAGTCAGTTCGATTGTTTCAATGTAGCTGCCAGGAAGGTGATGGTTGGTGCAGCAGTTCCAAAAATATCGAGAAAAACAACGTCAAAACAAGAACCAAGGAGTGCCTGGCGTGGATGCTAGAGCATTGCAAGGCCAAGTTGATCCTCCCACGGAGTGGCGAGATCAACAATTTGCAGACCTTCACTGCAAAGTTTTGCTTCCAGGAGGACCACCCTCTTTTTTTTTATTTATCCTTTTTCATAGACAAGACTTGAAGCATTTTAAAAGATAAGACACACTTGCAGGATCTTGCAAGCGCAATATGTTACATGACGTTACATGGAGTGTGCTGTGGAATTGCTCAAACTTCATTCAAAAAAGCGGAGATGTCTCTGCGATTGTTCTTGAATGCACGGTGCTTCCTACTGTATGGCAGGAGAGGCATCTCATAGTTTCATGTAGTTTCATTCGATTTTATCATATTTCATTGTTTTGCTGCTTGTATCAGCATGTGGCCAGGAAGGATTCGCTTGGCCCTGATGTTTCTTCACGGCAGCGGCAGGCCCTTCCAGATCGAGCAGCGCATCTTTGGTCCCAGGGCTGAAAGCTTGCTGTCGGCCGGCATTGCGGTGGTACTACCAGCAAGCCAAATGAGAGATGGCAAGGTGCACTTCTGGTACAGTATCTTGGACTTGGATTGGACTTGAAGCAAGGTGCCACTTGCATCTAGTAGCAAATAGAGTCAAATAGATGTAGATGACAATGTCGGAAGAATTGAGCTATCCAGTTGACATAGCTTGGAATCTTCTGACCGTTTTCTTCTCGAAGCAGACACCAGTGGAAGACGAGCAGTGCTGAGGTACAGACACAGCAGTTTTGATGGACTTGCTTCAGAAAGCCAACAGCCATATGAGCATCAGCGCTGGATCTTCGCAAAGCACCCAAGCAGCTGCAGCGCTGCTTGGCATGTTATATGCTACTAGTAGCCCTGCAGCTGCGTAAATCCACAGATCAAATGTGATTTTTGCATACTTTCGCGTGTTTTTTTTGGTGGGGGAAACATGCGCATGAGTTTGTCTTGTGACTTGTGACTTGGACTCTCAGACTGTGTTACAGACTAAAGGCTCTAGATGGCTCTAGCAAGGTTTACTGCAACCAGGTTTTTCCCGGTATGTGGATGGTCTTGTAAAGATGTGTAAAAGCCGTTTGTTGAGCAACACATTGCTCCTCACCTCTCAGGAGTCCATTGGATGCGCTGAAAGATGGGGAGCCTGCATTTATGGAGCTGTCAAGATCAGCAGTCCTGGCTGCCATTGAGGCTCTGAGAGAAGCATGGCAGCTTCCCCTGGAGAAGCTTGCCATAGGAGGCTTCTCACAAGGTGGCCTCGGGCAGACTACTTGTATGATTTGGAAATGATAGCTCTGCCTGAAAATCATTGAACATCCTCGGAATTCATGAATGTAGCACAATGTAGCTTCCCTAATTAGCTACATGTCCACTGCCATCCCACTGGTGAGTACTCAAATTCGAGAAATATTGAGAATCTAGAAAGGTTGAGCCACTTTCTGCTCTTGGCGAAATATATATACTATAGGCCCGCTCGATCTTCCTGGTATCGATGACCACCTTGGGATACCTTGGGGCATTTGTTCGTCGTTTATCGTTGGCATATGTTGGCATTGTAAACTTGTTAGAGGGCAATGCGCTGGCCAGAGACGGCTCTACGTCGCAAACCTTGGCCAGTTCTGGTGACAGTTTGATATTGATAGGGTTTTCCCAAGAGCTTCGGCCAAAATTGAACATTGCTGCATGGATGAAGCTTGGCTTAGGTGCAGCCATTGCTATGGATGTCGGCTTGCACTTGTTGCCAAAGGTGCCAGCAGCACTGGGTTTCTTCTCTGGCTCTTTGATGTGCAGGCAGGGACACCGCTATGTGTTGGTCATGTGGGTGGAGTGGCAGTCCATCGGTTGGGATTCTTGATATTTTCAGCATACTTGATGTGGATACTGGCACTTGCAACTACAACAGCCGTGCCTGCGAAACCCTGTTTGGAGGCAGAGATGGCGCAAACTTCTGGAGGGCCATGTGCAGGCTGTCGCTTCTCAAGTCCAACCCGGGTTCAAGCAGGGTTAGCCTAGCCAAAGCGTTTTTGCTCTGACCCACCACAATGAGCTGTCATGTCGTTTCCAAGCGAAGTATATCCTGCATTTGTCCTGCCAGAACTGGTCTTGGATGCCTTTGGTGCAGAGTCATGGCACTGCAGACTTCGCGGTGGGAATCCTGGCAGCTGTTATTATTATATATTATTTATTATAATTATAACTATAGTAATAATCATAATTATTGTTATTATCATTATTACAAGTATTATATAAGTTTGATGGAATTTTGCGTCCCGCAGCTCTAGTTTGTTGGGATGCCGCATCAGGAGTCAACGGTGGGAGATGGATGCGAGACTTCTGCGATGAGTTGCTTGGCTCCAGCTGGTTCCAGCCATCCCAATAGCATTTGAAGGCAAGGAATCGACGTCATCTGAGGATTGGAATGCAGAAAGCAGAGTACTACGAATTCAAGGGTGGGCACACCATTCCATCGGAAGTGGTGGACCGCTTCCTCCAAGTTCTACTAACCTGTGCTCAATGCTGCTTGTCAATCAATTGGACTTTGCTTGGTGGGATACTCCTCTGCTATTCTTTCTTCAAACCGGACTATTCCGTATAGCAGTGTGTAATTGTAATGTTGATTTACAAACGTTTACATGTACTTCAGTTGCGAAACGATTGGAGCAAGTTGTTTTGTGCTGCTTTGGCTGCGATAATTCCAGATGTTTTCAACCTCTGCCATTGAAGTTGACTAAGGAACAAGGGCCAACCGCAACTGTCCTGCCAAGCTTGGACGCGGGCATCATCTGTAGCAGTCTCCGCTGACAAAGGAATAGATCTGGGATGACCTGGGATTGACGATATCGAAGGATGATCTGTTGAAATGTGACTCGAACAGCCTGGGAAAATGGAACGCTGTCAACCTACGGCAAACATTTGCGCCTCGCATCTGGACATGTTTCATGGCAAGAGAATGGAAGAACGCCCGACGGCCCAAAGATGACCGTCAAGAAACTGTGCAACGGAAATGTTCTGAAGAAGTGATACTGTAGCTTTGCTGTTTACAAAGCTCGGCCAGCGTCATGGACCAAAACATGCGAAAACATGTGTTGCCATGTTCGCCTGCATGCAATGTTTCTTCCCCTGCAATTTTGGATATTGTGTCTTCTCTGTCTCTTGCTGGCAAGTTCTGAGATCCTGAGATGGAGGCATTGAGAGAAGAGTCCGGCGAGCTGCAATAGCAGTAGGCTCCTGGGCTAAGGGACAGAGTGCTGACAAGATTGCTACAGATCGTGCCAGGAAATCAATAAAAATGGATGAACATGAGGGATGGTTCAATGGCAGGACATTTCCCTTGTATCATGATGTATCATGTATCTCTATGATCTCCATGTGTCATGGGGGTTCAACTTGGAAGATTCTCAGCGATGCGATCAGAAAGACGGCCTTGCTTTGACAGGTGTGGCGTCAGTGTGTCTGAAGGAGGAGCGCTTGCAATGTTTGAACCTTCGCGGCAAGCCTTTGCACCACAACGTAAACCGCTGGCTTGTTACACTCTTGCTCTTCAGGATATAGAACGGTATGAGAGTATGCAACGTTTCTGCCACACAGTGCCTACAGCATCCTACATCCTACAGCATTTTGATGCATTTTGTATGCCTATGTTTGCTTCTGTCACATTTCATGCGTGCTAAGACCTAGCTGGAAAGGGCAGGAATCATACAATAAAGATCAATAAAGTAGGATGATGTTTTGCGCTATTGCTGGAGAAGCCAGGGTTACGCCACACCGCTGGCTTCTTGCAGGCACTTTATCATGCAACTCTTGACGCTGGAGAGCAAGTACAGCTGCGCACCTAGTGACGACAATGCAGAGCTCCCAAGATTCAAGCTCCTTCCTGCACCAGAAACATGAGTGCCCCATAGTGCCCCAAATTATGCATAAAAAGAGCTATATAAATCTATATAAGATGTGGTGCCCACCTTTCCCACCAGTTCAGTAGTGACTTACCAGAAGGCACCTCTTCCAAGTTGTTGATGCCAGGTCAAAGCTGGCGGTCCCTGGCTGAGATGCCTGACAAAATCAGCAGATGTGCGCGCGTCGTTGATTCTGAGGTAGCTACAGCATGGCATCACAGATCAGACTCTCTAGCTGCAGGGAGCTTGGAACATCTTGGAACACCATCAGGTCATCGGCCATGGCATCTGTCCAGTCGTAACTTGTCGTAACCTGAGGCTGGTGTCGCGTTGACATCGCAGCTTGGATCAGTCTGGTCCTCAATCTGATGCAGCAAATGCATACAGCATGCCTTGTCATCCAAGGGATGCTGCCTGACTAAGGCCCTCGGCTTTTGGCCGGGCCTGGATCCACTAGGCAAGAGGGTAACTCATGGAAGTCAACAATAGGCCATGCACAGAGTTGATGACAGGTGGTGCAGTGGTCGCAGCCATGCTCTTGGTGCTTCCAGGATTTTCCACAGCTACGTAGTACCGGTAGTATGCTTGGCATGACTTTCTTATTGGGTCGAGGGCGTGATGAGGCCATGTTGGGCCACTCCGCAGTTGACAGCCTTCGTGACAGTACCTTCCCCAGTCAACTGATGTCAACCGGAGCCTTCAGATGGATTCCGGAGCGGGGCTGCGGGGTCCAGGAATGCCAGGGTTCGGCAGGGAAGGATCCGAAATGTGCTCAATGTCAGCGACAAAACTTGATCTAATTACATAATTGCCCTGCCATAATCAGACGTGGCAATGAGAAATCCCCTACGAATTGAGGTACCAAGGGGAATCTATGGGAATCTAAATGACGGATTTTCCATTGCCACGTTTGATTACCGGATGGTATTTTGCATGTGAATGATGGTGGACGCTGGTGGACGCACGTACTCTGACCGCTCAGAATTGGCTCCAGACCAGAAGCCAAATTGGATATACAGATACATGCCAGATCCTGGCAGTATTTGATCAGGAAATGGATCGAAAATTATGAAAACATGGCAAGATATGGCAAGTAAACACTGCACAAACACCAAGATAAGAAGATATCATACAAGTGCCGAAATCTCACATTTAATCATGCACTTGATTTGCAATCAAGGGGCTCTGAACGCAAATCGCAAGCTCGACCATTCATCAACCGCTTGAATGATACATGTGATACATGACTGAAACAGAGCTGTGGCTTGATGAGTAGAAAGCCATGGACTTTCGAAGGAGGTCTTCCATACCTTCAGGGCTTTCCAGACTCGATCGCGTGTCTTGGCATTTTTCTGAGTAGCTCTGTGTTCTCCATGGTTTCATGTCTTGACTGAAACTGCTTAAGCAATCTCAAGCAGGGTTGGGAGAAAACCCGACAAAACTTTAGTGCACTGTACAGTTGCTGTATTTCCCCTGAGTCGACACTTTGAGAGTGAGATTGCCACAATTTGCTGGTACAATACCTTAGATATCCTTAAATGGTCATTATTAATTAATTATGTGATACTGAGATATGAGCCAGTGAGCAATGGCCGTTGAGATGCATTGAGTCCTCAGGAGCGAGAACGCGAGATCAAAACAGCCTTCGAGACTTTCAGTGCTGAAGGTGCGGAGGTTGCAGAAAGCACCACTGGTAGGGAGAGAAAGGACGATGATAGACTGATGCTGACCGCATCGAAACCCATCAAGAAATGTGTGCGGGCGCTTAGTGGGTTCTAGTGGCATGTGTGTAAATAAAATGCAGTTAAAAAATAAAAAATATACCGACTACAATTATACATTGTAATATATATATATATATGCACGTGTGCGCGGTACGATTTGGTCATATGTATATATTATTATATGGTAATCGTTCGAGGCGAAGGAGTTGGCTACCATGAGCTCAAAGCAGCTATGCGTGCACTGATGCTACCGGTGAAGTGGCTTGACAAATCTTGGGTGAGCGTGGTGTCGAGGCGTCGATTTCTGTGTCTCCAGAGTTGCACTTTGCCAATGTTGGAGTGGCCAGAGAACGTCTTGCGTTGGATAAGGAAAGCTGATGTCTTGGAAGCAATGCGGTCTTATGGGCACAGTCCTGACGATGCGCCATGGCAAATCAGATGTGATGATTTCCAGTGGTTTGGCCCTTTCCCCTGCCCCGTCAAGTCATACCGAATCTGCGGAGCTCATCAGACTTTGGACAACTTTGCTTTGTACATGGCCTCGTGGCTCCCAACTTCCTTCGTTAAAAGTTGTCAAATTCTCATCATCGAAAAGAAGCATCACAACATTCACAACTCACAACCCAAGTTGTGCAAATCTAAGCGTAAGTGAAACTTGAACCTTCTTCATCATCCTGCAGTTGGCATAGTTCCCACTGCTAGCTTGCCGCCTGTGGCCAAGACACATCGACACACACACACAGAGACAGAGATATCCCCGTATTTTTTCAACGACATGTGACAGATTGTCTCAAACAAGCTATCTGGTGTCATTGAGTCACTGACAGTCACTGATGCATATTTCTTTCAAGTTCAGCTGGCACCTTGCGGGTCCAATTTTTCCCAACATGTTCAGTTCTGTGTTGCTGTGTTGCGGACACGGCAACGGGGGAAAGGAGTTCTCTATTGAGGAATATTGAGGGAATTGGCTGCGCCTTTCTGATCTTGGGTTTCAGGTGTTGGATTTCAAGGCCTTTGCACAGATTCTGCGGAGAAAGTTTGCCGAGAGAGACCCTTTGGCAGCCATGCTGCAAACGTTACTTGGAAATTGATGTTCTGACATGTCATGTGGTTTCTTACCGGCCTTGAGATGGTTTTTCAAGAAAGGAAATAGAGAGAGAGAGAGAGATCTCAAACCGTCGTAGCTTCAGATTTGTTTCTGTTTGTTTGCAGACCCAAGGTGATTCTTTGCACTTTTGAGAATCCTCGTAATGTTGTCTGACCAATAGTGATATCTTGTCAATAGTAGAAACATTTTTCCGCAACTCCAATTTTTCTCCAATACTAAAAGTCAATTAGCTCTATTTACTTTTAGTATTGCCAAAAGAGTCATGTTCAGACCTTGTCCAGAGGGCATGGCCAATAGTGGACCCAACATGGCAACAGTGGAAACTTTTTTCCCAACTCCAATTTTTCTCCAATACTAAAAGTCAATTAGCTCCATTTACTTTTAGTATTGCCAAAAGAGTCAAGTAAAGCAAATCCTTTTCAAAGCAGCCTTCACTTTTGATTAGCAAAAGCTTAGATTCCAGAAATCTGATCCAATTACCAAACAACTGATTTCCTTATAAAACCCTTATTAAAAAAGCAAGAAAACAGGTCCACAAAGGGTACCCCCTTTGCAAGCCCCAGAATAGCAATAACAAACCTGCACCAGGCATGGCAATAATGGAAACTTTTTTCCGCAACTCCAATTTTGTTGTCCTCCTTCTCCTTCTCCTTCTTCTCCTTCTTCTCCTCCTCCTCCTCGTCCTCCTCCTTCGCCTCCACCACCTCTGCCCCCACTTCCATGTCCACTTCCGCCTTGCCAACTCTTCGCCAATCTCTCAGAAACCCAACCAAATCCATTCAGAATCTATCAGAAACCCAACAAAACCATGGAGAATCTATCAGATACATATCATGATCCCAGCCATAGATTCCCAAAAATTATTATAGGAAGGTTGACCCCCCCTAAAATAAAAAATAAAAGTAAAAAATTTAGGGGGGAGGTAATTACTATTAGGCAGCCAACATTATTCTTTTCAGAGCAATTCAGTTCCTCCAATTTCCATCAATTTCCTGTATTGGTTGGCAATGCTTATAGCGCAGAGAAGTTTGGCCCTTTCCAGGTTTCGTCTCTTCGACAGCTCCGGGTCTGGTCGCCTTTCCTTGCGTGATCTTCGGAAAGCTGTCAAAGAAGCCCAGCTTCCGATCAAAGAGCATGAGCCACTTGGCGCCGTGGCCTCGGGCTCTGACATTTCTGGCATCGAAGTGTTCTTAATTTATACGGATGTTCTTATGGAGGTGGAACCGCTGATTGGGCTGATGTTTTTTTGCTTTCACACATTAGCCATTTGGGCTCTTGTTTTGAGCTTTTGCAAATTAGCCATGAGGCTCATGATTTTTGCATACCTTGAGAATTTGACTTTGTTTTGTTCCTGCATTGGAATGTCTCTGGATGAATGTCCAATTTGTGCATTGGATGCACAGCATTTTTGCCTCAATCTGATGCATTTTGAGATCTATTTTGTGATTTGTTTGTGAGGTTTTGCTGGTGACGCTGCCAAGAGTTGTCTCTAGTAACCCTATGTAATCCTTGCCTATACCCTTGCCAAAGCCCTGAGATATCAGGTTGGAACAGATGATTTCCTTCTTTGATCAGAATGAAAGCGGAACCATTGGTGAAGCAGAGTTTGTGCAAGCATCTTGGCTGTTCAGTGTCCTTTTCTAGTGTCTTGTTTCGGGAGCATCACTGTCTTTACCTTGGCTCAGAAGTAAATCATTGTAGCATAGCGGGTCATTTCTGCCAGTATTCTGGCATGTTGCAGCATGTTGCAGATGACCCCCTTGGCAAGGTCATGGTAGCAACCGATCTGCAGTGAGCACAAGCCATGCAAATGCATGAGTCTCATGTTGATTCATTTTGTATATAGATACATCCTGGTGGCAGCCCCGAAGGGGGAGCCATCACAACGGGCTGCCCAGAATTCAGCGCCAATGCCGGTCGATGCTTTCGCGTCCTGAAATCAAAATGTCAAAGTAAGCTCAAAGTGAATGACGAGTGACGATCTGAATTCTCCTGAGCGTCCGTCACCTCTCGACTTTGCAAGGCATGAACGATCTTTTGGCCACAGCCTTGGGGACTCTGCGCTAAGGGTTGCAAGGGGAAAGCTAATGCAGCAGCTCAGGATTACAACAGTGCCACTGATGGTGATGAAGACACTGGCAACGCACTTACGCTAGAGTCAGCACAACCTTCTGCTTGGTTTTCAGTCACACCGATGAATGTGCACACGATCTGCAACATAAATGCAATGAAGTTGTATGAAGTTGTGATAGGTGTGACGATGTGGGAAGTATGTAGAATTTAGAGTCTAGAGGGTATTTTATTTTACTCCAGCTGGAGCATGCTTGAGCCCCTGTGAGGCAACATTCGTTTTAGCTGCGGTTCCCGTTCAGCATTAGCGAGGACAAACCCGATGCGTTGTTTCTGTGCTTGCTTCCAGATCTAACTCCTGATTAGAGGCCTGTGTTCCTTCACTCCTTGACAGCTTTACAGCTTCTGCTACTATTTTGCATGTTTTTCGTGTGTTGGCAATCGGATACAATAGAATTGCCGTGGCAAATGTCCCCAACCTGTCATGGCCAATGGCTCGCGGTCAGCCCCAGAGTGGCTGCGTAGCTACAAGTTCAAAAGCTCATCGAATCCACGTTTATCGTCTATCCCATCTATGGTATATATTTCCTGGTCGTTTTCTTTGCTTTCCCCTGAATCTTCCATCATTCTACAGCCATGGGGGACTTGCTGTTGCCAGCTTCATCTTTGTCAAAGCGGCATCAGCGCCTGGCTCTGGACCCTGAGAAGATTGACATCCAGGGCAACCGTCCAGGGAGTAAAGCCAGACAAGGTTTCACAGCCGAACAGATCGCCGAATGCAAAGAGCTCTTCCAGATCTTTGACAAGGACGCAGATGGAGAGATCGACAGAACCGAGTTTCTGCCCATGATGAAGGTGCAAGTTCTGTGCTGGATTGACAAGTTCTGTTCCTTAAGTCCCCTGTGTTGTACGATTTGGATTGACAGGCACACAAACACAGACACACCTTGATTGATTGACAGCCATTTCTCTCTGATCAAAAGATCTAATGCTGACAACTGGAAGGCTTTGGGCCTCAGCCTGTCCACGCCAGAGCTGGAGATGTTTTTCAATCGCATGGACTACAATGGTGATGGCAGCGTGCAACTGCCTGAGCTGGTGCATTTCCTGGAAGGCTATGGCCTTGTGTTGGGGTTGTCCATATTTGTTCATAAGTTTTCGTGTCATGTGTCGTTGCCACGTGTCCGATTCTGTTGAGAGCGAAGATGCATTTGTTTCACAAATCAACTCAGCACAGTAATGAATAGTAAACAACTACGTTCTGCTCTTCTTTGTGGTGTTTCAGCACGAACTTGAGGGTGAACGACCGGGCAGGTATCTCTCAGCCGATTAGTTTGGAACAAGAGCTACAAGAAGCCTTCGCATTTTTCAGCCCAGAGAATCTGGACATTGATGCGCAGCTGGGCGTGGTTAGGCAACCTTGGCCATATCTTGGCTGTGTACAAGACGAGTTCTTTCGTGTTTCTCAGTTTCTTCATGCTTTCGACCTCTGCAACAGGATCATACATTATCAAACGTGATCAACAAAGTGCGGGCTTCGCACTACTGTGGCAAACCTGTGACTGTCTGAAACTACCAATTGTGTGTTGATGTTTTACAAATGTAGTTAATCTAGTGGTGAGACAGGGCAAGATGATGCAAGGCGATGCAAGATGATGCAAGATGGTGAGATGATGTGAGATGATGTGAGATGGCGAGACACTGAGGCACGACAGTGTCACAGCTATCCATCCCAAAGGCCTGGCACAAATCTTTGCGGAGATGGGCGAGGACATCTCGGAGCTCGAGTGCCGGGAGATGATCTCAGCAGCGACTGGCGGCAAGGAACCTTGGCGGGAAACGGCACAGCATGTTTTTTTGATCATTTGTTAGGCCATGTTAGGCCAAAATTTCTTGCAGAAAAAAAAGTTAGAGGGATGTTTTATAATTTTCATTTTTATTCAAGCGTTGCCAGGTTTATCCGGGCATGTTCATGTAAGTGCCTACTTTGTCAGATGCAGATAACTGGCGAAAAATTGTTGGCGAAGTTTTGCCTGTGAACTTTCTGAGTGAAGTAGTGTAAGTATCAGGCGAAGTTTGCGGCGAAAAATTGGCGAACTTTTGCTTTATGTTCCTCTTCAAGTTCCACCGAAATATCACAACAAACTTCACCATGCACTGCAGCCCCAAACCAAAAAAATCACCAGGCGGCGAAATTGTCTCCACCAAATATGTTCATTAAATCCTCGTGGCATAATTTGGGTTACCAGTTTGTGGTGGTCAGTGTTTTGATGCAACGCATTTCAGGGCGGCTCACGTCTCGGATTGCAGGTTTAGGTGGCAACAGCAAGGATCATGATTTTTAAAACCGAACAAATTATGCAGGCACTTCGTGGGAACATGTGGGAACCCTTGGTATCCCTTGGTCCAACATTTGGCATCCTGCTCTTGTTGAGCTTGTGGTTTGAGAAGCTGTGATTGGACTAAGCTACTTTGAAACTGGTCAAGGATCATGGTCGGTTGCCGGCAGTTGTGCAATGAACGCTAAGGAATGGATTGACTTCAGAACCTTCCAGCGCTTCTGCAAGGCGAAGAAGTAGCTTGAAAACAAGCCGTAGGATCCATAGGCCACAGGTCGCTATCCACAGATCCAGAGGCCCTCCACCTCTTCATTGGACCTGGTGAGGGCTTTGGCTTTGGCCCTGGTTTCACGTTTCACCTTCCTTGAGCCAGACAATGCCAGACAGCAAGATGACACAAAGATACACAACGATGATCAGGTGTGGCAGGGAAGTAAGATAGTTGTAGGAGCAGAAGTTTTCACAGTACAGTACTGTACAGGACAGTACCCGGAATAGTGTGGGAGCGTTTGGGGCCATTGTCTCACCAAACTTGAACTCAGTATATAGTAGATCCTCTCGATGTTTGTTGCACCCTGGCCCACATCAGCCTGTGATGGTTAAGCTTTTGCAGGACCATCACTCGAGTGCAAGGAGCAGTAGCCTTGGATGCTCAGGTTGCTGGCATTTTCTGGCCTCCTATCAAAACAGATCAAACCCAGAGAGCGCTGTACAAACGTGAAAGCTCATGTTTCTCTGCGAGGTCAGGAACCACACACTCAGGACATCTTGCCAATATGCTGGACGATGCTGGACGATACATAATTAATTATTAATTCTGTTTAGGTTGGATATGGTTGGTTCCCAAGCCAATCCTGAAATGGGATTAGTCATGGGCAGCAGCGCAGTGCAGCGTGAATCTCCGCCCTCTCGCACCTGAAATTAGGGTCTGCAATGATCTGCAGCTTGCAGCACATGTCGACAGATGCGAGGACACGACGTATGGGGCCCTTCTGCCTCGTAGATGTGACAATCATTGTCGATGCACGGATTTCTGCCTCAGCGGCCTCCATGATTGCAGAGGCGGATTGGGTGTAATTTTCCATGAAGATTTTGCATCATTTTGCACCACTTGACCTCCCGCCAGATGTGTTGCATCGTGTTACCTTGTACTGGCGCGATGGAAGTTCCACCAGTTCCACCCTTCTCACGCCAGTCAGTGCATGACCTTGTCATTCATGACTTCCGGCCAGCAGTGACAGATGCTGCTATCTCAGCTTACGCCATCAGTCCATCAGCATCATGTCAGCCGTTTGCGCTTCATCAAGCGCGCAAGTTGGGCAGCTACACACCCTACAGACCACCAGGACTGACATGGTCAGACACAGATCAATGAACCCTGAGGTCGCTGGCTAGTAGTTGAGGGGATCAAAGTTACAGATTCGATATGATTCAATATCATATATGTGCATCCTCTGAGGTTTTAGTACATGTTGATCCAGACGGAAGTCCGCACAGTCCTTAGCTGCGGCCGGTTTCGAGCAGCTTCCGTTTGAATTTAATCTAAGCATATGTGAGCTGAAGGCAGTCGCATAGGCTGGAGACCCATTCTGAGGCAACGCTTCAAACTGCTTCAAGCTTTCAGCTGCCATTAGACACCGAAGCAGTTTCCACTCGTCTGGGAGGCCAACACAGTTGCAGAGCAGGTCGAAACCGTGCAGATGCTGAACCCAGAGGAAGCAACCTTTGGTGTTTCGCAAGCTTTACAATGCTGCACGCATCTTTACATCTTTACATATCTTTACATATAGCCTTAGTATGCCTTAGTCCTGAAGTCTTTGGATTCATATTTTACCATGCATGGACCATGCCTTGCTCGACAGGACCTTGAGGCTCAAATCAGAGCAGCACTGCTCCAGGACCTGTGGCGCGGAAGTTAATTTGAAGGTGGCACGGTGGCGCCCAAGTCGAGTTGCAACGAGGATCCAGGCGATCCTGATCTTCCAAAAATCATCGAGGTGACGGAGCTCCACACCTATTATTACATGGAGGACTCGCTGCGAAGGTCTTGGTATGTCTTGGTACATTAGCTGCTCGAGGTTGAGTTAGTCATAGTCAGTCTATAGCACTGGCAGCTGCAGCAAATAGGAATCGCCTCTGGATATTTTCTGGATATTTTCGGCACAAGCAACACCTAGTAACCTAGTATTCACACCAGCGGTCTTGTGATGTGAATTCAGCATTGGTTGGATATGTCCTGCAGCCATTTTGGAAGTTAACTTCCTCTTTGCACCTAGATTCAAAGAAGAGAAACACACACACACAATCACACACACATTATATATATACGTAATTATACGTAAATATTATATATATGTGTGTGTGTGATATATGTGCATGCGTGTGTGTATATATATATATATACGTATACAAACATACAATATTATATTACAATATCCATTAATAAATCATATTCTCATATCATATACTAATCTCATACTGCCATATTCTATCCAGTCATCCAAGTCTTCTCCTAGTTTTCTTTCGCAAATGAACGATGCCTCGATGGTCTTTGCTGGCTTGTGGGCTTCCAGCCGCCAATGCCGTGTTCCTGGGCTTGGCAGTCGAGTCAACGCTTCGCAACAATGAAGTGAGCCTCGGTACTGTAGCGTGTTTTCTTATCGAATGCACGGAAGGTGGGCTGTAGCACAGGAAGGAGAGTTTGGACAGTCAATACTAGGCATGACAATACATGAAAGATGGAAACTGGACTCTGTAGCAGTTCGTGGTGGGTTTGCCATGTTTTTGGCTATGACAGGGACAGTCACCTGTGTTGTCACAACCAAGGCAGACCAACTACAGCTCTGGAGCCGTTGGTGCCTTTGTGTTCGGTGCGAAGCAGTGGTCGCACCACTGTTTGCTGCAAAGCACAGCGACACCAATCCATGTTGCTTCTAGTGCCTATAAGCCTATAAGAACCCAAATACTGTAGACCAAAATATTTCTCCAAAAGTTGTTTCAATTTGAATCACAGGGCGCGACTGTCTAAGGCCATTGCAGTGACGCAAAACAAGGGCAGGAAGAGAGGTGACTCGCCAAAATACATGAACTATCCTTGAAAATCTGAAAGGAATGGGCGAGTCTGCATGGTTGAAGGCTCCCTTTTTTGCCTGTCAGTAGCAGCCCTGTGTTTCTATGAATGTTAAGGTGAAGATGTGGTGGTCACCCCTGGGAGCAACGGGATATTCACTATCACCATTCTTATGGATGGCGCCTTGAACGCAGCAGTTGTCAGCAAGAGATTGGCACATGCAGCGCCAAAGTTTTGGAAGATCGCAATCCACAAGATACAACATCACGCACGCAGATAGATAGATAGATAGATAGATAGATAGATAGATAGATAGATAGATAGATAGATAGATAGATGATAGATAGATAGATGGATTCGATAGATAAAATGAGATGGTATGAGATAGGATGAGATGAGATGAGATAGATCGACGATACTGGGTGATGATGGGTGAACATACGGCGTGGAGTCGGCGTTGAGTATACATGTGTTTGTATGCAAATATGTCCAAGGTCACGGGGGTCAGAGCGTCATGAAGCGTGCCGTCGACCTGCAAAAGGACGCTTTTCCAGCAACATGCATATCTCGGTGGAAAAGGTCAGCAAGGGATAGCAACAGTGCATATAACAAGAGTCATCATATGTCATCCCACATATGTATATATATATATATACTTATAATATAGACATACATATCATATAATATACGATTATATTCTACCTGCAGGAAACTCCATGAGCCCAAGTCAGTGGCCAATGACAAGTCGATGCATCAAGCGGCTGGTGTTCTGCAGGAGCTGCTTGAGATGTGCAGATCATTGGCAGATTGGCCACGCTGCGCAGTAGAAGCCACCGAGCACGTCCAGGTACTAAAAAAGCAGTGTGGATTAGTACGGAGCAGTCTGATGCCGTTGCATGTTGCTACTGAAACATACTGAAACCCATGAACAACTCTGGCCCACTGTGTATATTTATTAATTATTCCTGTTGGGTGCGGCAGCGATAGTTCTTTCCAGATGCCGAAGATTCACATCAGGACCATATCAGGATAATGCGCTACAGAAGTGGCGCAACATTCTTGGCCCTGGTCGTGGAGGACTGTCAGTTTTTCCAATCTTTTGCTGCAGTTTGTGCAGTTTGACAGGGTTCTCTTCTGGAAATCCTGACACACCCGGAGTTGGGAAGCTTCCACATTTATTTATGATGGGATGCCAATGGCATGCCATACCATTCTCGAGCCCATGTTCACCAATTATGACTATATTGCTTGCCCGATCTTTGAGTGAGAAGCAAGTTACCGCCGCAGGAAGCAAGCTCCAAAGCTGCCTTTGCATGGGCCGGAGATTCCATGGGCATCTTGGTCAGACAAGGGTGGCTTGGCAGGTGACTGGTGTGGGTGTCAAGAGTTTCTTTGCTGCACAAGTCACTGGTTGGGACTCCATGCATCATCCCCTATGGTCTGCCTGCGTAGGCAATCGTTGCCGTGTTTTTCGGGCCAACAGGAGTGAGAATTGCTGCAAGCAAACCTGTTACTGTACAAAGATTGACAACCCTTGCGGGACCCTTGCTGGATTCATTACAGCATATTCAGGCGTACAATTACCATCAGAAACTGCGCCTCCTTACAAACCGACTAGGGGTTAACAATACGGATTTACATCGGTTCACTGCATTGACTGCGACCATTTTCCACCCAACTATTGCGCGGCCTGGTGGCTCAAGCTGCCGTCGTTGGTCGCCGCCACTCCGCCGCCATGGCATGTGGTGCTGGCCTGGGCCGGCTGGGGTCAGTCCTCGCCGGTGTGGCTGATGCCCGTTGATCCGTGGCCACAGGAAAATGGTGATGCAGAGAGCCCAGCAGCACCAGAACCTCGCCGCGGAACCAGTGCGGAACGACTGGGAATCCGGTGGGCCGATCATAATTGCAAGTCTAAGAATTATGAAAGATATGAAAAAGGCATGTGGGAGAGTATTATAACCCGGCACCTATTCGTTTAGTATGCCATGATCCCCCATTAGCCATATGTAGTTCTCACTCGAGAAAACGATAAGAGGAAAAAAAAATAACGATGCTCATATTGTTTTTGGGACATGCTCCAGTAGCTCCAGTAGCTGATCGCATCATTCCAACCCCGAAAAAAAGATGTGAAGCTGGTGGTTGTAAGGTGATATCCCACAAAGAAAACACAATATGAATTGTTTCGTGAGGGTGTGAAGCCAGCACTTGGAAAAACGATAAGAGGAAAAAAAAAACGATAACGCGTGGAAACACCATTTGACTGATATCGGGGTTTTTAGACAGCCCCATGTATGTTTCAACATCTGCGATTGTAAAACCCTGTATCGCAATTGATCGGTGATTGGTTCGCGAGTGAGACAAGCATTTGTTGTATGAGAATCGGCTACTGTAAGAGGAGACACCAATGGCCGCAGCCTGATAAGTTGTTTTTAGACTTACATTCAGATCATTCAGGTTTGTCTGGAAACTGTGTTCAATAGTGATAGCCAATAGCAAAGAAGAATCCGAACAACAAAGTTCAAAGCCTCATAAACCATATCATTTCAATTTTCAGAAAATGTCGAGTC